TGGGGAGTGCTGACATCTGGGGCGGCCTTTTCATTGGGAATTTGCAGGCAGCATCATACTCAAGCATCCTGCTGCCCACAGTGGCTAACTGGCTACCTCCACAAGCCTGCATGCAGGGCATAAAGGCAGAAGCCCTCTCCTACTGTTGCTGCTCCTCTGCAACCAATCTGTCGTGGTATACAGCCTCAGGTTCGATCTTGGAGGTTCCATGTGGACCCCAAGGAGGCTGAACTTTACGTGTTGATTGGAATTTTATCGGCCAACTCTTTAGAGACAGGCTGCTAGTCCATTTTTTTAAAGTCATGAACACACAAAGCTAGAATGCTAGTGGCCCAACGAAAGGTAACCTGAGCAACTCTGCCCTTGAAATCAATAAGACTTAAAAGTGATTAATTTTCCCTGGGTCATACTCCTAGATCGAAAGCCTGCTGCTACATCACAGAACAGATATATTCTGTGATGGCTGAACAAAGAAAATAGGTTCACAAAGAACACTCCTGACCTTTAGAACTCGCTATCGCTGGATGTTTTAATCATCAACTGTAATATAACTGTGTTGAGGAAAGGACAGGTCAGTAATGGATGAGAAGGGGTATGACTGGCTACAAATCAATAGAATCAGGGCTGAAAGCGATTAACAGTACAACCCTAGACATCTTTTCACAAGTAAGCCCCATTGAGTTCAAAGGGATTTACTCCTAGGAAAGCAGCTTATCCACACTTACCTTTTGCCCTGCTCTTTCCAGGCTTAAAAAGCTCCATATCCAAGCATTTTGTTTGTTTTTGCTCCAGAGTTTTGCCTGCAAACACCTGCTCTTTCAAGCTCATTGGGAGCAAACAGCAATCTGCAGAAAACCTGAATTGACGTTTGCTCCGTTTGAGCACTAAAGAGCACGTTTTCATGAAGAGAGCTCTGGAGCAAAACGAAAACCCCACATACTCCGACATGGGACTTTTAAGCGTGGAAAGAATGAGGCAAAAGGTAAATGTGAATAAGCCCTAAAATTGCAACCTAAAGTTTCACTAAACTCAGTGGGGTTTACTTGTGAATAAACATCTATAGGATTATATTGTAAATGTCATTCATTTGTAATTTTATGCAATGTTCTAGGCAATGAATAAAAGAAAAACACATTAATGATTTTACTTCACTTTCTTAGCTTCAATCACAAATGAGGTGGCTCATACAAGGAATAGTTTTTGTTTGCTTACAATAATCTGAGGCATTAGAAAGCACAGCACATATTGATTATTTAAGAGGACTACAGATATTTCTTCTAGCTGACCCAACCCATATTGGCATTTCTTGTTCTTTCGACATCATTACTTTAATTCAATACATTCGCACCTGGTTATGGACAAGAAAGCTTTAAATGCACAAAAAATGTGCATTTGTGAACTCTTAGCACCAAGATTATTTGAAAGACAAATGGCTTGTTAATCACCATAAATCAATTAGACTGGTGGATCTGCATTTACATTGGCGCCATTTGATTAACTGCAACAGGACCTAATTAAGAGGTTTATAGATCACATATTTGATTTTGTGTTAGTGTGCATTGTTTTCGTCAGAACTTGTTAATATTCACTCAGGAAGACTTTCTAATCTAGCAAATGGTCCTTGTGCATGTTACCCCAAAGCCAACACTGAACATCATGTTAGGTATCCTTTTGGCTGTTCCTGAGATGTCTCAGAAGACAATGAAGTTCTGAGGTGGCAATCCTATCTGGGATGTAGGCTCCTTCCTACTTCGCCTCATGCTACTTCAACCGTTGCTCGCTTGCTGTGCAACTTTTACTTGCATTGCTATTACACCACTCCTACTTCCTCCTGCTACCCAGAGATCAGGCCCAAAGCAGTTCTTAAAAACAAATATGTGATGGGAACAAAAATGGACAGCCAGTTCAGTGTAGTCGTTAGAGAGTTAGACCAGGGCTCAAATTCCTGCTCAGACATTAAGTTTACTAGGTGACTTTGGACCTCTCATCCTAACCTACCTCACAGGGTAGGTTGTGAGGAGAACATAGGGAGGTGGGAACCATGTATGCCACCTTAAATTTCCTGAAGGAAAAGGTGGAAAATAAATGCAATAAATGAATGCTGCCCATCTCCTATAAAGTGCCCCAGCATTGCCACTTAGTGGGGAAATCAACATTCCCTTTCTATCAACTGCATATCTCAATAGTGGCTGTACTGGAGAAAAGGAGAAACTGCTTTTCCGTATCTTTGCTGCTTACCTTTAAAGAAACAAACCAAAAAACGAGACCATTTTATTATTCTCCAGTCTCTTTCAAACAATGACCAATTTTCTCAGCTTGCCTCTGATGTATTTATGGATATAGCAAAAGAAGAAGAACCCCACTCATGTACACAAGCAGAATAAGAAACAGAATGATATTCTGGATGCAGTATTTAAATGGGTATTATATGTGGCACTGGATGAACTGTTTCAGATCCCTGGTCTGTACCCTCACTAGTCATTTCAGGCTACCAGTGCATAGTAGTGTACTGTGGGCAGAGCTTTGGGGACAAATTTTCCAGGTCCCACTCAGAATGAAAAGCAGCCTGGGCATCTGCTGAGGAGTGCAAGGGGGCCAGTTCCCATCCCAAATGAGCCACAAACCCCTGATTCCCAGTTTTCATGTAGAAACTGTAAGTCTCTAGTTCTTGTAGAACCAAAGATAGGCAGCAAAATGCGCAAACATTGCTCTTTTAATTTGTTTTGTGGGGAACACCTGGGTTTTTAGACAATGAATGAAGTCATGAAAGCAGATCAAGCTCAGTCAGACAAAAAGAAATAATGAAAGACCCATTATCAAGGAGAATGTAGAGAAGAAACTTCTTGGTATGTTTTTAGCCCTTTTCTGCTGGTCTTGCATGGTGGAGATGTCATTGGTTGTCTCATAGAAAAAGAATCCAGGTATCCAGGATTTTAGTCCAGTATCCAGAACTGTTCTGCATTTAATGCACTCTGATATTGCTTGCTTTGAAAAAAGTATTTGAGAACTCAGAGAATCAGTTAACAAAGTCTCTCTGTCTACTCAAGGTCTGGCGTAGCTCAGCTGCTTAAGAGCATTGCTTTGGAAGACCTAAAGGTAGATTCAGATAACCTCACATAATTATTTTCATGTGACAAGCTGAATGAATCTTTACCCATTGAAAACTACTAGCACTTGCTTGCACAAATTCAAAAAGATGCAAAGGAGAAAAGCAACATAAGATGGAAATTTAAAATGACTGACTGACTAAATAAATAAATTCTAGCTATACTGAGCTACCAGAAATTCTGGATAGACTCTGAAAGGAACAAATGGGACAATAGGGAGACCAGGTGTAGACTGATACTGTTATAGCTCATGGTTTCCTTACTACTGTGTATTAACAAAAAGCAAGGCAGGTGAATGAGACTATGGGGAGCCAAAGCAGCAGGGAGTGATTCAGTGGATAAGCCACTGAAATCCATAATGACCTGGTTCAGAATACAGTGGTGCCTCGCAAGACGAAATTAATTCGTTCTGCGAGTTTTTTCGTCTTGCGAAGCACGGTTTCAATTTTTTCAAAAAAATCTTCAAAAACCTCAAAAAAGGCTACCACACCGCGTGCTATGAGTTGCTCCCCGAAGTCAAGTCGCAACTGCACCTCTTCAAGCAATGCACCCTGTATTACTGTAACGGTTTTTAAAAAAAGGAAACAAACTTGCAAGACGTTTCCGTCTTGCGAAGCAAGCCCATAGGGAAATTCGTCTCGTGAAGCAACTCAGAAAACCAAAAACTCTTTCGTCTTGCGAGTTTTTCGTCTTGAGAGGCATTCGTCTTGCGAGGTACCATTGTACTGAATTTGTGTTACGAACTGAGCATCATTTCCACACACCCCCAAGAAGTTCTCCTCCACCATCAAATGTTAAATGTGATTCTGCACATTCGTAGTCTGCCCTCAGGCTGAAAGGGCTGCTTTACAAGAGCATCTGCCAATGTTCTTCCATATCAACCTCTTTGTTCCCAATGAAACTTTCACTGATCACAAGGCAAACTACAAAAAAATAATAAAAATATGCAGGCACATGTATATGCATTCTATAGTGGTAACCCTTTTACTCTGAGTGGGAAAGTATTTGATTGTTGTGAACTATATATACATCCAGGCCACCCAACTAAGCAGATATTGGTTCTCTTGATTATTTATTGTAGTTGTTTTTTTGTGTGTCCTTGATCTATACTTGAAATACTGTAAATACTTGTCAGGAGCACTTCTCCCAGTTTTGTTCAGCCCGTGAGTTAAGAGGTGCCGGGTGAAGCTGTCCCATCACTGGCAGTAACTCATAGCCAGGTCTCCCTGGTGGCATCCAAGCTCTCAATTTATATGTGGATTATTCAGGATTGTGCACAGGTGATCAGGAAAGGGGAGGAAAATGCATTTTATGCAACCAGACGTGGGTAACAAAATACAATTTTATCTCCTCCAAAGAGGTTGAATTATCATTAAGAAGACAAGGGTCCAGGGTTATCTCATTACAAGCACCTGTATCTCACCCAGTATGAAAACAGTACCCTATCAGCACAGTCAACTTGGATTGTGGAAAAATAACTACCTTTGTGATTAAACAACATGTATTATTCCAGAGAGACAAGAAAATACAACAGCCTAAAAATCCCACCACTTGGAGCAAAATGCATTTCAAAGACTGATGCACATGTGAACTCATCTATTTGTCAGTTTCAGGATGTCATAGGATAAGCTCATTGTTCTCATCTGCTCTCACATAGATTCTTCATCCAGTGGACATTTCCCCAAAGGCAGTATTTCATCTCCGACTCAAATCTTGATGGTTGGACTTGCCTGTTTCTCCACAGGTCTGCTCTGTATACACTACCCGACCTCATTAAATCTGGCATTTCACAGACATGTGCCATACATCTATTCCAGCAGCAGATCTTAAAAGCTGCCTGGGGCCAGTTGAGGCATGCTTTATTTTTCCCTTCTGCCTAATCCGTTTAGGCATTTATAGTGCACCCATCGCTGGGTTGTCTGAATGCTTCTCCAATACCTTCTTTGCATATGCAGATAAAAGCAACATTCCATATGGCGCATGGCTGTGAACTATAGACACACCACACTCACAAAGGGTGTGCCTACAGATCACCATTGTCAAGCGTGCACACGTGTGAAGTCCACCCTGCCAAAGCAATATCTGAAATACAGTAGGAGACTTGCCACATCTTCGTTCTTGTGTATTTTGATCCCATGTAGATGACACACTGGGCTGAAAAATTGGATTCAGGGGCCGCATCTGGCACCTGAGGTTGTGCTTAATATTTTGCTTCAACTCCACATCCGCACGTACATATGTACATTTATAAGAATGAATTATATTCCACTCTTCTGCTAAAAATATAGCGCTATATAAAAATATAGTTTCAAGCATACAAATCCCAGCCATGCACCACTTTTCATTCCTAGCAATTTGCAATCTACTCAACAAGATGCCCCTGAATTATATTTTCGTCCCCACTAACAAAGTAACAAATAATGTGATGACACGTAGATGTCATCCGCTCTCACCAAGATCCAAGAATCGTAACTTCCAGTGTTATTTCATTATAAGAAGCAGGAGTGATTTTCACATCTGCAATACACTTTATAACAGCATCCAGATCAGTCCTTCTGATGTTGAAAATTCTGTAGCCGATTCCTCATTATTGATGACTCTCTCAAGTCAATTAGTTGCTCCTTGCTATCAGGTTGCCTTGAAGTTCTGTATCAAATTCCTTTCTGAATACAGAAGCAAAACAGAGTCAGTTAATGAGAGTTGAACATTCTTAGACAGAATTTTTTATTTCAATGATTTTCATAAGTGGCAAAATACTGAAGGAAACGGCACTAGACTGTCTCAATAAGACTTTTAGGATTGAGTAAATATTCTGTCACAATATGTATAACAGCCCCATCCCATTTTTCTAAGCTGGTGCACAAAGATGTCAGCAAAGTCATCATAATCCAAGTCTTGCCACACCCTGTTACAGGCAACTCTGCCATGTGTGAGTCTATTCAGGTTGTCCACTGCTGTACATAAGAATACTGAAGATAGTTATTTTCATTATCATTTCACAAACTGAGAGCACAGAATTGGCATAGCCTAAACTTGTTAGCCATGTTCCCATCAACAGAACATGAAAACAGCAAATTGAATGTGCTATATAGTACTTTAAAAACAGACACAGCTTGATACAATGATGACCTAACATCACATACTTATTCATCATTTTTAAAGTTTAACTACTTATTACTGCTATAGTTTATGAAACGTTGTGCAGTCCTACACACATGTATTGGAAGTAAGTCTCACCTAGTTCAATGGGGCTTACTCTTACGTAAGTGTACAGAGAATCATAGCCTTACAGCACAACCCAATGCATGTCCACTTAGAAGTAAGTACCCCTGAATTCCATGGGACATACTCCCCAGATCAGTGGGTATAGGATTGCAGCCTATATTTTAATTTTTAATGTTAGCCTTCTGAAAAGCACACACTGAAGGCCTATCCAGATCCATTTAAACCAGTAGAAGTCATAACCTTGAGTTCAAAATTATGTGAGCTGCATCCTGTGAGTAGGGTAGCATCCTTTTTGACATTTTATTAGATGCATGGCTTCCAGGACAAGTATTTCTAACTGCCAATTTAGCTGGCTTCATGAAATGAGAAGGATGCCATCGGGTCCATTGCCTCAGGTAGCAAGACATCTCAGGCTGGACCCGACTGACTCTAGGGAGCATTTAAAATAAGAGCTCATCCACACTTTTGCTTGACCCATATTTTGATCACATTGTGTTCTGATTAATTCCTCTGGGTCTGAGAGCTTTTCTTGTTGTTCTGCAGCTGTGCCTTGCGGAAATCTGATTTTACCCGCTGAATTGAAGCTCCGTTAAGCAAATCTCTCTTCAGATTTTCCATGCATCTGATAAGACCTGACTCAGCGAGTAAGATCGGATTTTCTCAAGACACAGCCATAGAGCAACAGGAAAAGCTCTTAGACCTGATGGAATTAATTGGTACACAATACAATGAAAATACAGATCAAGCAAAAGTGTGGATGAGCACTAAATCAAGAAAGGTTTTATACAGGGGGCATCCATAGTCAAACAATGCAGAAAGGAAAACACAGAGATAAACATTCATTCTAACTTCTCTGTAAACATGGGTAAGTTTCACATCCACACTTCCAGTTTAGAAAAGGGCTGTTGTTTCAGGTTTTTTGTTCTTCGCAGATTACTGAGAACTCATACACAAAAGCCCAGGATTTTCCAAAGAAATTCAACTCGATTCCAAATCTCCCCTACAATCAGTTTCACTTCTCCACCACCTCTACCCTCAGCAGTAGCAATGGGGAAAGTCAAAGGGGGGTGGTTGGTCAAGTAACAACTAACTGGAAATTCCAGGAACACAGATCTATGGCAACTGCAGTTTGCTTGGGCTTCTGGGCCTTTACCTCTGGTACATTTGCACTGGGAATTTCTTGTTAGTAAGACTTCCGGACCTAATGAAGGCCAGAAGAGCAGACTTCTCTTTGTGCCCTTCCCACTGCTGGACAATCCCTCTCCATTCCACCACCATCACCACGTTAGCCTTCTTCTTTCAAGATGGCACTGTTGCAGGGAGGAATCTTCCTTTGGGACGGGTCACATGGGAAACTTTGAGCAGAGCACCCCTTGCAAATTTCAAGTAGCCAGTGTGTGGATTTATTTTGAAGGCCAGACTCTGCCAGGTCTTGGTGTTAATTACTGAAGGCAGAGGAAATCAGAAAAGGAATTGACAGCAGGTCAGAGCTGATGGCCTAAGTTATGGCCAATTAATGGACACTTAAATCTGGCTGTTACTTGGAGAAAACGTTTCTCAGGTTTCTTGGCAGGCAATAGATGTGTGGTGATTCCCTGCTATGCCTTTTGATGTTTTCTGGAATGTGGTTATGTCAGCCTGCTCTTGAGGTCATTTTTAAGTTAGAGACAGTGGGTGATAGCCAACATTAGTCACATTCCGAGTAGACCTATTGAAATGAATGGATCTCTTAAGAAATGCCTTCACTGAGCTGCAATTTCAAGTGCTACTGCAGTTCTGGGTGGTCACTGCAACAAGGTCACTTATGACAGCAGGTTCTGTGTTTGTGGCCAATTTCAGGTGGAAGATATTATTCACTATCTGTTAATCTGTCCTTTATATAGTAATCCAAGAGAGATTTCTAAAATGTCTGTTGACATATAGAAGCAGGAACACCTTGGAAGAAACAGTACTATTTCTTTTGAGTGACACTAACAGCTTTGTGACACATGAAGTGTATCTTTTTTGCACTGGCTGCAAAAAAAAATAAAAAAAGAGTGTTAGATAATATTGCTGCAAATTGTTTTGGGAACTCTGAGGCTTAATCTGAAGCTGAGTTCGCTGATGGTACCAAAGGCAGATAGAGGAGAGTGTGAGCTGTTCAGTTTCACCAGGCGTGAAAATTCTGGGGCACCGCAGCAGGCGCCACAGCTATGAAGTCTAACAGAAGGTGAGAGGCGGGGGTGCCGGATTTTGGCAACGCACAGGATGCTACTGAAATTTGAGACGCTAAGGTACTTATGGTACACTAAGATACTGATGGTACTTCTATTTTTTCTTCTTTAATATTATTGACGCTTGTTATGTTATTACTGTGTTTGTGTTTAGGTGTTTCATAGCATAATTGTCTAGCACAATAAATGTACTGAATTGTGTATGACTATCACTGGATATGCCCCAGGATATCAGGTTTGGTTCACACACACCCTTCCCCAAATCATGCCATGCATCTAATAGCAGAGGAAAAGAACAGAACCACCATATATGGGGGAAAACTGGCAGCCCTGGTTCAAGGAATGCTGTGTTAACAGTTGATCCTCAGTTCTGGAACTACTGCAGCTGCTTCAATCTTATTGCCCCCAGATTCATAGCAACCCATTATGAACGAAGAAGCTACCAAGAAGGCCAGCCAACAGATCTTGGCTGGAGTTGTGGGATGGTGTCTCAGTTAGTTTGTAATCCTGCCAACACTGACCTTTCTGATGCTGATCTAATGAATGATGATCATATCCCTGCAAGCTTCAGATAGCAGAGAATACCACTTAAGTCTGCATTGTATAAGGGCACATTAGCTGCAAGTTGAACAAGTCAAGGGTAGTTCTCTGCATTCATATTGGTTTGCCCTTGGCAGCATCTGTAGCACACACTTAAAGAAGAAGAAGAGTTTGGATTTGATATCCTGCTTTATCACTACCCGAAGGAGTCTCAAAGTGGCTAACATTCTCCTTTCCCTTCCTCCCCTACCTCTGTGAGGTGAGTGGGGCTGAGAGACTTCAGAGAAGTGTGACTGGCCCAAGGTCACCCAGCAGCTGCATGTGGAGGAGCGGAGACGCGAACCCAGTTCACCAGATTATGAGTCTACTGCTCTTAACCACTACACCACACTGGCTCTCAAAGCACATGACTCCCCCCACCCAATGAATCCTGGGTGCTATAGTTTCATCCCTCAAGCTACAGCTTTCACTATCCAAGGATCCTTTGGGTGAAGTCATACTTTAAATGTATGGTGCGTACACAGATTCAGATGACTGCTAATCATATCTGTATTATTATTTGCCTGCCCTTCACTTTTAAGGTCCCAGTGCACGGTTGCAACAATTAAAACACTATATTAAAACCAGTTTAAAACAACTTACAATAAAAGAAATAAGGTGGGTTTCTCAGTTCCCTAAGTAAGGATTGTACACATTATTCCCCCCCCCCATTTTGTGTTTGGGTTATGCTGAAGAATACTGACATCCAAAAGTGCCCTGTGAGCTTTGTGACTTAGTAGAGACTTGAAAAACAAATGTTGCTGATCCAAGTCCAACATTCTCTATACACTATGCCATACTGGCATTTAGGAATCTGCTTTCACTAACTATTCCTTAGATTCTTCGAGGTTTCATAAGCATGGTTCCCTTCTGTCCCAGCTACAGCAGGAATAATGGCATTTTAGAACATACAGCTCAAAGCACTATTTTATTCAAGCATTTCAAAATACAAACATAATCCTACAATGGCCAGGCAGCTCATTCATCACAAATTATTTTCTCCTGTATATTTATAATGATCCAAAGTTCTCATAACAGCAGAGGAGCGGGGAGGCAGTTGAAAAGAGAGGTTTTAAAAGGCCTTAGTCTGCAAGCCCTCTTTTTCTGACTTTCCTTCCGTTATTCTAACTTGTTGAAAAGAAGTTAAAGCAAAACAGTACAAATGTCAGCCATCTGTAGGTTCATTTTTCCAGGGAGATTGAAAGGAGGCCCGTTTGTGTTACTAATAAAAGGCAACTGTATACTCCAGCAAAGCAAATATTACTGTTACCAGTAATAAGGTTTCCAACAGTCCAGCTTAAAAAAAAAGTAGTTCTATAAATAAGTAGCCTTGCCCCAATCTGTGTATTTTCCATTTCTAGACTGTAAGTTTACTTTTGCTGATCAAAACTGATCCAAATCTCGCGGCCAGGTGCATGTTTATCAGGCTGGCAGTTCAGATCTTTCTCAAGGATTACATTCACAGCTTGAAAACGTGGGTTCTCAGCCAGGTACAGCCATTCCATTTTAAACTACATGTATACAGCTTGCTTATATATCCCAATGATTGATATCACCTGGTATATCTTTATTTCCCAATATTTAGAGGAGTTTGTATGACCACCACCAGCGTCATTGAAAGGGGGAGACAATCCCTGCTGCCGCATGTGCCGCCACAGATTAATCTTGGATATGCCCTAGAACAAGCTTTTGATCCTTCCTCTACAATTTTCCGCCTTCTCCTGAAATCTCTCCCCTTCTCTCACTAAAATCTGAAATGGCACCATTGAGAAACGGATGTAATAACAAGAGAGTAACACCATGGAATGAGATGGAGAGATAAATGGGAGGTACAGGCATTTGTTGTTAGTGTTATTTAGCTGTTGAAAAAAACATGTAAAATGCAGAACTTGAGCCTTACATTTTCTTTCTAAAATGCACAGAGTTTAATTTTCAGTCTAATGCTGCTAGTTTTTGTTGCTTTCGAGAGTGGATATTTCTGATGTTCCCAGCTATTAGAAAATGAACGTACTTGGATAGGAGATTGAAATACTTAATGAGAATCACACCACTGGTGACCATTTCTTTCGACAATATAGCCCCATAAAGTGATAATGCAATTAGCTGTTTATTTCTGGCATGCATGGGCAGTGCAGAAGCATGGGAAACAGTTAAGAAGAGGAAAGCACAGAAAGGAAACACATTCTAACCATTTAGAATACATCGGAATGTTCCGAACAAAAGAAAGAAAATTTAGAACCTTGCTGAGGTATGGCCCCTACATATGGGTCAGAAAGGGAAGTATAACACAATACGTCTGGAATCAGCATCAGCACAAGGATACAAACTCCCTATCTGCCAGGGCTAGGATCACCAGAATCCTACATGCTGCTGTTACAACACAGTAAGTCAGGAGTGCCCTTGAGATGTTAGTGGACTACAATTCCCATCATCCCTGGCCTTGTGAAGTAGAGTTGATGGGAATTGTAGGTCAGCAGCATCTGGAAGGCACTACATTGGCTATCCCTGCAATATAGGAGGCGGCCAGTAATTATGTAGACTTATGCCTCAGTCCTAAACCAATTCACTTGTATATCAGTACAAGTAATTCCCAGTAATTCATGGCATTTACTTCCTCGTAGGTATGTTCAGGCTCAGGATATGGGTATGTTTATTCTGCCTGTCAAAAACACTGGACTTTCCTGATCATAAAATATACAGTGTGCTATTAGAAAGCGGGAGGTATAAACAAAGAAAAAGAAATCTACTCATCGGTTCATATTAAGGGGGATGGAGTGTGAAAATGAGGAAATGTCGCCTATTACAATAAACCAGCATGAATCCTGTCTCATGCACATTTGATTCAATGCTGACAACATCCCACTTGGAAAAAGAGTGAGAATTAACAGTGTAGCCAATAATTGGTTACAAAGGACAGCTATTGTTTCTTAATCCCTTTTTCCATTACTCGATTACACATTACGAGTATGTGCTCCTCCACCTCCCATTGGATGCACAGATGCTAAAACCACAGGAGATCATCTTAATCCTCAGGTGCTTTCAGAACAATGAATTCAGTTAGTCTTATTCCAGATAAACCATTGACAGCCACAATATGCCAACATGAAAAAAAACAGAGAAGCATGGTAACCTGCCTGCCATTTATACAAACACTGATAAATGTTTTAGCTTATTCATATATTTATATGACTCTCTCTCTCTCTCTCTCTCTCTCTCTCACACACACACACACACACACACACACACACACATTCTTTCATGAAATTTAAGCTCCTATTGGATTTTATCCCTTGGATTAATAAAAGTTGGTGTTCTGGAACTACTCCAGTTATTAATATAATGGGCAACTTATCGAAGGGCCAAACTAGACGTCATGATAATAATGCATCAGATTGTTGTTCTTTAAATAGCAGCTGGGTGTAGCGAACAATCAGAATCGGGGCCTTGGTGTGTTCTAAGGGGAATGTTAATCCTCCCACATCCCAATGAAAATCTCCCCTAAAACTGTTATTATCCCCATTTGGAAAGTGTTCTTTGACTCCTGTGGAAACATTCCTCTGGGGGGAAATCTCAAGGGGGATTTTCATTGGGATCATGGTATGTTTGTGCAGGGAGGGGGGAGTTTCAAGCCTCCTGCACACCATGGTTCAAATCCTGGTCAGCCTCGTCTGCCCCTCAGCAGCTGCTATTTAAAGAACAAAAGCTGAGCATGTTAAATGCTTGTGCACATTTAATGTTACATCTAGTTTATCCCCAAGAGGAATAACTCGTATACCTGCTAATCAGCTTATATGTTACACAAAAGTATTGCAAGAACTTAACATTTATACCATAGGACAAAACTTCCAGTTTCAGTTATTTTTCACTCCCCCACTTTGAAGTCTGAAGTCTGCTCAAAATAGTGTTACTAGCCACCCCAATTTCTGCTGAGCGGTGAACAAGAATCCAGGTGTCCTGGCTCTCAGCCAGGGTCTTTGTCTCTTTGGGGGAAAATAAAGCATGGTGGAGTGTTTGAAAGATGGTTTATTAATGCATATGTACACCCTGAGTGTAGATGAAGGGAGTGCAGAGTGTACAGCATTCCCATCTCAGGTGCAGCTTGTCCTTCCTGCCCCCTAGAATTGGATTCAGAGCCATCCCGCATGCCATATTTGTTCCTGCTTCTCACCTCCACAGCAGCTCACAGAACTCTGCCCCATTCCTTCCCAGCAAACCTTTAGATTTCAAAAAGGACAAATTTTCCTGTGACCTCATGCCCCCTCATCACCTTGGCAACCTGTCAATTCTCCTATCACTGTCCACTCCTCAGAGAAGACAGTTCTTTTGCATTGCCAATGTCCTTAATGGATCAGTGCTTGGTTCCCTATTGCCCCGCAATGTCTCTGCACTAAGCTAGCCCAGCCAGGCTGGTTTGCATAAGCTAACCCAGGAACTTCTCATATGGTACAGTTCTGCAGGTTGTATTTTCCCTTCATATCCTAAATATTATGTAAATGCTACCCTTTATTAGTTTCTGGTATTCATTAACAGACTCTGGTACCCCATCTATAACAATAGGAAACAACTACAGTGGTACCTCGAGTTACATACGCTTCAGGTTACATACGCTTCAGGTTACAGACTCTGCTAACCCAGAAATAGTACCTCGGGTTAAGAACTTTGCTTCAGGATGAGAACAGAAATCATGCTCCGGCGGTGCGGCGGCAGCGTGAGGCCCCATTAGCTAAAGTGGTGCTTCAGGTTAAGAACAGTTTCAGGTTAAGAACAGACCTCCGGAACGAATTAAGTACTTAACCCGAGATACCACTGTATTTCAAAAGACCGTTCAAAATAGAAGACCCAAGACAGAGGCTGCCACTCCAGTTGATTCATACATAGAAGCTAACAGACCAACCTTATTCACTGTTAATCAAAAATAAGCCCCACATAATTCAACAAGACTTTAGAATCACAGCACAATCACACAGGCAGAATGGTTTCTGACTAGATCCGCTGGTTTTGAAAAAGCTGTCTGAGCTTTTTGTTTAGAGCAACTGTGCAAAAGAATATGTTCTTACTTGTTTAGGTTCCATTATTAGAACCACATAGTGTACTCCTAGACCAGGAGGTTATTTGGCCATTTACATTTTTTTCAAAGTGCACATGGTCCTACCCAGAATATATAGATAATTCTTGGGTTCCTCAGCTGTTAAGGTTGGAATGGCAAAAAGAAAATGCAGCCATGTTTGTGTCAGGCATTTCCTGGTGCCTTTGTAAAAGAAATACTGCATGTCCAATGAACTTAGCATGCTCAGGAATTTCATTGTACAGAGAAAAAGCTGTCAGACCTCAGATACAGCTTCATATTACTGTGATAATAATACCACTGTGTTTGAACACCCCAACACACCCTTCCAGTCGCATTTCTAGTCCGTTACAGAGAGAAGCAAAACCAACCGTTCATGCAGCAGGCTTGATTAACAACTGAAATTTTCTACCATACAAAAGTAATCAAAATTTGTCTTCTGGGATGATTCTATACAAAATACGCTTTTCTCTTGCAGTTTGAGCTCACAAGGAGTGGAAGGGAGATGGAGATATAGATGTAGTTAATCTTACTTGTTTTGTGTGGTGTTGATCAAACGATTGCCACCTTGAGTGAGTTTGCGCATTTCTTACTCTGCTGGCATCCGGCCAAGAGGTTATGTAGTCCAGACAGCCAGTCTGAAATGTAGATTTAAACTACTTAAAATCCATTGTTGTATCACTTCTCTTTGATTAAGCTGCCCTACCCTCTCAGACAAGTATGGGCAATTCTGAAGTTCTAGTAAGCAACTTAAGACCCGGTTTGTTTTTGCAGCAGACAATATAAGAAAGCAAAATTACTACAGGAAAATCGAAGGAGGCATGCTTTACTACATACACATTTTAATAACAAGCATTTAAAACTCTGCCCCCCATGCCATGCCGCAAGGATCACACTCAGTGAAGTCATAGGCATTTCTCAAAGCTTTCACAGTGCAAATAATAGCCACAATGTATGTGGTGTGAACAGAGGTACCCTGTGACGGGGGACATCCGATCCTATTACTGTGATGTTCAGTGAACAAAGAGCATAGTGATCACAGATAATAAGGTTAACATGTTAAATTTTGGACTAAAAGGCAAAACCACCTGAACACCAATCCATCTGTGACTGGCTCCCTCACAGGACTACCTTGTATCATCTCCAGAAAGGTATGCTCAGAGCAAATTATTAAACCAGGTCAGGTCAATCTAGGATTAATTTTTTCTAGGACTGTATATTTGCACTTGAGTCACTAATGCACATCAATTATCCTATGCACATTTACTCAGAAATAATACCTGCTAAATTCAATGATATTTACGCCCAACTAAGTATGCTTAGGATTGTAGCCTTACATGCTCAACTACAGCTTGGCTTCCTGCTAATCCACCTTGCCCAAGCAGGCAGAGGTGGTGGTGTCTGGAAGTGGGATTTCCAGAGCCATAAATTTGCTTTTCAAGCGGTTTGGGGCTTCAAAAACAGTTCTTGGAGTGAAGCAAATTGATTCCTTTGGATTTTAACCAAAGCTGCATGTGCAGTGCTTATGTGTGCTCTTACTATGAAGAGAACTGTGTGGCAGCAGCAAGTTGGAGTGTGCATTTGCTATATTATTGAAATGTGATACTCTCCCAAGCTCCACCCTGACACTGTCACACATTGGCTGCATTCAAATGTCACAACAAGCCTTGGTTTCTTTTATTGTGATGAGAACACCCTAGAGCAAGTCTCATGTTTATGTACACTCCCTCCCACTTTCTGCACATGTGGGGAGGAAACGAGAAGCTTCCATTTGTGGTTTGGGACAAACCACAGTTCCCCATCTTGTCTGAATGTAGAAAACCATGGTTTGTACTACCCAAAGTTAATAAACCATAGTTTGATCCCCCTTTGGTATCCTGTTCTTTTCTTGCAAGTTATAGTTAAACTAACTTTAACGGCTTTGTTTGTTTTTTTGCAGTACAAAGTTTCCACACATTTTCCTGCCCTGAAAGAGATCCCTATATGCACACAGTTCTTCTGTCAGTTCTTCTGACATTTCTCAAGTATTTTGTATTGTTTACAGTTTAGAACATGTTTCCGGAAGTCTCTGTCTCTCTCATACACGTATACTTTTACGACAATCTTTTGAATGGAGCTTTGTTTCAGAGGAGGAGAGCTAGGGTGTGGAAAGCCTGTTTTTGACATAAGAGAACCAGAACCATGATGATGTTAGCAGAACAGACTAATTAATTTTTGTTAATTAAACCTTCCAGTCTACATGACCCCATTTCAAGAAGCTTAAGCTGCTACTCAGGTCAGAACTTGTTTTGTGCAGCCAAGTATCCACCTTCCCTCTTACAGATTATGCTGGAGGGAGCCAGCCTGTCAACTTCCATGAGGACATGGATTTATCCTTGACTAGAGACTCTCCAGTAGCGCCTAATTTCAGAGATGAATCCAAATTCTTGAACAATTCACACAGAGAGAAGTTGGAAGGAACAAAACAACTCTTTCTTAGTTCTATTCTCTTCATGAAATAAAGAGATGCTGTGAAATAAAGAGATCACCTTCAGGGATGAGATAAATATTAGGGGGTAGCATAAGATACATTCCACTTTGCTGCAATGGGGGGTGAGTTTCGGGTTCATAATGACAGAATGACAGATAATTTTTTAAAAAAGAAAGAGAATCCAGACTAGCAGCAACAGAATGAATAGCCAACATCACACTGCTGTGTGCTGTGGAATTTATTGCTTCTAGGCTTCCATTTGCCCTTTGTCAGCAGCCCCACAGTGTGCGAAAATATAAATACAACAATGAGAAGTCACTTATGTGGGCTTGCTGTGATAATTTGACCTTTCTCCTCCACAGTCCATACTAGATAGTATATACATAAATTCCATCACTGCCTTGTTCATTTTCCCTCTTGCGAGTATTATAATAGGAGCAACAACAAAAACAAAACTACACATGTGTGGGGTAGGTGGGTGAATCTCATATTTATTTTCTAGAGGACTGTATTCTTTATGTGCAGATAGCCAGTCCTAGGAACAGCAGGGGAAACAGAAGTACACATTGAATCAGTTCCACTTCTAACCTGCCATGCTCTTAGTGTACATGGTAGGTCACAATTCAGATGTAACACATGCATGATATCACATCAAACAGAAATAAAGATATACATTAAAGTCTCACACCAGTTAAACCAGCAGTGGGAAACCTCAGGCTTGGGGGTCAAATGCAGCCACCCAAGCCTCTCTAGCTAGCCCTTGGAACTCCCCCCAGGCCATAATAGTAACAATAATTTTATTATTTATACCATGCCATCTGGCTGGGGTGCCCCAGACACTCTCTGCATGGCTTACTCCTCCCCAAGCCATTACCCTCTTTGACACTGTTCAAGTGTTTTTGTCTGGCTGGAAGAAGAAGAAGATGCATTTTTCAACTGAGATAATGCACAAGTTAATACATTGATCCAACAAGTGGCACACCCCCTGTACCTTCCTTATGAAGAGTGGGGCAGGCCCAGCAAGCGGCTGCAGTCCCGAGACTAGGCAAGCAAGCAGGCACTCTTTGGAGTGGGTTGGCTCATCAAGGTTTGCTTGTGCCAACACTGGCTTCTCCATATCCGCAGTGCCAGCTCAGCCTCCAATTAACCCTCAGTCACCTCCCTGCTCTGACAGGAGGACAGCTACATCTCAGAGGAGAGGTGCAAAGAGCCTGTCTTTGTGAGTGGCTAATATAGGTGCACCCCCCCCCATAGGTCCACTGATAAGTCCATGCATACACCCATGACTCATAATCTTTCACTCTATCTAGCTCATTAAAATACCCATACACATTATACCTGTGGCAGCAACTCCCTTCTGAAGGTTCCTTGGGCTGGAGGTGAAACCTACCACCCCCTGATGGCAAACAGAGTCTCTCTACCTTCAGAGATCTTCCTCTGGAAACAGCTCCCTCATGAAGGCTCATTATGAAAGGTGCCCTGTAGCCCCCAAAGCTTGGTGGGCCCTACATTAAGCCCTGTGCACTGAGGTATCCAATCAAAAACCTTGGAGGACCAAGCCAGAATGGGCAGTTGACGTACTGAATGCACTTTTATATCAGCAGCAGGCTGAGGACCACGATGCCCCCAAATGTTGTGTCTCTTCTGTGAAGAAGAGTAGAAGTAATTATGACAGTGCAAATGGCCCTATCATGGATCAAGTCATCCACACTTTTCTCAAGGCAGGTAATTACAAAAGAAAATGCCAAAGGATTGTGCCTAATGTATTTGTCAAGTAGCTGCTCCTTTAGGCTTTAGTGCATAAATGCAGGTGTCGTCCTCAATATATTGCTTGATGTTTGAGGGAGATAGATTGCTAAGCATGTCCTTATCTACAAATACCAGGAGATGAAAAAGCCATTTGGCTTGACCTTTCTTGTAGAAGAGAGGTAACTGAAAGAAACAGAGAGCAATTGTTCATAGGCTTCAGTGTATCACCTGCAGGGTGGGATATTTTCTAACCCCCTCAAAGGAATCTTAGATTTTGTTCTACCTTCCACCTATACCCAACAACTTAAAATGACTTCTGAAAGACGGGTAGTGGGCCCATAAACATTGGAAAGGGTATGGTTGCCAGAGCTGGCCGGCCCACCCATTAGATGCATTGAAGCAGCTGCTTCAGGCAGTGGAAGCGCAGGAACAGACGCCCCGCCTGCCTCAGTTTCTGATGCACAGCACTGTCACTTGTATTCCTTGCTCCTAGGGCTGAGAAGACAAGCAGCCAGACCTTGCAGAATGCCCCCCCACTCTCACCAAGGAGGCATTCTGGCACACAGCGTTGCTGCTCATCTTCCCCAACCCTGGGAAGGAGAAGATGAATGGCAAGAACTTGAGGAAAACCCCCCTCTCTCACTGAGTTCAGCAAGAGGGTGGCATTCTGGCGGTGGCAGAAGTAGCAAGGTGGGTGGGGTGTGGCAGCGGGTGTCTCTTGAAGACCTTTTTTATGCCAACAGACCTATGCAGTTGCTTACATTTTTTAAAAATAGCCAGTTATTTTGGTGATTATTTTATATACCATTCCATATTTAATTTTATCTGTTTTATACCATACAGTGGTACCTCGGGTTACATACGCTTCAGGTTACATACGCTTCAGGTTACAGACTCTGCTAACCTAGAAATAGTGCTTCAGGTTAAGAACTTTGCTTCAGGATGAGAACAGAAATTGTGCTCCGGCGGCGCAGCAGCAGCAGGAGGCCCCATTAGCTAAAGTAGTACCTCAGGTTAAGAACAGTTTCAGGTTAAGTACGGACCTCCGAAACAAATTAAGTACTTAACCTGAGGTACCACTGTATTAATATTTTACATGAGGTGGTGTTCAGAACAGGTGGACATGTCAATTTCTCTCCGTTTCTTTTTTCTATCAGTTTGTGAACTTTTATTTTAAAAAAGAAAAATTCTCGTGAATATTCAGCAGCGTTTTAATGTTAATTTCTTCCAATATAATATACACATTTTTGTATGCATTTTTGCCTAATAGACACATTTTTGCAAAGCATTTCCCCCCCCCATATAATGCATTTTGTCTTCCATATTTACGAATACATGCATTGAATCCACACTTTAATTTCTGTGAATTTTGCGAAGTGCAAATTTCACATGACTCTGTTTCAGTTTGCATCTTGCTTTGGAAAGTGTGAATTAGGTAAGTTTTCATTTAAATGCAAACTGAATTGAATTTCTTCCCCATCCCTAACTTGTGCTCTAGGAACACTTTTATAAATAAGTAACTAAAATCCTTCCCACATCTTTTCCCCTTCTTGCCATGGCGCTTGCCTGAAGCAGGTCACCCCGTCCTGCTTTATGGCAGGACCAGCTCTGATTTTAAAACAAAACACAACTGAGAAATTATGAATAATTTCTCTATTCCTGATTACTCGCATCCTGAATCTTGCAGAAAGACAGATTGCAGATTAAAGAGATTGCCAGAAATGATTCCGCTTTAGCGGAGTCCTTTACGAAATACAGAAGGAAACAAAACAAACTTTAAGTGAAATAACTTGCACAGTTTTCCTAGATTTGAGCAAAAGTTTGCTGAAAGAGATCACTAGGCACCTCCTAAGATAGGTCAAGCTCACAGTTTGAGGAACTGTGCTTCTAGGAGGTTCAAGCTGAGGAAATAAACTAGGAAGGTTTGTCTGAAGTGCAGAGACTGTTCACTTTGTGACTGAAATAGTAAAAATGGTCTTAGAAAGAGTTTGAAGATAGCATAATCTTTTTCATATTTCTTACCCTATATAAATTGCTGGTGTGTGTGTGGTTGTAGAGGAGAAAGAAGTAACTAAAAAGTCTATTTCTGCTTTCAAGCTGACCACATTGTGGTCCTACTTTGTGTTTCTCATAACACTGGTCAGAGAATCAACTTGTGACTCAGCTACATTAGTAAAAAAAAAAAAAAAGCGTTTTGAACGCATTATAAACATGCAACACCAGGTGGTGCTAGAGAGCAAAAAAATTATTTGCTATTTTCCCTAGTGTTTTTTGTTCTTTTATTATAATGATTTAATTTCTGACTTATTTATAGTGGGTATTTTTTCCTGTGTGTAGATCCACTCTTGGTGTGTTTCACAAGTTTTGATTCTATGACAATCTGGCATACTAAGAGCTAAATCAGAAGCTGCATGCCAATGCCCTGTGACTCCACAGTTCCCTAGGGAAATGAATAACAACAGCATACTGGGTTTGGGCTTAAACGATCCGGCCTGCCATTCACCAGATGACTTGCATGGTGTGAGGTCTGTCTGCAACACCACCTACTGAGGAAGGTGAGCGGATTTTTTGTAAGTCCATGGCTGCACTTCCTAAAGACCAGGAACTCTGAGACCAACATCCCCTGTGTTTCACAGACAGTGTTCCTGTAGCTCCTGCCAAAAATCCAATTTAATGTCTACTACCTGGTTGCAATTGAAAATAATCCAACAATTAAAAATGTCCCCCCCCAATATACTAAAATAAATATTGAGAAGCAAAGACTGCTGTTGCCAAACTATTTCTTTCCAAGATATATGTTGCGTTAATACGTTAGACTGACATCTTAGTGAGCTGGAGATCATAAGGTCTGTTTTATGGTGCATTAAAACCTCATAATGACCATTTCAGAAAGACAGCATAATACATTATTCAAAGTTAAACGCTGTCTTGAACGATAAGACCAGCATGCCATCAACCAATAATAAACTGGAGGATTGAAATATCCCTTTCCATTTATCTGTGAGGTCATTTACACAGTCAGAGCAGGACCATAAATGATGTATCTTTTCCTATCTAGAAGAGAAAGTGCATTGTTATTTTACAACATCAGTAAAATAATTTTAAAAAACGAAACTGCTGAGGGAAAGGCCATTATTATGCAGTTTAAACTTTCAGGCAAAGTACATTACCATGGATTTTATATAAACAGTAAATATATTTGTAGCACTTAGATTCCATATCAGTATATTTAACATACTGCAAGAAGCACTGCAGATGGACTCTATAATTGTGGTGCTTTCATCATCTGTGTGATGTTTATCCATTGTACCCCATGAAGGTTGGGATGCAGGTGGCGCTGTGGGTTAAACCACAGAGCCTAGGACTTGCTGATCAGAAGGTTGGCGGTTTGAATCCCAGCGACGGGGTGAGCTCCTGTTATTCGGTCTCAGCTCCTGCCAACCTAGCAGTTCAAAAGCACGTCAAAGTGCAAGTAGATAAATAGGTACCGCTCCGGCGGGAAGGTAAACGGAGTTTCCGTGCGCTACTCTGGTTAGCCAGAAGAGCTTAGTCATGCTGGCCACATGACCCGGAAGCTGTACGCCGGCTCCCTCGGCCAATAAAGCAAGATGAGCGCCGCAACCCCAGAGTCGGCCACGACTGGACCTAATAGGGGCCCCTTTACCTTTACCCCATGAAGGATAGGAAAGTCACAAAACACTCCCGTGAAACGTCATACCAAAACAATTCAGATGTTTGGCAAGATGAACTACAGTATATAGTTTTGCTGCCGTTTCCCTTAAACCAAACCTTACAAAGTTTTTAAGGCACTAAAAATAATGCCTATATAACTAGAGCATTTATGTGAAGAGCAAATCAGATCATATAATAGACAACAGAAAGAAACACTGATCCTTGAAAACTATCACCCTTAAGCTAACAGGGGGAAAGGCTGTGTCACTGCTATGCATTACACGGAATATGTTGACCAAATCTGCAAAGGATTTCTGTAATAACAGGCTGCCTCTTAATTTCACTTGATCAACCAAGTTTTGATGTGAAACCAGACTTCAGCCCTGCTGCTTCTAAACCAAATCAACCAAACAAATTCCTACCTCATGTATACAGTTGGGAGAGATTACTGTGTGCATAGGTCAAAGGTGGGGAACATGTGGCCCTCCAGATGTTGTTGAACTCCAACTCTCATCATCCTCGACTATTAGTTATGTTTGCTGGGGCTGATGGAAATTGGAAGCTTATGATCCAAATTCACTCCAGTTATGCCTAGACTTTTGTGTAGAGCCCCGTCACAGCTTCTGCTGCACTTACAGAGTTTGTGGCAAAGGGCAGTAGATACAGATACGATCCTGCTTCTCATTCTATTCCTTCAGTAAACTCAGCTTAAAAGGTGAAACCAGGTTTTATATAGACCTATTGCTGTATCCTTTCTAAAACGGTGTGATGTGACTAAAGATAAACAGATTTACATTGGCTCAACACACATTCCTTCCTAGGGCACCTGTGCTCAGTCTCCTCACTAATCACATGGCAAACGTCTCCACACATTCACCACCATCTTGACATAAACACACAGCATCTGAGGTTCGTGTCCCTGAACTTTGAGAGAATCAGCAAGCATTTGGAGAGTGATGGCTGTTCTTCCAGGTCTGGGAAGCCTACTAGAAAATGTGTTGCCTGCATAGTGCTATGGACCACCCAAGCCTTACACTATGGCACCACTACTGTTCTCTGCTAAATATTTCTGACCTGCACTGTTGTATAAAATAACATAAGGTGGTATACAAACTAAAAACACGGTATCAGAGTAAAAAAATATAAAATTTTCAACACATCATCAGTAAAAGCTGGTTGGCAACAAATATTGGGTTTGAAAGGCCTGCCTGAATAAAAGAGGTTTTTTGAAGACACCTAAAAATGAGCAGGGCTGGCTTCTGCCAAACCTCTGTTGGTGAGGAGATCCACAGGGCAGGGCTGCCACACTAATGGCTCCACCAGCCAAATATTTGGGGCATATGGGACCACCAAAAGTGCCCCATCAGAAGACCTCAGCTACTGAGGTGAAGCGGAAGGAATCAGGTACTTTGAGCCTAAAGCACTTTGGGCCCCCATTGTTTAGGGATTTGTGGGGCACCCACAAGACCAGGTGACCTGACTACACAAGCAGGATTTCTGTTGTTGGGGTTTCCTTACAGACAACCACATGCAATGCACAAGTCAACATGCCATTGCTCTGCATGTGGTAATGTTCTGCTATCAGCACAGGTGTGTGTTCCGTTGTCACAGTTACACGTATCTTTAGCATTGAGGAGTCCAAGGCCTAACTTGACATATCCCTCTTTGAAGCCTGAGGCCCAGGAAATTTCTTTTGAATAATCTTAAATTATATAAATAGTCAAAGTCACGAAGATGACATTTTATTGCTTGAATTCATTTTGATTACCCTGCCTCTGCTTTTGACAAATATTTTTGGAAAATAAATGAGCAAAGAATAATAGCAGGACTCCAGGGTGTCGTTTTTAACTGATAACATTGAAAACAGTGTATTTCCTTGGGATTAACAACTGGCTAGAATCAGTTAATCACCCTAGTCCATTAACCCCATCTGGTAATTAATCCCTAGTTTTCAGTCATCAGCACTCTAAACATTTGCCACACTTAACAAAAGCAGTGCTTCAGCTGGGATTTATTCTGGGTATATGGTTTCTTTATCCAAACTGGAATATATTAACATTGTCCTCGAATTCCATGTATTTTACACATTTCATATCATCAAGAACATACTTGAAAGGGAGTAAGCCCCACTGAACGCAGTGATCCTCACATCTAAGTAAAAATGCCTAGCACTTTGCTGGGAAAGACATTCTTAGCACTTCTGAATTTATGGGTCTCTTTGCCCATCATCCACTTATCTACCAGAGTCATTTACACGACTGAAGTCAATAAAATGATGCGGTGGTTTCAGAACACACTTATAGGGTGTTTGTGCTTTGTATATTCCGATAGACCTAATTATTTTCTACCTTTATTGTGTGGGAGACTGCCTCATTGTACATTCAAATCATTTCTTTCTATAACCTTCACCTTCATTGATTTTTCCCTCTGTATTCTGAATGTTGACTCTGAGATTAAAGCCATTTTTTCTTCAGCAGGACTCATTTAACAGTAGCTTTGCTATTATGAAGCAGAAATCATTTTGGATTGCACGTGGCGAGGGGGAGGGAGAGAGATTTCTACCCTAGCCAGTGGCAATCTGCCTTTTAAGTAAATAAACCTCTTTTAGAAGTAGTGCATCACAAATTGCTTTTATCACAAAGTTTAAAAGCATAATACAACGTATTGAAAAAGATATAAGGCAAGGCCTGGGATTCAAATAAAAAGATAATGTTACTAACAGTACATTTATGAGGGCTATCAAATATAACAAATTTGCAGAGTGAGATGCTCAGCAGCTTATTTTTTTCCCGTCTTTCCCAGATGTTACTTTAATCAAGTTGATACTTGAAATAGATGGAGCCTTATTATTATGTGAAGTAATTTTCCCTACAGATACAGTAACATAACTCAGCATTTTGAATGTGGAGCAGGTGAGATTATAAATCACTGATTGAATTTGCCATAAGAATCTAATAAGACTGAGCTCATTTTCCTTAACAATTTATGGTTCTGATTTGATTATGCAGTTTATTTGCCTGGCTTTATTACTGCATTAAACTTTCCCCCTTTTTTTCATTGTGCCTCATTTTCTATGATCAAGGCAAATTTGAAATACTTTCTGTGTGCACTGCTACTCACTTGGAGACACTCTGATCAGTCAGCAATATAGGCCTTCAAAATCTACCCAACTCAATGGGTGATGCCAGCCTTGGAAAAGAACTCATATGTACTTCAGATTCACACCATTGTGTCTTCAAGACTACTAGCCATTGTAATTAATCTTCCAGTTTGGCTACAGAATGAACCCTAAAGATGCTACATTATTGTTTAATAGTGAATGTGGAAAATGTAAATGAATTAGGCCTATTCGTTGTTTTTATTTATTTATTTATTTAGAAAAATATATAGATTGCTTAATCACAAACTCTCTAAGCAGTGTACATAACCAATAAACAATACAGTCTACCACCAGGTAAATGGCCATAGGACTGCAGTCTCAGTGAAGGAGGTTTTAATAAACAAAATAACTGTGCAGGACCCAGTCCCAGAGGGATGTCTCCACTGTGCTGGTGGCACATGTCGTGGGAATATATGAGACATTTTTGGAGGGAGTGGGGGGAATTTCATGAGATATCTTGGATTACTAGGCAGATCATGGATCTTGAACCCAGATTAATGGAGTTAATGCTCTTCACTGATTAGCATAAACATGTTACTTAAATAAAGATACTGATAATTGCCTTGATGGCCATAGCTTGCTTAGAAGCTGCACTGTTGTAAGGACTCTAACATAGGTTCTTTGGAGAAGTGATAGACTTGTGCATGGGATTTAACTTTATTGAACTCGTCAAGAAATGTAGCACACCCTGATGACTGCTGTACAACTCAGTATCCCTTTATGAATAATTGTCCCTCTGTTCCTAGAACTGGCCTCGCAGATGTTGTATTTTGCTTGGACACTCCAGAACAAAAAGCACAAAAAACATTTGTGACTTTAAGTTGCACTCAGTAATTTCTTTTGTTGTTACAATTTTTCAATGTTGTGCATTTGCAAAGCTTTAATAAACATATAGAAAACAAACACACTGCAGGCCAATGATAATGTATGTCATAGTGTACACTGCTTTCCCCCAGTGTTCAAATTGTCTTTTTCCTGCCCACTACTCCTGCCTGCCAAAGTGAGCAGGATGGCAATTTCATTGTATAGTTATGCCATCGGAAAAAAAGATTTATACAATCTTGCTTTTCAGCAAGCTGGTGCCCTGTTTGTAAAGGAAAGACTGCCAGCCAGTTTCATGTCTGTTTGGAAGCACCCTGATAACTATATCCATGTGAAAGTGGCAGGAATGGAAAGTACTGACACTGTGGAAAAATATTTACTTAATGGGGGATGGCATGTATATGGAAGGCATATGAGTGAACCATAAAGTATGTTCAGAAAAAAATAAAGCATTTGGATTAGAGATGTCTGGATAAGCAAGGTTTTTTTCTGTTTATAATCTCATAGGGTGGGGATGGGGAAGTAGATGGCTGGATGTTTCAGTCCTGTAGAAATCTGAAACATATGTTGTTTTCCTGTGTTAGCAGAATAACACAAATTAGTGGAACCTGAGGAAGATAGCAAGCAAGCCATGATCACTTCCCATTCAACAAAAGGCAAAGTTATTTTGACCATTGACTTCAGGCCTCTGAAATTTCCCCTGACATGCCAACATTGCTTCCTGCCACTCACTTTAGGGGTTTTGCTTCTGGACTTTATATAGAGTTTATTTTCTGAAACCATAGAGGGAGAGAACAGATTATTTTTTAGGGAACTGTAGAAAGGGAGAGATATACAGTAGGAGAAGGAAGATATACAGTACAGCCAATTCACACAATATTTTTTTCAGGGTAGAATATACCTCATAGAGCTCAGTTTCAGATGGGAAGCCGTTTGCCTGAAATCATCAGATCCACATTGAAGCCTCTGAAGTTGCCATGTCATTTTCTCGCATTGGCTTCTTGGCTAAGCACATGTACCAAAGGTCTGGACCTGCTGTGATGTCCTATGTTGAAGAGAGTAAAATGGAAATGGAGTATGATGTCAGAAAGAGCTCTTCCGAGTGTATAGTATTCTTAATTATATGCTTTTTCTTTTTTTAAAAAAAGTATTGTCTTTAGTTTGTTCATCCCTGCAACAATATGTGTGATGTGAAATCCAAGGTTAACCACCACCGCCTCCCTCTTCAAATGCAGTTGGTCCTGTGCAAATGCTCAGACTGTTGCATGTTTTTTGCTCATAAAAAAATATTATCGAGAAACAAGTTTCATTCTAAAAACAAATGCTAATTGCAGATTGATTCTGCATTACCCAATAGTGCATCCATCTGAAAAGAGTTTTAAAAAAACAGGTGTAGCCAGTCCTGGCAATGGATTGAGTGTATCCACGCCTTTCCAACGGTGTTGTGGGTGGGCATAGACCAAGATCACAATCTCCACTTCCTCCTTCATTCACCTGGGGCATGTGCAGGAAGGAAAAGGCATGGATAATCCTAGTCAAGGAGAGGATTTTCAAACATGTATCAAGTAACCGCACCCAGTTTTGTGAACAGTGGGATCTAGAATTAATCTAGATTGATAGCAGCATGTTGAGGATGGGCATGAATAATACTGAATGGAGAACTACATTTTTGTGTGTTTCAAATAGGTTAGTGTGGCCCAAGTGTCACATGACTGAGAGTCTTCCTCACAAATAAATGAGTTGGTGAAATAGGAATAATTTGTCACGAGCAGAGGTTTATGACTTTGGGCCTCTCCCTGGAGAAGCAGTTAAGAATTGCAAATCCAACAAACATTTCGAGGAGATGCAATTTATACGTCAGATGTTTTATTTAACGTTATTTATTTCTTACATTTATACACCACCTTTCTTTCATGAGGAGGTTCTCAGGGTGGCATATATGGAGCTCCAGGCACCAGTCAGATCTGCTTAGTTTTTGCAAGGTGGGTGCATCATATGGATGCGTGCTCAAAATACCACTCTGAGCTGGGCACTTCAGCATAATCCTGTGCATGTTTACTCAGAAGTAAATTCCTATGTGTTCAAATGTTGCTTTCTTGCTTGGAATCCACAGTCAAATGCAAATTTAACTACAAAGAAGAAAAGGAAAGCAGTGGAGGGTCCCTCACTTCATCTGTAGACAATTGGGTATCATTTCTGGGTAATCACTGCAGCCATTCCTGGAGGGCCACAATATCGTAATCTTGAAAAATGAAACCACAATCAGACTGAATTACTTTTGTCCTAGTCTTGTTTTGTTTTTATATCATTAAGCGCTAGAATTTGACATCAGGATTTTAATGCCAACTCAGACCTGGTTAATCTCTGCTTAGTTTATCCATATGTCTACCCAGCAGAAGGTCTTACATACTAATCTGAGTATCACATACACTACTGATTGACTACTCTTGATTTTGTTTGAATGCACAAAAGTGTGACTGTGCAAACCAATCTAGGTCTAAGCAGGTGCTTTGTTCTAGTACAAATATACTAAGAAGTCTAGTGGCAGACAATGGTACTTGTCTTAAACATTTATGGTGCTTTGGAAACTCATTTCCTTGCCTAGTTTATTATTCTATACTTATAGGCTTGAAAACTGTGGGAGCAGATGGTGTCCCAAAGCACAGAATGGAGAAAAGATGAAATCTATCTATCTATCTATCTATCTATCTATCTATCTAGTACAAGGGTAAATAGATACCTTGCCCAATCCGGTATTAGGCTTTTTTCATTTCCATTTAAATTGTGTAGTTCACATAATGTTAACCTCAAACTACACCAGTTTCAATGCTTTCCCCCTAAAAACTTGGGTTTGACTGATACAGGGATATTCCAATACATTGGGGGAAAACAGACTCCAAACTGTTTCACATAGGGGTCACATACTATTCGTTTCAGTGGTTTAGGGTGGATCAAAAGTCAGTTTCTGCTACTCCCCTTATCCATTGATAAGGAAAAATTATGGAGTGAGAGACTACTCAATAGACCAGCTCGTTGGGGTCCCAGTCCCCCATGGGTCCATGCGGTCAGTAAAAGAAGGAAGTTCCAGCCAAGTAATTTGGAGAAAATAGCGGTTGGTAGACCATGATCTTTATTGTTGCGCAACAGGTCCTCACAGGAGTAAGAACCCCAAGCATGGGGTGACATTGGCTTTTAAAACTTCCCGCAATCACCCAGAATGCAGTTTGTACAGCATCACTGATACATCATCTTTACATCACTGACATGTCAACAAATGGGCAGGGGTAGACAGGGGTTACACTAGTTCCATCTTGGCAAACATTTCCAGACATGTCTCTTAACACCTCTCAAGTACCTATCACCAAAGAACAATAGAACTCTTTACATATCCTTGTCCTGGGGCAAGTCCAGGGATGAGTTCTTGGGATTTTATGGTCAGCTATCAGCTCAGCGATCGCCACCCTTGGGCACTGCCTGGGTGGGGTGTTGTGTACATGCCCTCACTCTTGCGGGATTATGGTGGAAGAGAAAGGTAAAGGATTCCTTTCCTCTAAGGCTAAAATGGCGTTGGAATGAAGAGAATTGGTCAAACTACTGATTTTACATGAATTTATAAAGCTAGGTATCTTTCCTGAGCTGTCAAGTTGAAAGGATACATTTAGGCATAACTTTTTAAACACTGTAACAACTTTAAAGATGTGCCCCCCACCACATCCATAACACCATGCTCACCTCTTCCTCAGTGCTTTAATTTCTTTTCTGAAATTTTATTCTCATCCAAATCTGCTCTGGAATGCCAAGAGAACCTTCCAGAACAGCATGCATGGAGCAGAGTGAGGAGATCATTCCATCGGGCAAGCAGAAATGTTGAATTCCACGCCTAATATTTACAAGGTTCCTGTTTAATTCTTCAACAGCCGGGTTCCCACATTACAAATCGGTGCAAGCTAGCTATTTTCTGAATAAACGCTAAGGTTGTGCATTGGCTCTGAGAGGCAAACTGCACACACAGGCACACACACCCAAACACATTTAAAGAGCATTTGTTACTTTTTTATTTCTCCTTTAAAACTATTATATTCCACATATGAACTATAGGAACACAAATAAAACATAAGCCCAGGAAAGGTATTAGTGTTCCTGCGTATCTAACCCCATTTCACTGTTTATAGTTAGCCATTTAGTAGACAGGAATGCAAAAATCAGCATACATCTTTAGCCTCTTGAAGCCTTACAACATTTCTCCAGCAGTTCAGACTGTGGTGTTTATTTTTAATTCCGAAAGATTTGAAACACAACTTAAAATTCACCAAAGGTTGGATGATTAGGGATTAAGAAGACGCAACTGAACATTAGCCACTCCAATGCCCTTCACACAGCAGCAGTGGCGTAGCGTGGGTTGTCAGCACCCGAGGCAAGGCAAGTAATTTGCGCCCCCTAACCCGTGGATTTGCGCCCCCAAACCCTAACCCCCGGATGTTGCGCCCGGTGCGGCCGCCCCCCCTGCACCCCCCACGCTACGCCACTGCACAGCAGCCCTGTATCTCGACTCGTTTGTTGTTGTTATTTATATGTATTAGTTGCTTCACTCATAAAATGACTCAGTGTGACTTACAAACTTGTACAGCCCAGAATTTTCCTCAGCGATGTATGTTTGTTTTGTCTTTGGACTTATAAAGCAGATCTCTGCAGCTCTGTTTAAAAGGTCAATTTACGTACTACGGTTATTTTTAACAGTTTGCCGTCTGTATTTCCTGTTTCTCTATATGTGGTTTCTGAGGAGCTGAAAAATGCCACACCTCCCACTCTTGTATGTGCTGAAGACAAACAAGCATATTGATCAGATGGAGAAAACAGAGTTCTTCTACACATTTTAACTATTCACAGCAATTCATGATCAGGAAATCTGATAGGCGTGATTCCTCATCTTTCTGCGGCTTAATAAAATATGTCCATAGTCCAACAGAAGCATTACAGGTAAACTTTGTTACACCTTTTGTTAAGGTGTAACCTCAAAAGAATCTTGCAGCCACCTAATAAGAAACCAAAGCAGTCTGTTCATTGTTCCCTTCATAACTGAAGTCGCATATATGATTTTTATTAAGTGATTAAAGCACCCTGCTTTCTTTTGGACCACTATTCTGGTTTCCTTGGCTAGGATTTTAAAGCTACCTTATTTTCTTACCTTTATGGCACCACATAAGGGGCTACTTGAAAGGCTTCCAACTGGAAAATACAACCCTATTCAGCTATACTCACATGTATTGCATTTCATAAAACGAATGTCAGCAGTAGGCACTGGAAGGTTTTCACATACAGTGCTTCCACTGATGTTTGACAACAAAGACAGGACTATTCATAGCTAATGTTTATATTTCAAGAACCCCGCAGGAAGCAGCTTGAAAGGTTTCTGCATGATGGTTGCTCTAAGTAAAACCTGTTTGTGGTGTCAGACCACCTGCAATATTCAGCTTAACCAAAGGGCAAGCTTAACATCACTGATTCGGCCAAATAACAGAACGACAGTAGCCATATTTGGCCTTCATTGTCTTCACACAATTCCAATCGTGACTTCAGTTGCATGAGGGACACAGTGAGACCATGCTCACTGGACCCCACCCTTTCTGCCATTTCTTTTCACTCTTATTCACCCTCAGTGAGAGAATTTGATGGGGGGGCGGTTTCAAAGGAATGAGGCAACAGGTTCTACAGAAGACCCACATTATCTATGCTGTCTCTTCTCCATGTAGGATATTTAAGATTACTCCTTTCCACAGTCCCTTGGGAGGACCATAATTACATAAAGGCATTTACTGAATGAAAAGGAGCATAGTGCATTGTGATCAACCTAATAAATAAATCCCATTTAAGGACCTCTGCAATCTAATTAACACAGTTAAGACACACAGAGAGACATTAGACAGTTGCTTGTTGGACAGCGTTTTCCTGCTGGATGGTATATGTTCAAAATGTTGATTGCAGAATCTGGAACTAGGATTTAATCCCTTTATTTATAAAATATCAGGATTAACTAATTACACTGAGTGACAGCTTTAATTATAGTACAGTGAAATAAGTATTTACGCTGTCAGTGTAGCTTTCCATGTTCCACCAGACTTATCCAATGCTCAGCTTGTCTGAATTCTGTCTACCCATACCTCTTAAATGGCAGTATTGAATCATCAACCAGACATCATAATGGAGGGAAAACTGGAATATCATTCAGAGTTTTGGCCAGTTCATTTTCTTCTGGATCTTGCCAACCTATTCTGAATAGAAGAGAGAAATGGTCTGAAATCCAGAACGATGGTAGCATGACTTATCTTCCAAGAAACATTTCCTTTGAATTAATGTTACAGAAAACATGTTGAAGACACAAGACAAAAGTGCCCAAAGATGTCTTGTGCTGTTTTATCTTGTCGCACAAAAATCAAATTGAAAAATTTGTCCAGAAAACATGTAATGCTTATGAGTTCAGTGATTCACATAACAGACATACCGAATTGACCCAAATATAAGCTGCACCATTCCTTGCTGCTCCTGGTTGCATACTTTGGGGGGGGGGAGCCACGCTGCGTTGCTGGCGGCCTTTCCCCTTCCTCACTCTCTCCCTTCCTGGCCTTGGGGGGGAGGACAGGGGCAGGTGCTGCTTTGCTGTGCTCCTGGCTGCATACCGCAAAGTCACAAATACAAACCACACTTTAACATTTCATGGACAAAATTTGGGGGGAAAGTGAGGCTTATATTCAGGCCAATACGGTAGTTTGTTGTGGGTGTGTTGTTGTTTTTTTGGTGTGCAGGAACTTTATCATTTTCCTCCCTTCTTTCCTTCCTTTCTGCAGCCTTGCATTCAGGTTGGTCATATTTATGGTGCTCGTCAGTCCCAATCATATCAGTGAGATCCAAAGAGAAATGAAGCAGGCATATGAATTTTTGCTAGCACACAAGAGAAAGCAAGTATCTGAAAACTTACAAGGAAATACTCTTCAGTTTGGCAAATTGATTTAACCACTTTTTAGCCTCTTCCTCCCTTGCACCTCTTGTTTATTTATTTTAGTGTGGCATGAAAAAGTGGTCCAAAATTCATAGGATGGGATCTGACTCAGACTATTGATTTCAGTGGGTCTATTTTGCATATGTCTGATGCCACCCATAGAAACAGAAATTTGAGCTGAACAGATGCATTAACAACCTACACAGCTGACCATTCTTCTATAAACATATGGAAATAAATTTATTTATAGAATAATGATGGGATGGGATGATAGGATAATAACCTTTTCTTAGCGAATCTTGAAACCATATTTATATGGAGGCAAATCTCTTTGATCTCAGTGAAATTTACATCAAGCAAACCTGATGAAAGTGGTGAAGAAACAAAACAATTTTCTTGTAATACACATTTAATATATCTCACCTATAGCTTAATATACTGGCATGATCTCTAGGTATTTATTGCATTATTTATGAATTCATTTCAAGACTAAAGTGAGAGGATGATAAAAATGTCAGTAAAATGCATTCTAAATTTAAAAAGAGGCAGTTTGGCCATGGTAAAATTGAAGTTAAGAAACTGGACATAAAATAGGTTTCTGCCTAATTACCAAAGAGACCTTTGGATGAGGGGGCAAATCACTTTGATTTTTTCCATTTCCCAAACTGAGGCTTCCTCATTCACTTGCACACTAATTCACTGTCTCACAAGAACTTGGTATCAAACTGATTTCCTCTCTTCTATGAACAAATTATATGGTGAAGGATTAAGACCAATCTAGACATGATGATGGAATACTGGGAATCCATCTCAATCTCTGAATCATAGCACCTGCCTGATGAGGGGCACAATCAGGATGGTGTGAGGAAAGAAGGGATTAACCCTTCTACCTGGGTTATTTTGCCCAATGAAATTCTGCCTCCCTTCCCACCAGTTGGTTGCTATTTGTTTACCTAAGTCTTTCCTCCTGGAGCAAACAGCAGCTTGGGTGGGAGAGTGATCTTCATTGAGGCAAACAGAGGGAAGGGTTAACTCTCACACATCTCTCCTGCAGTCCATATCTAGCCTGGGCCTTTCTGCATGTGCTAGCTGAGGCTGAGATATATTCATGTGTATTTCAGTTTGGTCTTGAGTGAGTTGGCAAATAAGATACAGGCCAAGAGGGAAACCTAGATGGCTTGAAAGCAATGTGTAGGCCTGAGCAGAGCATAATTGTATGAAGACATGTAGATAAACCAAAAATGTTAATATCAAGGTCAAACTGAACATGAAGCCATCAAACAGAAAGCCCTCTGCCCTTGGCTGTGTGCACACCATGCATTTAAAGCATTCCTCCCTCCACAAAAAATGAATCCTGGAAATGGCACTGTAGTTTGTTACGTGTGAATGGAATTGTAACTTGAGGGGCTAAACTACAGTTCCCACAATTCTCAAGATGGGGATGGGGGGAAATAAGCTTTAAATGTACAGAATGCAGACAGCCCTAGAAAAAGGAGACATAGTTCATTTAGCCCTTTTTTCACCAACAGATAGCCTGCTATTCTATATTTATAAGAGTTTCATGCATGCACACTTCATTAAACATAATGGATCTCTCCATAGATCTCTAACAAGCACCATAGAATTGCATAGACTTCTACAAAACAGTTCCTTTCATTCCTACCACTCTGCTAATTCAACACAGAGCCTCCAACAGTTCCCACATTGTTAGTGGTCTAAATTAATGCTGCTTCCCTCACGGAAGCTTGAGATGTCCATGGTTAGAAATTAATATATGAAATTCCTATCCAGATATAGATTTCAATTTCAGCCAAGAGCCTGAAAGCAGTCAGCACAAAATGACTTCTATAACTAGAAAACCAAGCTGGCTTTTCCCATTAAAGTTAATGAAAGTGATTAAATTCATATTGCATTAGATTTCTCTGTGCAGTAGTTGTACATGGCTAGTGAATGCTGAAAATTAAGGCAATGCTCACTTGCTTCTCATAAATATTTCTAAATAGCGCGGCAGCAAGATAAGCCTAAGAGATGGCAATACTTAACTGTAACAATATGAAGAAGACTACCAACACATTCAGCCAGAGTGATTTTCGCCTCAAAGGGAATTATAAAATTCCTAAAGAAGAATCATTAGTAGAATGTTTCTTTACACAGAGGCTTTTGTAACTCTTGGGTACACTGAATTAACCACACAGAGGCAATGTTGCCCATTCAGACTGACAGCAAATCAGGATGGATGAGCAGAGATGGAGGACAGGGAAGCAAAATAATTGCAGAGCAAAAGTCTCACACTAGGAAGTTCCTCTTCTTTGGCTGCGATACTTCCCCCACATCTGGCTTGGGGCTGTTGCCACCAGAAGTGGCAGCTGGAAGCTTCATTAGACAACCAGTACTTAAAGAACATCCTCTACTTTAACAATATGGATGCAAGCAACTGACTGAGATTTCCGGTCACATGTTTGCCATGTGTTTGCAAATATACATCCTCCCCACCAGCTCTTAGTTTTCACTGCGAGGACACATGGCAGCCGTTCTGCACAGTTATTTCTTTGCAACATCTGGCGTGGCCTTTCATGTATTGTTCCCCGCTGTCATTTTGTGGCATGCTTTGGGCATTGTGTTCTTTTCATGGCGCATATGTGTTTCCTTCCAGCAGGAGGTCGGGAATAAGTCTTTGCACTAGGAAGGGAGGCAGGCAGGGTTAGAGCAGCTTTGAAAGCATTGCCCGGCCATTTAGCCAAGTGACCCAGCAGATAACAGTACATAAGAGAAACTTTGGTTAGGTCAGACATTAGTAACTGTAAGCACAGCAGCATTCTTGTGGGATGTCTTGCAAAGACTTCAGGTGGGGCTGTGATGATCTGCCTTGATGCAGCTTAGGAAACTTAAGCTATCAACTGTTTTCTTAGTTTTCATATGCTTCATGGTTAAGTCTCCATCTCCTGAGTGTCAACTTTCCGCCATTCTCTACTCAGGAAAAGCCTTTGTTCTGCCATGTCTTACATTTGCATTTCATTTACTTCAGGGATGGGGAACTTGTGGTTCTCCATATGCGATCGGGGACTACAACTCCCCCTGACCATTGGCCAGACTGACTGAGGTAGATGGGAGTGAAATCCAACAATATCTGGAGGCCCTTGGTCAACCCTTATTTTATCTTTCTACCTTAACTCTGTAACTGTTCACTATTATTGGCTTTTATGTTTGGAACAGCTTGGAAGGAGATAGTTTCAAATGATGAATTCATTGGGGAATGCATGTTACTTTGCCCAAGGAAAGAAATACTGTTCCCATTTCATATGCAATGTGTTGTTCATTTAGATTGTGAGCCCTACAACTCAGTAACAGAGTTGAAACATAACAGGAAAACCATGTGAATAAGTTGTGACAAGTCTCAGGTTTGCATGCTCCCCCCTCTCCTCTTTTCACCCCAGAAGAGGACATTGGAAGGTGATCGTAAACCACAGTTCACCTGTAGTCCAAACTCAGGGAACTGCTGTTTGCTTAAACTATAGTTAGTGAGAAGTAATCATATCCAGCCCATGAGTGGTATTCATTAGGTTACTTAATTTCAGTGGTTCTATGCTGAGTAAAACTTAGCTGAATACGCCACGTGCTTTCAGATCTTGACTTTTTCTGAAACCATCATTCAAACAAGCTATGGTTCCCCAAGTTCACATTTCATGGAGAAACTTTGGTTCATTTAAAACTGGAAGCAAATGCTTGCAATATCTTCTGGTGTGTGAAGAGTGTATGACCCAAGGCTCACCATGGCTCATATAGCAGGAAATGGTGGCTTTTTATTATATCTGAACCAAGCCAGTGCATCTGCCTAGCACCTCGCACAAGGGACGCCATTCTCAGCTTTAGTCATAATGAAGACAAACTAGTCACTGTTAACATTATCAGGCTGCTAATAACGGACCAGAATTCTGGACGCCCTCAGAGGGCTTCCTTTGTCTCCCTGACACCCACAGCCTCTTGCTGGCCACCACCACGCACACTGACCTTTGAAATATGGAAAGAAACATGCTTTGAAATCAAGCTGGCAGGAACAGCATTCAGGCTGCCGTCACTGGGGGCTCAAAACAAGCGGGGCTATAGTTTGCAAGCTGTCTTCATAATTACTTGAAGCAGTTGTCGCTCTAGCCCGAGTTTGTTCATTACACCCCGACAAACAGCTGATATTTGTTAAAGCACATAAGCCACTTTGTTGAGGCAGCCCTCGATATTGTGGGAAACCCTGCAGCTGCAAGTCACATGCAGTTCAGAGTATTTTCTGGTTCCTTTGCTTCCATGCATGCCTTTTATAGCAGTGCCCTTTTACTCAAACAAAAAAGGGCAGGGAGAGAGCAGGCGGCCGTGGGGGGGGGGGGAGAGAACCCTCACTTAGAAGGTAAACATTAGCTAACAAAAAAAGGCTTGATACGGTTAAGGTTTATGACCCAAATCTGGTTCTCATTAAACAAATGCTTGTGCAGCACTAAGGAATTCTTAGTAATAAGAAAGCGATGGCTGGAATTCAGGACGGGCGAGAGTCAGTGGAACAGCAGCCGTGCCTGTTTCAGTGTTCCAGCGTTGGCTACTGTCTGGGTTGGCAGGTCTCCCATAACTGCCAGGAGGGAGCTCTTCGAAATGGTTTCACTTGGGATTCAGAAGGCACAAGGCTCACTTTCAGAGCACCTGGACTTGGCTAATAGATGCCAATGTGAGGATATAAAGGGTGGGGTGGGGAGGTAATGCTCTCAGAAAAGAATACCACTTGCTGGAAGCCATCCAGGGGGGCGGGAGTGTTCTTGTTCATGAGTCCTGCTTGAGAGTTTTCCATAGACACCTGGATAGACATTGTGAGAACAAGGTGTTGGACTAGATCAGGGTTTCCCAAACTTGGGTCCCCAGCTGTTCTCCAACTCCCATCATCCCTAGCTAGCAGGACCTGTGGTCAGGGATGGTAGGAACTGTAGTCCCCAAAAAAGCTGGAGAACAAAGGTTGGGAAACACTGGACTAGATCGACCATTGGCTTGATGATCCAGCAATTCTCTCCTTGTGTTAAGAAGACAGGGCTCCTGCACCTTTAATTATTCAATGACAAGCTACACCTGCTGAAATTCCCTCTTTCACACAGCTATTAAAGGTGCAGGAGCTCTGTCCACTGTTCCCATCTGGCCATTGTAATCTTTTTCCTTTTCTTTCTTAGGAGCCCAGCACTGTTATGGTTGCTTCCACCATCCCCACCCAAAGACCAGGGTACTGCTGTCCCACCTTACTTCAAGAAGAAGCCAAGCTTCTAATAGAAGTTGCTTAAGGAGACAAGAGCACTAAAAAATAAAGAGCAGGAGGACACGTGCCTCTGAAAATGTCTGCAGGATACTTCAGTGTTCTGGGTGTTCAAAGAAGTCCTGGGGTGGCATTCCTCAGCCAGGTGACCTTCAGATGCTTTCAACTACAACTCCTATCAGGCCCAGCACCATAGGGCTGATGGAAGTACGGGTGTGCTGGCTGGGGCAGATGGGAGTTGTAGTTGAAAACTACCCCAGGTTGGCGTAGGCTGTGCTAAAGGAACCACTTTCCACTGCTAGACCCTGGCTCCCTACTGCTGGTGAACAGGCTGCTAACTCTCCAGTAGAGCTGGCATTGAAACTAGCACTCTAGCCAAAAGACAGAGGAGCCAAGGACGCCTATCTGATTTTTATTTTATAGTCAGGATGGCAGAGTGAAGTATTTAAGGGAGACATTCTTCCAGAAGCAAAGGTTTATTGAGAAAACATAGGGAAATAGTAATTAAATGGATAACTCTTGAAGGCTTTCCAGGAAGGGAGAGAGGAAGAGAAGCAAAGACTGAGGGTAAGTTTGTGGCACAGTTGAGCTTTGGAGGAGGGAAGCGAGGAAGCACCTGAATTTTTCGGTTTTTCATGGCCAGTCAATAGGTGTACAGCAAGGCATTGATTGGATCAGCAGCAGAGGAAGGTTCTAGCATTAATTATCTCAGGAGATCCCATAGCTGCTGAAGTTACAGCAAGTGTGGCGCCTTGTGTACGGTCAGAATGTTGGACTAAGACTTGGGAGACAGGGGTTCTAGTTCCCACTCAACCATGAAACTCACTTGAGCTCCTTAGAGGGAAGTCAGGATATAAATGAAAAAAATAAATGTGCCCCCATGAGGTATACATGCCAAGACACCCATGAGGGGACAAGCAACCAAAATGGGCATCAAATCTTGTTCTATGGAAACAGTCTGAAAGTATCAGAGGCCTGGGGGAGCGGGGCAGAATAGGAAAAGCAAATGGCTCATGCCTTCTGTTTCTATACTCTCTCATTCTTTTCCTCCCTCATGTTGAAGATGTGGCAGAGGAGACAGGAAAGCCCTTGTGCTTCCTATGCCCTCCACATCTGAAGTCTAAGCTGCTTTTGATTGCATGTGCATCTGCAAGGCAAATTGGTTTTAGGTGGGTGGCATGGCAAGTGGGGTTGACATCATATCCCAGCAATCTCGATTTTCTTATTACTAGCTTTTTGGGAGATATTTTAGAGCCTGAAAAAAAGCACCAGTTTCAGGGGAAGGCAAAATTGTTTTTCAACTTTGACTGCTGTGTCCCTAGATTTACACACACATTCCTGTAGTGCCAGCAGGACTGTTTTGCTCCTTGCATTTTATTTTGTTTTAATTTTTACCTCTTGGTATAGAGAGCTGCTGCTCAGAACCTGTTTGGCCCCCTGTTATGGTTATTTTTAAAGTTTGTAGCTCCTGGACTGCAGTGTTCTTTGAGTTGTTATTTACACCTCTCTGGCATAACTGCAAAATGTTTCACAGTCTGAATGGTGAGAAATGCAGGGGAGAATTGGGGCCTTTTTCACCTCCAGAAATGCTTAAGAAGCAGACAATGAAAAGGTGACAGTCAGAGTAAAGAAAAGCATACTGGGTTCTCCTGTGAGAGTGACAAAAGCTGCTGAGCACAGTGGGTGGATTTATGTACAAATTCAGAGGCTGTCTTTTTGTGTGTGTAAAGGTTAGCAAATCTCTTCCCCCACTTTCTTTCCCAGAAGTAATTTTATTTCTCCTATTTGTTCGACTGAAAAGCCAACTCTTCTCATGCCCAGTATAGTTATGCCTGAGCCAAAACACAACCCCCTAATTTCATGGGCTACAAAGCGGAACCCCACCCCCGGCCTTTCACTGATGGTTAGTTGTGGTAGGGATGCTTGAGCATTTAGTTCAGAAGTGAAGTGACTTGATTTGCTGGCCTGGGCTACTATGTGGATTGGAACACAGTTACCCTTCTGTTTCTTGAACTCTGGTTTTTGTGTCCTTAGCTCAAAAAAGCCAATATGCCAAAATGTATATTTTAGGTTAAAATACATATTTTGGGGTAAAATATGTAAAGAATAATTGCAAATGTTTATACAGTAGTTGTTAAAAAAAAACCTCAAAGGATGATGTGGAAAATGAACAGTACACTATCAGAAAATAGGGTGGGAAAGTCACCCAATTGCCTAGACAACTGACACGGACTGGCTGGATGCAGAGGAGTGGCAGGAGGCACAAGCTGGGGAACCCCCAAGGGAACCCCCATGGGAAGAAGACTCAGAGCCAAGGGATTGGTGGTGGGACAACGACAAGTGGTCAGAGGGAGGAGGGAGAAGAATGGGAGACGAAGGTGTTGGAAGCTGAAGAGGTAACAGGGTTTAGTGAGCAGGAAGTGGCTATGGCAGAGAGCAGCCCAGAAGCAGAGGCAGAAGCGGGATGAGGGGAGGCAAAGTGGAGACGGTCTGCTGAAGAAGCCTGGTCTCCCAGAACATGAAGAGAAATGAAGAGAGACTAGACCAGGCACCGGCAAACTCTGCCCTCCAGATGTGTTGGGAGTACAACTCCCACCATCCCTAGCTAACAGGACCAGTGCTCAGGGATGATGGGAGCTGTAGTCCCAAAACATCTGGAGGGCCGAGTTTGCCGATGCCTGGACTAGACAAAGGAGCCTGAAACTGCCTGGGAACCACCTGGGGGAGGAGGAGTCTGAGAGAGCAGTGGGAAAGTGGGGACCTTCAGTCCTGGCAACTCTCTCATTGGGGCAAGACCTCAGTGGGGAAGAGCTGCTGTGATCACTAGCCCTTCACTGTTTTGGTTTCTTTGAAAAAACGGTTAACTTCACTGACACTGGGTCTTTTATTGTTGACCTACTCCTGACTCCGGGTCCTGACAACAACAAGGCAACTCTCCCTACCATCCTGCTCTGTATTTCAGCAGCTTGGTGCAGGAATACGTATAGGAAAAATTGCCAGATTGCCTAAGCAACTAGGTGACCCTCCCTTCTGAACCTCCTCTGCAACTAACTTCTAGTCCTGCAGAACCACAGAAGTTAATTAATTGTAGGTTTGGAGGTTTTCAGGGAGGGGGATAAATGCCCACTATCCCCCTAAAATATTTAGGCTCAAACGCCTTCCCAAGGCTTAGGAGAGAAACAAGATACTGTATAGTATGTGTAATACCGTATTTGTGCTTACAAACCATATTTGTAAGCAGTCTCCCTGAGCTGGTTTCCATGCCTCTGTTTCCCATTCCTAAATTAATGTCTTAATTTAAATGTTTGAATGAAGTGTGATACATTTCTCTCCCCTCCCCCTGCTCTATTTGAGCCCTAACAACAGCAAATGACACGACTGTCGTTCGAAGAGTAGGGTTACACCCGTGCCTTGTTACCTCATTTTCATGACAAAGATTGTATCTGACATTTAATATCCAATATCTTTCAGGAAACAAAGTGAAGGGCTCCTCCACCCTGACCTTTTCCATGCACTCTCTCTGTGATTGGTTCATGCATTTCACTCCTCCCTGCATATTAGGGTCTCATCAATCAATCAAATAGTGATTGCAATGTAATATCACAGGGCAGCATGATTTTCAAAGTGTGTCATCAAGGGTTTAGAAAATTAAAATCCCGCCATGCTTCAAGTAGTTGTTGGTTGTTCGTTTAAAACATAACACAAATAGGTTGGATTTTCTTGCATGTCGCCCACATCACAAGATCTGAACAGCAACTGTATGGATTTTTGTGAACACACTAAAATAATGCACAATATTCATGGTCAGCTAGCAACCTCTCCTAGCTGTAGCTTGCACAAAGGTGGCTCAGAAAGCCATAATGAGGCATTAAAAACACACATACAAACGGATTGCGGAAAATGAGTAGTGACGTTTGATGGCTATAAGTACAACTGGCAACTTCTGGGATAAATTCCTAGGAACGGTTATCCTTTTTTGTAACATTGTAGAATTAAGAAACACATGTCCAAATGAAACTGCAATAGTCTGAAATTAAAGATGAAACATTTCACTGGAATTCATAATGTTCAGCAGTATGGCAGATTTACACAACCCCAATTCACACCCACCTCACAAATTATAACATTGGAAGATGAACTCTGGATGTGAAAAGGTCACAGAGGAGCTTGTGAAAGAGCTTGTGTATGTTCTTTATGTGAGTGGACCGGAGTTACCTCTGAGTCTGGGATGATTTCAGGGTGTGTTTCTGGGAACAGCTAGATCTCTAGCAAGATTATCTGCAAATAATGCAATAAACCAGAGGTAAAAAATAAAATAAAACCTCACCACATGTGAGTTACTCTCAAATCTGCCCCACCATACAACAGAATTGGATTTCCCTGCTGCTGCCACTGCTAATGGTGAGCCCCCCCCCCACAAAAGCTGTGAAAGAATATCTCCTTTCCCCTGAAAATTCATGGAAAGTGTCCCTCCAGTTTCTCTGCTCACAAAAACAGGGAGGTGCATTTTGACAGGCCACTTGTGCCCAGCTCTAACTAGATCAGATGAAGCACAGAAGAAAGGATTAAGATATTATTGAACAACATTAGTGGAGTGAGTTCTGACAGCAACACCCGTGACTAACGTTACTGCCATCATCATCATCATCATCATCATTTTAGTGGTGCCTTTCTACAGGGCATGACAGGCAATCATTTAACAGGCAAAGCAGTATAGAAATATGGTAGTAAGAAAAGTTACTTCCTGTTGTTTCCTTGGGTCTGCCATGCAGCATTTTCATACAGCTGCTATTACAGTGGTCCCTGCAGTAGCACAGACTGAATGGCTGCAGGGAGACAATACAAACCGGGGGGGTGGGGGGGTGATAAGCCATGGTTGGCAGCTGCAAGAGAGATGGTCCCTATAACAAGCTGAAGATGAGGCGGTGGCAGATGAATACTTGAGAAAGACTGCTTCCGCCTGTGCCGGGGTACCTGCAGGGCATCCTTCCCCAACTTGGGGCCCTCTAGATGTTTTGAACTACCACTCTCACCAGCCCCAGCCAACACAGCCATGCTGGGACTGTCCCAATGCTGGTGGTTTGTCATTATGGACTCTGAATACACTTCAGAATAAGATAATCATAGTTTTGTTTCCGTTATACTTAATAACCTTTTTTGGAGAGAAAACGTTCCTGAAGTCCTCCCAGTTGTGAAAACTGCAGTCAGGGCCTTAAAATGCTTGGGAGGGGCCAAGTATTTGGTTGACATGTGGATGCCACCCTTTGCAACTAATTTGGGAGTGTGATTGTTTGTCAGTTCCTCATGGGAATGTGTGTGTGTGATCATCTGTGGAAGATCTTCAAAACAGGACCTTACCCGGAAATCTGTCTTTTGTTGTCAGCTGCTTAGAGCATCATTTAATGCAACAATCATCACTGTTGTGCAATATGATTCTCTGTAATCGTTGCTGAAATTTACATATTGCAGTTGTAATGATATTTTGTCCATTTTGTTGTAAAATTCAGTGTGGTGTAGTGGTTAAGAGCGGTAGACCCATAATCTGGTGAACCGGGTTCACGTCTCCGCTCCTCCACATGCAGCTGCTGGGTGACCTTGGGCCAGTCACACTTCTCTGAAGTCTCTCAGCCCCACTCACCTCACTGAGTGTTTGTTGTGGGGGAGGAAGGGAAAGGAGATTGTTAGCCGCTTTGAGACTCCTTCAGGTAGTGATAAAGTGGGATATCAAATCCAATCCAAACTCTTCTTATTAATCCAGCACTTTTTTGTGGCTGCTAAATGTGACGCAAGCATTCCAGGTGGAGCCAGCCTCTGAGCAACCATGCAATTCACTCTCCTGCCCCATTCTACCCCAAAACTCTGTTTATTTTGCCCCTTGTTATCTTGGCATCGGCATGCCAGTGCAATGGTGCAACAATAGCCGTGTAAATCCACTATGCCTGCATATCTTTGTGTTCTGCTGACACAAGAGAACTGAGTGGCCCTCCTGTCCTTGTCCAGTGGCTGCAACCCAAAGAAAGTACTGCACTGGCAAAAAGTTATTATGACAGGGAATGTTGCACTATGGGTGAAGGCAGAGCACTGCAATTGTTAAAAAGGTCAACTCGCTGTCCTCTTTCCCCCCACTCTATGGCAACACTATTGATATAATAGATCAATGAACTTTAATGGAAATACAGCTAACATCTACTATGTTCCTTGATGTACTAGCATGACCCAAATAATTATTTGCCATTTTCTGGCAATACTGTTACTATGGTTTCCACCGAATGTAGCACAGGTCTGATGCTCTCTAAACAATGCATGCGCCTTTCCAGGGCAGAAAGGATGTGCTAAAAAGTCATTTTATACTTGGTGAGAAAATAGGAACCACATATCCTTTTTACTGTGGTCTCTTAGGGGTTTGGGGAAAGGAATTATTCAGTGGCAAAAGGGACTACATGAAATGAAAGCTAAAATCACCAAGAGATGGCTGGCTTCCCAGAATGATAGTAATTATTAAAGTGCCTTTGCACCATCTATTCCAAAGAGCTGAGTTGGCATCACATGTTTTAATAAATAGATCCACAAAAGGGAGGGAGAAGCATGCAATTAATTTGTCATTTCTCTATTATACAATGCATGAAAGAGCTGAAGTGCATAAATGCAAAATCAAATTCAGATGAAGAGCCTAGTGGGGGCAGTTGCACTGGGGGGGGGGCTTCCCCTCCCCCCAAATCCTCCTTTACAGCCTATAATATAGTGGTCCAGCATAATTCCAGGCTCCCATTCCATTCTCGTTTCTGCAAAGCACCTCTCTGTTTCTGTCTGAAGGTTTTGTTTCTTTTAAGAGAAGGACATTAAGAATGTAACTCATCTGCACTGAACATCAGCAGTAGGGACTCCAGCTCCTATCAGCTCCAGCCAGCATGAATTGGGTGGATGTGATTTCATATATTACTACTACTAAATTTCTACCACTACTTTCCTCCAAGGAGCTCACAGTGGTTTACATGATGGTTCTCCCCTCTCTCCCATTCTACACTCAAAATAACCCTGTCAGTTTAGGCTGAGAGATGGTGACTGGACCAAGGTCAACCAGTGAGCTTTATGGTTGAGCAGGGATTTAAGCTCTGGCCTCCAAGGTCCTAGCCCCACACTCTAACCACCACACCACAACGGGTCTCTTATATAAACAAATAAATGTCTTTTATCGCGCTGCTGCAAAGTAATGAGGCTTCTCCCGAGGACTAATGAATGCATGCCTCAATTACATCTTAAGTTTTTGCTCATAATTCCAGCATTTCTAGACTACACTTTCCTATAAAACATCACAAGGTGGGAAAACATTCAAAAGACTGTAGTGTGATAATGCAACAGTGGTGGGGAGGGAGTATATTGGCAGTCATACTGCTGCTAGCCTCATTAAGAAATTAGGATAGATTTGTCCTCTAGCCCCAGAAAAGGGAGCACACAAACCTCAAAGAACAACAACAGCAAAATGTAAAAAGAAAAATGATGGAGACACTTTGGTGTGATGGAAATGCGACTGTTCACCCAGGCATGCCTTTGCATTAATTTCTCCCTGGTTATTAGTTAAGTATATGAATAAGCCTAAAACTGGCTGTAACCCGCCTGTAACAGCTCTCCTCTTCAGTAATGCAAATATGTGCTGGCAAGCCAGAGAATCCAGATGGCAGACTGAGCACCAGTGTAGCCATGCATGCTATGTTGCTTCCAGTTCCATGCCACAGTGGTCCTGATGTGAGAGGAACACAGTAGCTGTGTGTCTTGGCTTGCTTTGTGAGCCATTTGGGTTGCCTAAACTTCACTGCAGTGACCTGCTCTTGGCTTGTGGTGCACTGTGGTTTGGGTTGCACAGCTTGCTTGGATGGGGTGTGCACGTGTTTGTAGCTGGATCACTCTGCTTCTGAGCAAGGAGGTTGAACCACACAACCCCTGCTTCTGTCAAACTCTGTACTGCCCATCATGCAATGACTGGAGCTGCAGCGTGGCACTGGATGAACCATTCACACGCTCTTTCCATGAGGACTGTTTTTAAACAACAACAACAACCCAGATACATTTCAATAGGTTTCCTCATGCATATACTTGAACAAAACGATTGAAAAAATATGAAAGGCAGAGGAGGAAATTCCCTGTCGTGATTATCCTTTGTCTATCTGTTACTGGCCCAAGCATGTTCTACTTTAGAATAGGCAACATGTACCTACTAGTCCTGGAATGTCTTGCTTATGAAAAACAGGGAGCTTTAACCATCTGATATTTGTGTAGAGTCAAAATCTATCCCTCCTGCCATCACTGAATAGATTAAGGTATGCATTCTTTAAAAGAAAAAAAAGAGGAAGGGGGAACTCCAGAATACCTTTAATTTTTAGTCTTCCTTCATTCCAAAAGATTGCTGTCTCCAGCTAATTTCCTGTCTAGCACGAAGAGTGTCTAATTCAGGGGGTACCAAAACCCTGAATTAAGTTCCGAAGTTTAGGAATGACATGCTGCACATATTTTACACAGCTAAAGAGTCACCCAGCATCTTTGTCTGCTGTTGAGATATTCCTTCCTTGCAAAAAAAAAAAAGTATTATTATGAGAGTTACCATCTCACTGCCCCCGCCCTCTGACACCTGGCAGCTCCTCTTGCTTGTAGCAACAGCATGGCAGACCAACATTCAACAAATACTGCTTGTCTTCTCATGAGATTTCTGCCTGTTGCACTGCTGTTTGTTACAAGCGCAGTATCAACACCGGGGGGAAATGGTGGTGACCGTAGCAGTAGCAGCAGTGGTGCTGCAGAGAGAAAGAAAGAGGATCATGGGAGCAGAAATGTGGGGGTGAATCCTTGGCTGTACAAAATGTACATTGTGCTGCAATTGTACATTGTGCTGTACAAAATGTACATTGTATGCTAATACAGCTGCTAAAAACATGAGAGTCCATTCAGAAGAGAATGGGGCAATTACGCCTATTATCTTCATAAGATGCCCCTGTTTTGCTACCCATAGAAGCCTGGGGTAGGCAATATTTTCTTCCTAGGGCCACCTTCCTTTATGGATAATCTATTGTGGGGCTGTGGGGTAGCTTTTGGTGGGACCAAAGCCAGTAATGGGCAGTACTAGAGCTTTGGCTTTGGGACACTTGGAAGGGTATGCATGCAAGATTTGGTTTTGATAGTGCATATTAGCAGCTTTCATATATAATAAATGAAGCAATGCTTTTCTAGTCCTTCCAAATATTCCTTCAGTGCAATCCAGAAATAAGGTCATTCTGTTCCTTGGGACTCTCAGGTAAGTGATTGCAACGTCAGCCACCTATTTACCCATCCCATGCTGCAAAAAAGACTGTAAAGCCCTCCCCAAATATTTGCAAGTCTCCAAAAAAAGGTTATTCCTTATTTGTGTAAAAAAATTGTGTCTGCGTATGGATTTGGTGCATATGATGTGTGGCATGATCAAGAGGACCTTCTCAACGGATCAGCAAGAACATGATGGGACATGCTGGCTCTTTGAAGCCAGTGGACCAAAACCACTTAGGCTTTAAAGAAGAAGAAGAAGCTTTAATTGTGCCTGAGAGGCTATTAGAAACCTTTCAAGTGCAGGCTTTCAAGTGCTAGGCCAGCAAAGAGTCTGAAAAATTATTATGGGAAATGGGCATCGCTGCAAAAGTATCGCTTTGTCTTCTGCACAATATTGTCAGTGCACCTCAAGAAATGATAAGCATAGACGTGGACATGATACGTCCTCAGAGTCCATAAGATGCACAGGGCTTATTTGTTAACACAAATGGGAATGCAGACAAACAAGTTGACTTCTACTAGTTCTGTTGCCAGCCAATGCCACAAAGAGACCCGAGACCACATTGCTTTTACCTCCTACTCCACACAAAAGAGGAACACAGAACATTGAATTTCAGAACATTGAAGCTTCTGTCACGGAGAAGCTCAAACATCCTCTCCAGATGGTGCATGCTTCCTGCAGTAAGTCTATCCAGTGGTGTAGCTTGGGTTGCCATCACCCAAGGCTGCACAGAGTTGGGGGTGGGTGGGAGGGAAATGGAGGGGGTATGTATGAAATAGTGTCTGTGCCACCCTGGAGATTGCAGCTGGAGAGATAGAAGAAGAAGAAGAAGAAGAAGAAGAAGAAGAAGAAGAAGAAGAAGAAGAAGAAGATTCCTGACTGGCATGGAAAAGCCATTTTTAACAGAGCCCAGCGATGGAAGCACACAGCTGTATTGAGCTGATTTCATGCCCGGGGCCACTGCCCCCATACACCCCCACGCTACACCACTGAGTCTATCTCAAGTCTGAGAAATGGGGAAGTGGTGGGACCCCTTAAAATCTACCTGCCTCCTAAGCCTAAGTTCAGTCTTAGGTACAAGAGCTCCCACATATTGACCCAAACATAGCAACGGAGATTGGCCCGTGATATCTGGTGGACCTGTTTCCTTACTCCTTGCATTCATTGCCCTTTCCCACAGTTCACTCTTTTGCACAAAGTGCAACATTAGCGTACGGTAATTGCTGCCAACCTCCCACACCTCTCAGATCTACTGTGAGGAAGAGGCAAAAGGGCAGGAAAGGAAAAACGTGTGTGCACACACATGAGCTCGCAGGCTCAAAGATAAACAAAATACTTTGGAAGAAGTACAAGAACTAAGGAGCTACAATAACTGGGTCACTGATTCTGAGCCAGGAAAAACATACACAAGTGGAAATAAGAGCAGTAGAAGAATTTTCATATTACCTCATCCAAAGGTTTAACGTGTCCAGACAGCAAGATGTTCTGTCTTCTGGAAAGTTATTGTGGGAAAGGAAGAAGGCATCTCTGAGGCATTTCCACACAGTCTAATCAGAGCTATTTAGAGATACGATTCATGTGTCCGTACACGTGTAACCAGAGATGTCTTCAAAACCTAATAAGAAGCAGAAGCAGCAAAAACATTAGGAGGACACATTATTAAATTGATCTCTGATAGTTTAAAAACAAACAACACAGTGATTGGGACTAAAAAAACAAACAAACCCAACTGCATATTTAAATTATCTTTGGTGTAAGATGCTTAAACTTAGTTTATAAGTATATGTGAATTCCCTGAAATGTAGTAAAACCACTGCAATCCACAGGACTCTCGTGATCATATACCATTGGGTAAAACCTTTCCACATAAGGCAGAGCAAATTTTTAGCACCTTACCACTATACAGCTTGGGAAAAGGCACCATTATTTAGATAGCATCAATATAATGTGTCCTATCAATGTGTAATCTAGGATTTTCAACCCTCTTGGTATGGCAAACAAGATGTCCAAATGAGGGACAGATCTGCTAGGAAAGTAATAACAAGGGCTCTAAACCCAGAGTGGCCCCAGAAGCAACTTCAGTTCACATTGCTTTTAAAAAATGGGTCTAGTATTGATTAATTTTTAGTTGTATATATTTCAACAATCCCAAAGTTTGAGAGTCAGCAGCACCAGGTTTTTTTCCAACTGAACTCAATTCTGACACCTCTCAGGTGGGTGCCAGAGAACAAGGGAGGAGTTCGTGGTGACTTCCGGCACCCCTTTTTCTAGAAAAATAGCACTGGGGTGTAATGTTGTAAAAGGGCGGTGATCTGTCGCTGTGCAGCCCCATTGAAGAAGATAATAGTGGTTACCTAGACCTCATTGCTGCTTGTGAAAGGGCCCACATAGCAGATCAAGTTTCAGGACCCAGAAATGTAGGTCCACAGCTGGTCCAAATGTAAGATTTGAAACGAGTGAATAAAAATTGTGCCTGGAAAAGTCTTTTGCTTTGGATCATTTTTGCCCAGTAAATACATGCCTTACAGTTGCCTTTGTGTATTTGCTTTTTGCTAATCCAGGAAAAATTACTTGTGTGGTTTTAATGATAGTGTATTATAAAGTTTCCATTTTACTCAAAGGAGTGTGGGGAAAATATGCAGTAAAGGTCCTTTGTGGCTAGTGAAGGAAGAGCAGAGGAAGAGCTGGCCACTGCAGGCAACATCAGTTTACAGGTCCACAGTGGCCCTGCTCCTACTCCTGCTGCAGAGTTGGGCTCATTGCAATGTTTGAACCTGGGTTTGTGGGTTTGGAGAGCAAAAAACCATGAGCTCAGGTTCAGCTGCCACAGCAAGCCAGACTCTGGCATGTTTCCCAATAATGCTGCAGTAGGAGGATGGGAGGGAAAAAGAACTTTTCAGCAAGTTGTCAAGCTTCCTTGTCCCACCACCTATCTGAATATAGAAATGGGGACCTTTGGACAAAGAATGGCTGTGCAGCATGCCACGCTGTTCACAAGCATGTTTGGATCAGGCCCCTTGTGTGTAAAAACAGGGTAAACCTCACATGTAAATTTCACACTGGAAGAGGGGAATCAAAAGTCTGGCTTTTGCTTTAAGGAGAACAGGAGGGGCACATATCAGATGAAAAACCACATTTAAAATAAAAATAAAAAATCTACCGCAGTAAATATGACCTTCTGCCCCTGACTCACTTGGCTGGTCAACCATCAAGCATTCTGCCTTATTGCCAAAGCCATGTACTGAACCACAGTAGTGTATGTTTCTTTTTTAAAAATTGTGCAGTTCCCAGAAAATAAAGTGTGTTGTTATGTTTTGCTACAACAGCAATGTTTCTGGATTGTTCCACCTAATATTTAAAAGTACAAGAGCTTTCATTTTATTTCACCAAGCTAGCCACTTGGGAGTCCAGGAATAGCCAATGTTTATAAAAGAGTCTAGCTCATACAGTTAAAACTATATTTATTTCTTTTAGCTAGAGGATGCAATACTGAAGTCTCTTTTTCTGAATTAGCTGCATTAATTTGGTCTGAGGAGACCCTGTAGTCTAAGATTGTTGCAGTGGGACGTGAGGCAACCAAAATGGTCAAAGGCCTGGAAACGATGCCTTATGAGAAACGGCTAAGGGAGCTGGGCATGTTTAGCCTGGAGAAGAGGAGGTTAAGGGGTGATATGATAGCCATGTTCAAATATATAAAAGGATGTCACATAGAGGAGGGAGAAAGGTTGTTTTCTGCTGCTCCAGAGAAGCGGACACGGAGCAATGGATCCAAACTACAAGAAAGAAGGTTCCACCTAAACGTTAGGAAGAACTTCCTGACAGTAAGAGCTGTTTGACAGTGGAATTTGCTGCCAAGGAGTGTGGTGGAGTCTCCTTCTTTGGAGGTCTTTAAGCAGAGGCTTGACAACCATATGTCAGGAGTGCTCTGATGGTGTTTCCTGCTGGGCGGCGGGTTGGACTCGATGGCCCTTGTGGTCTCTTCCAACTCTATGATTCTATGATTCTATGATTCTATGAGTCAGAGCCAAAGTGGTGCTTGGTGTAGTGGTTAGCATGTCATCTTCTTCTTTGGCGATCACTCGTAGCCAAGTAAGATTGTCTTCCATAAACACAGTTTTAACAATGAGTCTGTAAGTGACTGTGGAGGCCAATTCTGGATCCACACATCCTTCCACAGTGGGGACATTGGTTTCCGGGTGGGAGTTGATCACGGTGTGGATTTGCCAAGCATGCACGTTTCTCTTAGCCCGTTTCTCCCTTGCGTCCTGAGTTTGGGTATCTTCAAAGCCCATGACACCTTTGGTAAAGGCTGTTCTCCAACTGGAGCGCTCGCAGGCCAGTGTTTACCAGTTGTCAGTGTTTATACTACATTTTTTTAGATTTGCCTTGAGATAGTCTTTAAACCTATTTTGTTGACCACCAGCATTACGTCCATTTTTAAGTTTGGACTAGAGCAGTTGCTTTGGAAGACGATCATCATGCATCCACACAACATGACCAGTCCAACAAAGTTGATGTTGAAGTATCATTGCTTCAACACTGGTGATCTTTGCATCTTCCAGTACACTGATATTAGTTCACCTGTCTTCCCAAGTGAGTGTAAAAAAATTCAGAGACACCGTTGATGGAATCTTTTGAGGAGTTGGAGATGGCGTTTATAAGTGGTCCATGTTCCCCAAGCATATAGTAAGGTTGGTAGTACAATAGCTTTGTAAACAAGCATTTTGGTTTCCCTGCAAATGTCCCAGTCGTCCAACACTCTGCACTTCAATCGGGAGAAAGCCCCACTCGCAGAGCTCAGGCGATGCTGGATTTCGGCATCAATGTTGGCCCTTGTGGAAAGATAACTGCCTAGGTAGGAGAAGTGATCAACATTTTCCAACATTACACCACTGAGTTGGATTTGTGGCGCTGCAGAGGGGTTCTTTTGTACTTGTTGGTGCAGCACTTTGGTTTTTTGGATGTTGAGTGATAGGCCAAGCTTTTCGTAAGCTTCTGCAAAGATATTTAGGATGGTTTGGAGGTCATCCTCTGAGTGTGCGCACACTATGTTGTCATCAGCATACTGAAGCTCTAGGACAGAAGTTACACTAACCTTACTCTTTGCTTTCAGCCTGCTCAGATTGAAGAGCTTTCCATCTGTTCGATATATGATTTCTACTCCAGTGGGGAGTTTCCCTTCGACAAAGTGTAGGATCATGGCCTTCACAGCCATTGTAACATACTGTTTGTTTTCATCCGCCTGTTCTGCCGTTGAGGACTTCTTGGATCATTCTTTGTCTAGCTCCTTTCCTTTGACCTTACCGCCTTGGGTGACCCTGCTGGGAGTACGAGATTCCTGACGGCTTCTCTCACAAGGGTCATAGGAACATGCAAGCCCACTCACCACGACAAAGTGATGATCCAGCAAGTGGGGGTTAGCATGTAGGACTGGGGAGACTCAGGTTCAAACCTTCATTCAGCCAAGGAGATTACTGGGTGACCGTGAGCCAGTCACTCATTTTCAGCCTAATCTATTTCACAGGGTCACTGTAAAGAAAAGAAAAGGTTGCATAAAAATGTAATTAATAATAATTCAGCCAAACTCATTAAAAAAAATTCCTATCTTACAGTTTTCAGTAGGAGAGAGTCCCATGCTATGTTGTTACTTTCAGGTGTGGCAGCTGAAAATAAACTAAGAAAGATGCTCATGTTCTATGTAGTAGTAGCTCAAGAATGTACAAAGGAAAATATTCAATTGTGCATTCAAACTGTGCTACAAAACACAGCCCAGCATTCCGTAGAATGAGCACTCAACAAAGCATTCAGCGAAAATATTTCATTATTTTTCAGAATAATGCATCCTTGCTCAAAATGATTCTGCACAAAATATCCCAACATACGTAGTAATGTACTATGGAATGTGAACTGCATCATGAACTGGTGAGGAATTTTTTCAGATTATAACCCTAGAGATGCTTGGCTGATTAGGTCAGATTGCTAATACAATATGTTCTTATTTTGTATTTTTATCTTGTGAATTGCCCTGTTTTCTTTGGATAAAGGGTGGTATACAAATTTAATAAATAATAGTCAGAGAGAGAGGGGGGAGGGAGGGAGGGAGGGAGGGAGACTACCTCCTTGTTCTCTTTGGCTTCCTTTTTGGGGAATCCAAAGCTCACCTGTCTGCTCCCTTCCTACCACCAGCACACCACCCATACGTCAAACTTTCTCACTGGATCCTGCTTTCCTCGACTCTGTGCCCTGGTTCACACATTCAGACCTAGCAGGGATTGAATGGAGGTGCCAGCTGCATAACTCAGCACCTCCATGTAATGCATGTCTTAAAGCTGCATGTCTTATTTGTATGCATAGATGCACATTTTGAAGAGATCGCCACAATTTAAATAGAAATAGAATATGTTTCACCATAGTGGGCTAAGGAGGAATGTTATCAGGTGACCTGTGTGACTGTTCAGATGGCTCTCCAAGCGCTAGCTGTTGATGGGAGAGTTTGAGGCTCCCCCTATTCTTAGGGTTCTCTAATTGGGATTGGGGAGCTCTTCAAATAAAGGACCATTCTCTCAAATAGAGGTCACCCTATTCCAGAACCATGCGTTTCCATGTTAAAATCACTTGTCCTATCAAATTTCAGCTGATTCCATTTGCAGTCAGAATGTCTATTATCAACAACTGCTGCCTTCAACATATTCTCCTAGTGTTTTCATACACAGATTTGTATGCAAAATTATTCATTCTTGCATATGAATATATGAAGTTCCACTATATTGTCAGAAGCATCTAGCTGGCTACTATCCATTAGGGATTTGTTCAGAGATCTTTCATAGGTTTGCTCAATCTCCTTTCTAACTAGTGACCCCAGTGGCTAAATGTGAGCCCTTAAGCATATGAAACACATGCTCTACCTTTGCATTATCTGCCATTAACCTACGGCCTCTTCCCAAAATGGCATTTCTAGCTTTCCTACAGTTGCACTGCATCATATATTTTATAGTCTTAGGACGACACTCATAGTCATTTCCCCTACAGTTGGCACTTGTTTCTCAGTCTTGCAGTAGTGCTAAAACAATAGATTACTTCCTAGCTCAGCACATAGGTGATTTTTCAAAAGCACTGTGAATTTCACAAGTCATAAACCAGTTGGCAGTTTCAGAAGATGCCTGTGTATGAATAGAACCCCATTTTTTTTATTTTATTTTTAAGATAAATGAATCATCTACTCTCATGGAGGTTTGCACATTTTATGCTAAATGTTAATAGAGCTGCCACTAATTTAGCCTCCTTCTTGTGGGTGCCAGTGCCCTGAACAATGAGTAATGAACCTTATTTGAAGGGAAAGGGCTTGACAGTTAAAAATGTAGGCTTAAATAGTGGACCTTGGGAAAAGCCAAATCACTACTGATGAGAACAACTGGCATAAAAAAAAGATCAGCTGTAACCCTGGAAACAGGAACACTGAAGTGCCAACCTCAGCAACAAGCTCACAGCTCATACCTGGTATTTTATATTGTGCCTTTGTTGTGTCACTGAAAACATGCTAATACGTTTTTTTCTCAGAACACATAAACAAGATGTTGCCTGGGGATAGATTAAAAAAAACACACCCAAGTGTGCTGATGTGTCTGTCTATCAGCTGGCACAACAGTGGGTGTATCTGAGCAGCACCTGACAGTTGTGCAACGCTGGCCTTCGCTTCAAGTACATCAGTGCAGGCTGAACTGTAACATGTCTAAATACAATGCCTGGCAAGCCTATACCAATATCAACATGCATCTAAGAAAACTTCTGGGAAACAGAAGAAAGGAGCTTTTGCTCATTAAAGCCCTCTTCAGAAAAAGCACTCAGGTGCTCAGCAGAAGGATGAGCTTGGCTGTGCTGGCTGGCCATGCTCTCAATACTGGGCGCCATTCGCTGGTCATAACATTTCTTCTCTGCCCAAGGATGATGTGTTCAATTCAATGCAGGAAAGAGGCCTCTATGCATGTACAGCTGTATGCATGTGGGGCTTTCTGTGTAGTTGGGAACCTCAATCTCACAGGGTTTCAGAGTATCAGGGATGTGGGCTAGAGGGGTACACTGATATCAGGTTCCAGACATAGAACATCCCCAGAGGACCACACTTGTACATTCGCTTGGAGAGGGCTCAACTTGCACAATGATGTGTTCATTCTGGGAGCCTTTGCTCATGACTGCAGCAGTATCTCCCCACAGTAGCTTCTTTCCATATCCCTGCCACCATATAAACAATTCCCTCCACATAGAATTCCATTCTCTGAAGGAGTAGGTGCAATGTGTGGAGTTGCAGCTAGATCCCTCATTGTCACCAAATGTCCAGGTGAACTCAGCGGTTTGGAGTGTTCATTACTCAACTTTGGTTGGTGTGCCAACTATGGCTGTTCCTGGAAAGGAATAGCCTTGTCATGGTGTTCCATACATTGGTAATCTCACTACTCTGATGTGCTATATGTGGTGCTACCCTTAGGCCTGGTTTGGAAGCTGCGCAAGCTGGAATAGCTAGGGTGCTTAGTTGGGTCATTCAGTTTTACAGATATTATCCCAGTGTTGAAAGATCTGCACTGAGTACACATTAGCCACTAGGACAAGTCCAAAGTTTCATTGCTGATAATTAAAGTCACAAACTTAAATATCTTATGGACTGCTTCTCCCTGGTACACGAGAACCTGCTGTTTAAGATCTTCTAAGGAGACTCTATTGGCCACTCTATGACCAGCAGATGGTTGCTTAATCACAACGTAGAAGTGGGTCTTTTTGGCCGTTACACTCACTGTACTCTGGAATTCCGTCTCTTGGGTAACTCATGAGATAGATACAGTAATGACATTTAAAAGCATCTTAAAACATCTGGAACCACCACACTGACTACCCCAATCCAGCCTAACTCTCTCACAAATATCTTTTTTTTAATCTGGAGGATTTATTTATTTGTATGAAAAGACATTAGGTCACAAAAGCTGTCCTCTGTCACCTGAAGTTGTACAGAACAGGTCCAGGTTTACTACCTCAGAACTAGGCTGTGGAAGGGGTTTGCAAATATGAAACAACAACCAATGAAATGATCTAAGACCCGAAATGGTCGACATATTGACGATGATTTAGGCCCTGGATTGTTTTAATTGTCTTTTAAGCAATCACAGATGAGGATCTGGATTAGGACCATGGTGTGTGGGGAAGGGGTCTGATTCTTCCCACACACATCATCTGAAGCATCAGCACCATCCCACACTCAGAAGCAATGGACGAGTCAGAGAAAAATAGCAGATTGGGGTATTCTGGGGAGGAAAACAGCACGTGGGGGGGGAGTAACACCCCCTCCTCACATGCTGGATCAGAGATCTCTGGGGCTTCTATTTTGTGTAAATTATCACCAGATAATCATTTTAACACACTTGGGTCTCAGCAGTATTTCATTTAGAATCCAAATAGGATGGGCAAGGCAAGATTTGTAAAGGAGGTGAGATTATTATTTTTTATTGAATTTAGATACTGCTCTATACCCGGAGGTCTCAGGGCAGTTCCCAGAAAAAGATAAGTCTTTTTCTCAATGCACTTTAGAAAATTACAAATTATGTGCAGTGTCTTCGGTATATAGTCATTCTTTCAGAGGTTTTTTACTACAAGCATTAAAACATTTATGACTGGATCTGTCTCCTCTTCAGGAGCAGAAAATGGAAGAGAGTCACAATGGCAGACAGAGAGAAAACTGATGGAAAGTACAGCATTAAGTCATCACCAGCATGAAAATGCTTACAGCAAAGAGCCCAAGGGAGATGGAGAAAGAGACACAAAATGCTACCTACAGCCTATGAAGCACATTAATAACAGTGAAGAAGCTGCCTCATAGCATCAACAAAGTAGCTCAAGGTTTCGCAGATCTAACCTGACACCATTCCAGCGATATCAGCACATGACTTCAAACGCTGCACCAGGAGACAAGGAGCTTAATGACTACTCTCTGGTTTAGCACACTGAATACTGGTAATATTTTTGAAACTCATAAAGTATCATCTGTCACCTTCAGGCAAAAAGGAAAAAAGCACATTGCTGTACTAAGTAAAATGATCTTAGAGAAATATGTCAGGCCAGAACTTGACAGCTGCGCCTTAAAATAAATAAACATACATTGAGAGATTTTTCTTCAGGTCCACTTTTTCTGCGATGGGGAAGAGAACAAGAAGTGTGAAAATTCAAACACACACCTGATTCAAAGACACTTTCAAAGTCTATTCATTTACTGGTATGAGGTGTTGGATAGTTCTGATAGGTGTTCATCCTTTAAGCAAAGCTGGATTTTTAATTTATTTTTTAATGTAGGTCTACGAGGATAGCATAGCCCATGGATCCCAACACTAGAACCCACAGTTCCTACCCATTCACTGCTCCTCATCTTCCTACTCCTGCAAAGAAATGATTGGAAATAGAAGTCTTCCTGGTGTCTGCATCAGACCAAGGAAGAGAAGGGAAGGTGCTTCCTAGGCACCTTCTTCTGTAAGTTAAGAATCAATCTTCTCGTCCATTCATCTCACCTGAAGTTCAGCCTCAGGTGCTGTCACTATTAGCAGGAAGCCGAGTCTATACTGTGACCACTCTGTTATACAGAAACAGAGGAAGTTTATATACCACATCTAGCTCAATAATATCTACTGTGACTCATACCAGCTTTCCAGGTACTCGGGCAGAGATCTTTTACATCACCTGCAACTGTCCTCTGGAATAAAACTTTAAAAGGTGGGGCCTTCATGTGCTCCATATTAAAGTTATAAGTTTAATGTACATAAAATGCTGTGTTTTAATGCATTGTATTGAAAATGCTGTAAAGGCAGTTTACCAAAGGCAAAAAGTTGCAGTTTGTCAAAAGAGTCAATGAAGGCTGCTATTTTGCCATTTCAGTGCACTAAACTACCTGATGACTCATCACCAGAAACAGGAAGTCCTGAGCTCTCACAGCAGGAAGCTGAAACATGAGAAGCCAGCCTGTGCTTTACTGGAGATGGCTAGTACTGGCAGCAGCAGCTGTTGAAGAGAAGTTCTGCAATGATTAACAAACTTAGCATCTCCCTCTGGGGCCAGATGGTGGAAAGTTTATTGAACAGCATAAAGGACTGAACCCCATTTCTTGTTTGCAATGTGCTACTTGGCCATTTTATAACACTTATCTTATTGTAACTAGTATTTAAGACTGTTTGGCAGTAAAGCTTTGGAACTCATTTTTGTGGTGGAGAGAATTCATTTTGACACAAGGTCCAGATCAGGGATTCTGATCTGGTCCCTGTGTGCATCGCTGGAGTGTGTATCAGCGTGTCCCACCTTGTTATTCCCCGCCCCCATTCTTCCCATTTCATAATGTGTTGAGTGACACTTTTTGGTCACTTCTGGGTTCAACTCCATGTGCGTGTGTGCAATCACTCATCTTTTGGGTGCTTGTTAATCGGTCGTTGCCTGTAATAAAAATACTGTAGATTGAAATGTCCATAGAACACAATACCCAGGGCATGTAACCCTATCATGAGGCGGAGGTGGAAAAGGAGCAGCAGTGGTGCTGAGGTGTTGAAGCACATATAGCTAATTAACTGCATATAGGCAGGATTTAATATTATGAGGCAATGTGAATATATATTTTCCAGGAATAAGGAATGCATGAAATAATATTTAAAGGTCCGTGTGGAAGAGTATGAATAGAGTGAGTTATCAGCACCTTAGTTTGAAGGGACAGAGGGGAAGGGGAGAAACCTGGCACCATTGGTGGAAAGATTTTAAGGTTTTAATTATTGTAACATCTGCAAGTACACCCAGGCTGCTTGTCTACACTCCTGTGAGGCAATTTTTTCTGGTTTCTGCTTCTATGAACTACAAATTTGGCTTCCACCACCAGTTAAAATGCTTCACGATATCAGAGTGACACAACAGAACTGGAGTGTGCCACTGAATCTGACTCACGGACCACTTCGTTCCCATAATCCAGTCTGTCGGCTGCCTAAAGGCAGTGCAAAGAGATCCATGGACATCTTCAGTTACCGGCAGCTTCTGTACATGTTTAATGCAAACACTGAATCCCTACACCGGCTTTTTGGAGCAGACTTCTCTGAACTCCCATTTCAAAAGAGCCTGGAAACCTCCTCCTTCCAAAAGGTGAAGTTTGGAATAATGGAGGTAGAGGGAAGTCACATTGAAGCCAGTATATCAGAGGGTCTCTATAATGAGGCATGCAAGTCAAAAGCAGGGCCATTCAACCTGCTCAGAAGAGCAAGGTTAAAAATAGCTGACTATCTCCTATGATATCTGTCACTGGTTTTTTATTGGAGATTCATGAAATTAAAAATGTGAGATCCAATGCTCAATGCATTATCCATTTCATGAATTGCATTTGTCCAAATAATTTATATGCTCCCTCCACCATCATGATAACAGTGAGTTTGGATATCCTTCATTATGCTTATCCTCCAGACACCCACTGTGAGGTAGAGTAGACTTATCCCCCTTTCTACAGATGGGGTATTAAGGCATAGGGAGATTAACGGATGGGATTTTCATAAGTCTTTACTTTGCCCATTTATCCAGCTGAGAGCATTCTGTGGTGCTGGATGGTAAACTAAGGCCTTTGCTCTCATGTGATTCTTTGAAAACAAACAATTTTACCACGGTCATTTTAGTTATCATCTGAAGCTTCCATCTCATGTTTGCTTGCCCATGATAGTCACTTTCATGGTGTGTTATCAAGTACTTCATCAATGGCGAGAAGTGGGGAAAGCTTGCTGTGATGAGCTTAAATTAGGGATGATTGAGACTTTTGTCTAATTTGCAGATAAAGTGAATCAGCCTGCTACATACTTCCTGAGCGAATACATGGGTCAGAATGCAGTGGCCTTTCAGTTTTCTTGCATTACTCCAAAGTTTGGAGTACGATTCTTGTCTCACGGAAAGGGTGCCAAAATGTGTACTTAGTTTGCATTCCTGTGCACATTTAGTTGCGACTTACATCTCAGTAGACAAGTGAACTTAAAACACACACCTATAAGACAATGGCTGCCAATAACTGTCAGAACTGACACTGAATGATCTTACTGCACCTGAGGTGAACCACAAAATGGCATCTCCCTCCTCACCACGACAGGAGTCCTGCTTTAGAATTGAAGTTTTCAAATTCATCCTTGAATGATCTCCAGCCATTTAAGAAAAAACCACTTTGAGCTTCCTATGCATTGTACTCATATTGACTCCACGGGAATGTAATATTTCCTCATCGAGTCGCTCAGGAGAGCAAAATTTTGCTTTTTGTCCTCAGTGGATCAGTGGTAGTTGGTGCCCATTGCGGCTGGAAGGGCAGAAGGCAGGGAGAGCCAGAGCCAATGACAGGTAGTTTTGTCTTCATCCTCCTCCCTGCTGTGTTCTACAAGGGGAAAACAGAGTAAAGAGGACAGTGCTGACGGCCAGACCCACTGCTTGGACTGGTTGTATGCAGGGGGTGGGTTCAGCTGGAACTCGCTGGAACTCAGTTCCAGCACCTCTCAGATAAGTGTCATTGCCAGTATAAGAGAACAAGGGAGGTGTTCACGGTGAGTTCTGGCATCTCTTTTTTTAATTATTTTTTAAAGAAAAATAGCACTGCTTCCACAGTGCACCTGCCTCCACTACCATCCCCTGGTGCTTAAAGATAAAGACATCAATCTACCACCTGAAGATCCTGTAGCTGTGGCCAGTGGTTCTGGGGGCATATTCAATGGTGTGTTATACCATTTGTACTATAGCCATTTTCAAAGTCTTCAGTAGATTTAATAGAATTTTTTTAAAGAAAACAACTGAGTTCTCTGTTGCAGCTTGCTGTTTCTGGTGGGTCCCACATCTGAAAAGGTTGCATTCTTTTGACATTCAAGGTGGGGAAAGAATGACATTTTTTCATTGACAAAATACTGTGGCTTGAGTATGGGGGAAATGTGATTTCTTCGCAACATAGATCGTTCTGTGAGTAAATACATCTGGCTGCCTTGCAACGAATGAATAACAACTGCAGTTTTAGTGTGTGGAAAAATCATAGTTTAGAAAGGCCCCGATAACTCAGAAACAATGGGACATTTGCATATATTTCAAGGAAGTGATATTTTCTCATGCCACCCATACAAGCTGATGACTTACTGGAAGTCTGCAAAACAGGTTCCCAACAATTTGCATGATTTTAGCAACCTCCATATGATGAGACAAATTTGTTGGAAAGCGATACAGAATGCATTGTTAGTGAAAAGGAATATTGAAGGAGTCTTCTCCATTATGAGTTTTCAGAAGGATGACACATGTTAGAAGAAGATAACAGCAAGAAATGCACCAAAAGATCAGCGATTTCTAGGAGTGAATCTACTGGAATTCATATATGTTAATTGGTGCAGTATTAGAAATATCAAATAATCCTACAGCTGAGATCAGTGTTTATATTCTCATACCCGTCCTTATTTTTAAAAAGAAATAAATCTGTGATTGAATGCCAAAAAGCCCTTCTGAAGCAGTGGCTCCCTTGATTAAGATTTCCCATCTTGGCAAGTCCTAAATCAAGAGACATCAAAGTACTTTCAAAATAAAGAACAGCTGAAGAAAAATGTATGAGATGACAGAAGGCATAAACAATAATACTATGCATATGTTTAAGTCATCTGAAAGTGATTGCAGTGATGTGTAAAATATTCGGAAATAAACATTTAAATGGCAGCTTAATTCCCCCAGGGAGAAAAGTCTGCTTAAACCTTAAATAAATCCTGTTTAGACTAAACCACATCCGTTCTCCCCTTTTCCTTTAAGAGCACTCTCAGCTTCTCTGATTGGCTCTGTATAAAGAAAGATCTTCTGTGCTGCTGCAGATTTTCATTCAAACAAATGTGGAATCAAATGCATTAAAAGATGTAGAAATCCCACACAGGTCTTCTTCGCCACTTGGTCCTGAAATTAAGGCATATGCAGTTGCATTATGCCCTTGGTAGATTACACTCTGCAAATTGCTAATGGACGGTAGACAGAAATAATTGTTTATAGGAAAGGAATATGGTTGGGGAGTGCATTTCATATATGTACCTTATAGGGTACATAAAGGTAAAGGGACCCCTGACCATTAGGTAGTTAGGTCCAGTCGCGAATGACTCTGGGGTTGTGGCGCTCATCTCGCTTTACTGGCCGAGGGATCCGGAGTACAGCTTCCGGGTCATGTGGCCAGCATGACTAAACCGCTTGTGGTGAACCAGAGCAGTGCACGGAAACACCGTTTACCTTCCTTCCGGAGCAGTACCTATTTATCTACTTGCACTTGATGTGTTTTTGAACTGCTAGGTGGGCAGGAGCTGGGACCGAGCAATGGGAGCTCACCCCGTCGTGGGGATTTGAACTGCCAACCTTCTGATCTGCAAGCCCTAGGCTCTGTGGTTTAGACCACAGCACCACCCATGTCCCTATGGGGTACATACATTGCCTATAAAAGTTCATGCTGCCACAAACCTAAGCCCTGGCTCAGATTTCTACCAGGCAATAAAAGCTTTGTGTGGTAGAGGTATAGCAAAGTACCCTTCCCCTCTGCTATGCAAGACTCAAAGTAATGTTTAAAATAGGTCAGGGAAAGCAATGTGGTGCCATCCTGATGCTGTCGGACTCCAACTCCCATCAACCCCAGCCAACATGGTCAATGGTCAGGAATGATGAGAGCTACAATCCAACATCTAGAGAGTGATCTGTTGGCCACCCCTGTTGGCCACCTCTTTTATTTTATTTTCTTTGGTAATCACTCTTGGCCAAGTAAGATTGTCTTCCATGAATATGGTTGCAGTGGTGTGTCTGTAGGTGACTGTGGAGGCCAATTCTGGAGCCACACATTCTTCCACAGTGGGGACATACCAGTAGGTTTCCAGGTGAGAGTTGATCACAGTGAGGATTTGCAAAACATGCTTTCCTCTTAGCTCACTTCTCCCTTTCATCCTGAGTTCGTGCTTCTTCAAATTCCATGATGCCTTTGGTAGAGGCTATTCTCCAATTGGAGTGTTCACAGGCCCGTGTTTCCCAATTATCCGTGCTTATACAGCATTTTTTTAGATTTGCCTTGAGCGCGTCTTTAAACCTCTTTTGTTGTCCACTGGCATTTCGCTTTCTATTCTTAAATTGGGAATAGAGTAGTTGTGCTTTGGAAGACAGTAATCAGGCATCCAAACAACATGACCAGTCCAACAAAGTTGATGTTGAAGAATCATTGCTTTGACACTGGTGATCTTGCAGCTTTCAGTACACTGGCATTAGTTCGCCTATCTTCCTAAGTGATATGTAAATTTTTTCAGAGACACCGTTGATGGAATCTTTTGAGGAGTTGGAGATGGCGTTTATAAGTGGTCCATGTTTCACAAGCATAAAGTAAATTTAGTATATACTGTATATATACTGATATACAGTGGTGCCTCGCAAGACGAAATTAATTTGTTCCGCGAGTTTTTTCGTCTAGCGAATTTTTCGTCTTGCGAAGCACGAAATCCCATAGGAATGCATTGAAAATCAATTAATGCGTTCCTATGGTCAAAAAAAGTCCAAACAAAGCCAAATTTGGTACAACAAGAGTTTATTAACTGCTCTTTAAAGTCACACATACTGTAAAGAGCATTTCAAAATTGAAGGAACAATAAATTAAGTTTCTAAACATGACAGAAAAACATTTAAAAATCAACAAAGTGTACAGTACATTTTCTAAGACTCTGGGGGACCACTCAAAGAAGGTTCCTCTTCCACTCTTTGCTTCTTGCTGAAGAACCTGTCCATGGTCTGCTGCTTCATCCGCCTTTTCAGCACCTCCCTGAAAGGCGACATGACCCTCATATCAAAAGTGTTCGCAAGGTCATGTGCCACGTGCTTGTCAGGGTGGTGCCGCTGTGCAAAAGCCTGCACATCCTTCCACTTCATGCAAATGTCCCTCAGTTCTTTGGAGGACAGCCGTTCCTCAGTTGCTTCCTCCTCTTCCAGCGAGGCCTGCTCCTGCGCAGCCTCTGCCTGTAGTTCGACCAGCTCCTGGGTGGTCAGCTCGTGGTCGTGCTCCTCCACCAGCTTGCTGGTGTCCTCCTCTGTGACCTCCAGGCCCATGGTCCTCCCCAAGGCAACAATGTCCTGCACCACTGTTGACTCTGGTGCATCAGAGTCACTTGGTGCCACACAGTCCGGCCACAGGCTGCGCCAAGCGCAATTCAAATTTCTCTGGCTGATCCCGTTCCAGGCCGTGGTGATCATCTTCAAGCAGGTGACGATGTCGAAGTGGTCCTTCCAGAATTCCCGCAGGGTGATGGTGGTGCAATCAGTCACCTCGAAGCATCGCCTGAAAAGCTCCTTGGTGTAGAGTTTTTTTGAAATTGGCGATGACCTGCTGATCCATCGGCTGGAGCAGTGGCGTGGTGTTAGGCGGCAGGAACATGATTCTGATGAAGCTGAACTCCTCCAACAAGTCCAACTCAAGGCCTTTAGGATGAGCAGGAGCATTGTCCATCAGAAGCAAAGCCTTCAGCGGCAGGTCGTTGTCCAGCAGGTACTGTTTGACAGCAGGGCCAAAAGCAAGATTGACCCAGTCCACAAACAGCACACGTGTGACCCAAGCCTTACTGTTGGATCGCCACATGACACTCAGCTGCTCCTTGTCGACCTTGTGTTTCTTGAAGGCCCGTGGGTTCTCCGAGTGGTACACCAGCAGGGGCTTGATCTTCAGGTTGCCGCTTGCGTTGGCACAGAAGAGCAGGGTCAGACGGTCCTTCATGGGCTTGTGGCCAGGCAACTTGGCCTCCTCCTGTGTGATGAAAGTCCTTTTGGGCATCCTCTTCCAAAACAGCCCGGTCTCGTCGCAGTTGAAGACCTGCTGTGGAACGTAGCCCTCCGTCTTCACAGCCTCCAGGACCTCCGCTGCAAAGTCTTCAGCCGCAGGAACATCAGAACTGGCAGCCTCTCCATGCCTGACCACGCTGTGGATTCCAGATCTTGCCTTGAACCGGTCAAACCAGCCTCTGCTTGCCTTGAAGACTTCTGGCTCACCTGAGGTTCCTGGCTGTTCCCGGACGAGGTCTGCGTGCAAGGCCTTGGCCTTCTCACAAATGACGGCCTCAGTCACTGTGTCCCCTGCATGCTGCTTCTCTTCTAACCAGATGAGCAGCAACTTCTCGACCTCCTCCAGAACAGCTGGGCGGTTCTTCACGATCCTGGTGACTCCCTTGGCTGCATCAGTCGCAAGGATCTTCTCCCTCATCTTCAGGATGGTCCCGATGGTCGATGGATTCCTCCCGTACTCCCTGGCGAGGTCTGTCACACGCATTCCACCGTCGTGCTTCCGGATGATCTCCTTCTTCATTTCCAGCATCACCTTCTCCTTCTTCCTCTCGCCGGCCTCTGCAGCAGCAGTCTTCTTGGGTCCCATGGCAGCACAGCTCCTACCTTCGCAAACTCAAAAAAAAAAAAAAGAATCAGTGCTTCACATCCAAAAAATTCAAAAGCACCCAGCCACCCACCACACAGAAATTCAAACCCAGAACCAAGTCCTTGAATTCCAAACACCCAACCCAATTCCAAAAACCCCCCAAAAAGTTTTAAAAGTTTAACTTACTAAACGGCTGCAAAAGAAGTTTTGGAAAAGCTTCAAAAGTCACCAAAGTCTTCTAAAACCTCAAATGGCTGCAAAAGAAGTTTTGGAAAAGCTTCAAAAATCACCAAAGTCTTCAAAAACCTCAACTGTTCCCCCAGCCACCCACCCACCACACAGAAATTGCAAACCCCTCCCCAACTGTTCCCCCAGCCAGCCACCACACAGAAATTCAAATCCAGAATTTTTTTTAAAAAAAACAACATGGCCCAATGGTCACAGAAAATCATAAAAATTCCAAAAAAAAAACCACACAAGCTCCCAGATTCTTGCAAACCCCTCCTCAACTGTTCCCCCAGCTACCCACCACACAGAAATTCAAACCCAGAAATTTTTTTAAACAACAGCAGAGTGGCCCAATGGTCACAGAAAATCATAAAAATTCAAAAAAACAACCACACAAGCTCCCAGATTCTTGCAAACCCCTCCTCAACTGTTCCCCCAGTCACCCACCACACAGAAATTCAAACCCAGAAATTTTTTTAAACAACAGCAGAGTGGCCCAATGGTCACAGAAAATCATAAAAATTCAGAAAAAATCCACACAAGCTTCCAGATTCTTGCAAACCCCTCCCCAACACCAAGTCCTTGAATTCCAAACACCCCAACCCAAAATCCAAAAACCCCCAAAAAAGTTTTAAAAGTTTAACTTACCAAATGGCTGCAAAAGAAGTTTTGGAAAAGCTTCAAAAATCAGCAAAGTCTTCAAAAACCTCAAAAAAGGCTACCACACCGCGTTCTATGAGTTGCTCCTCGAAGTCAAGTCGCAACTGCACCTCTTCAAGCAATGCACCCCAGGTATTAACGGTTTTATGAAAAAGGAAACAAACTTGCAAGACGTTTTCGTCTTGCGAAGCAAGCCCATAGGGAAATTCGTCTTGCGAAGCAGCTCAAAGAACGCAAAACCCTTTCGTCTAGCGAGTTTTTCGTCTTACGAGGCATTCGTCTTGCGGGGCACCACTGTACACTGTAGGTGATCCTCTCGCAGCACATCTGTAGGCACAGCTGCTGGTTTTGCATGGTCCTTACCTCTCTGATCTTAAAAAAAGAGATGGGGCAACCATACTTTAAGTCTTCTACAAAGTGCACTCAAATCATACATTACTTTATGGTGGAGGTAAAATGAGCACCTGCAAACCGCCCCTGTACCAGGGGAGGGGGACTGCTACAGTAAATGTCCAAATCGCAATCATCCTTAAAATAAAGAAAAAATAACCAACCAACCAACAACTTAACAATAGTTGTTTACAGGGGGAACAAAGAGGAAATGGTGAGGAGAGGACTCCAATAAGGAGAATGCTAAGCTGCATTCTTGTGACCCAGCAGGGAAATGTCACATATCCTTGGTTGTGTACTGATGCTGTCTACAAGATCACCACCAGGAGAAAAGAGCAAGGCAGGCTGACAGAAGTGTTGCTTGCAATTATCACTAGGTCAGCATGTTACATACAACCCCTGTATCCTTTATGTGATTTATTCTAAGGCACAGATTTGAGTATAGAGAAGAGGCTGTATCTCAGCTTTCCCCAGCCTGGTGCCCTCCAGATGTTTTGGACTACAGCAATCAGGCAGCATAGGATTGGAGAACCAGGTTGAAGAAGGCTGCTGCACCTGAACGGTGCCTTTTTAGAGAGCAAATTTTTGTGCTAAACTATCCCCAGTTGTATGGCAGGCACTGAAATAGGCCCAAGAAACCAGGCTTTGAGGATTAAGGAAAGGTGAGTGTGAAGTGGGCCAGTGTGGCATAATGGTTAGAGGGTTGGACTAGGACTTGGGAGAGCAGGGTTCCAAACCCCACTCAGCCATGAGCGACCTTGGACCAATCTCCATCTCTTAGCCCAGGGGTCAGCAAGGCTTACTGGGCATGGGCCGGATCACTCCCACGGAGATCCTCCATGGGCCAGGCTAGCGCAGCGCAACGCTGGAAATCGCATCTGCGCATGTCCGCGGTGCTGGAAATCACTTCTGCGCATGCCCAGACGCCAAAAATCATGCCTGCACAGAAACGATTTTCAGCATCTGGGCATGTGCAGAAGCGATTTCCGGTGCTGCGGACATGCGCAGACACAATTTCCAGGGCTGTGGAAGAGAGTCCCCGTGCTGTGCTGCGCGGGTTTAGCGCAGCACGTGGGGACTTGCCAAGTGGGCAGCTCAGTTCAGGGGTGGCTCATGGGTCAGTTAAACGGTCTCTGTGGGCTGTTTCCAGCCCATGGGTCTTAGGTTGCCAACCCCTGTCTTAGCCTAACCTACCTCACAGGGTTGTTGTGAGAATTAAATGTGGAGGGGGAGAGCCATGTACACCACCTTGACATCCTTTGGAAATAATGGTGGTATATAAATAAAATAAATAAGAGTGCCTTTATCAGGTATAACAATACCTACTTTTGTAGTAAAACTGCAATTACATGTCAGTCACATTATAATCTGGTGGACTCTTCTTATTTGATAAAATGGGATCCAGTATTAAAATTCCCTGAAATTAAGCATTTTCATCACATGACCAGAAAGATTATTTTGGAATACATCTATTATCAGCAACAAAGCATTCCCTTCAATCCCATTATCTGCTGCTATTGTGTTTTATGGCACAGATAAAAGGTACCATTTTAAGTCAAATTGTTCTCTTAAAATGCCGTTTTTCATCTCTAAGCAGTATAGTAAATGGCAGACAGAAGGGCACCAGGCTTGTGGGTTCACCTACAAAGTGCACTGCATTAGAGATGAACCTGCTACAAATATACTCTAGCTTTTGCATTGACTCAGCATTGTCACATACAATATTATCTCTCTTGCCATGCCAGCATCTGCAATATCGCCACGCTGGACCTTTCTGGAAAACTAAACAAAGCTTTCTTCAGATGGAACTACCGTAATCCCAAATGATACTTCTGCAAGTCTCAGTTTGGTCTCAGTAGTGATAGGTTCTGCCCTAACATAAAAGATAAATGGAGGGGGGTTGGGTAGCTTTGTGTTAGCAGAGAAACTATATAATGGGTCACTCTTCTTCTCTTTCTCATTTCTTTAACTCTGGATAGATGTGTTCTCCAGCACACTTGAAGAAGGATGTGTAGCCTAAAATAAAATCCAGGACAGTAGGAGAGGAAATAAAACGATGGTTCTTTGCCAAAGTATATTTTGTAATAAAATAGCTGTTATGTACTAAGCTTGGATCCTAGAACAATAGGCAAGTAGGACCCTAGAATGCAACAACTGATTGGCTTGCAGGAAAAGACCAATCAGGCTCCAGGAGGAAGTTAATCAGCCTATTAGGCTGGTAGGATCGTAGAATGCAACAACTGATTGGCTTGCAGGAAAAGACCAATCAGGCTCCAGGAGGAAGTTAATCAGCCTATTAGGCTGGTAGGATCGTAGAATGCAACAACTGATTGGCCTGCAGGAAAAGACCAATCAGGCTCCAGGAGGGAAGCAGAATCAGGCAATCAGACGGGACTCGTTGTGTAAATAATGTATATAAAAGCCTGAGGTTTGGGGGGGCAATTGGATCACTGTTTTACAAGCTGCAATAAAGAGCATGAAATCACTACAGGACTCTGAGTATATTTCAATAGCTGAGCGCTTCAATACCATTTTTGTAGTCTGGAGGATGCACAGCATGACACATTTTGGCTACACTCCTGTACATACTTAACTGGGAGCAAGTCCTGCAGAACTCTATAGGACTTTCTTCTGAGATAGGATTGTGATTAAAAAACAACAACACAACCCTATGTCCTGCTCCAAACCTCACAGGTGGCACTGGGAGGAAGGAAGTTGTAGCACATGACATAAATGACATCATAGGCAATAGCCAGCTGACTATGATTGTTGTATGGCTACAATCGCGGCAGCAAAATTCGTTTGTTCATTTTATTTGTATGCCACTTTTCCGCACACACACAAAATGCTCAAAGTGGCTAACGACAAAGAAACAGGTTTGCATTTCAAACAGACACTACGAAACAATTTCATAATAACATAGCAAAATAAAACTATAGTAACATACGGGGGGGACGGACCCATATGTCAATACTATAAATATGACAGGATTACTGAAACAACATGAAACATCCAATAGCACAAATAACAAGGGAGCTCTGCAGTTTCATCTTAGTCGTAGAAACACTCCTCCCATGATGTTGCAAAATAAATAAATATGCTTGGGCATGTTCTGTGATAGCCCAGCCTCCTCCAGAGAACACCTTATCTGTTTTTCCTTCTGAAAAATATATTCTGAAGGGTTCAGTCAGTGACTATTGAATTGAATGATGAGTACTAGGCATGTAAGAAGGCATAGTTTTCTATTCCAGCCCGTGTTCGTCACATGCAGCACTGTTTCCATTCTCCTTCAGTTCATCTTGCACCAAGAATGGCATTATTCATCTCACTGAAATTATGAAGCTTATTAATTGTGTAAAATGTGTTGTCATTGTATTGTTCCACCCCATTCATTTCAGTGCAAGGAAAATGCTTGATTATATGTCATTACTGGATTGAAAGCAGCAGCAGCAGCAGCAGCGATTACAAATACTATTTGCTGGATGGATTTCTGTTCTGGACGTGGGACAAATAAGTGAACACAGGCCATTTCTGCTGCCATTTCCATCTGAATTCTCAGACATCCCTAGTGACTACTAATGCCACACCACCCACAAAAACACATATGCAGCCATTCCGTTTGCACACATGCATTCCACACTGTCTCTGTACTGATGTGTTTCATCGTAAAGCACTTTCATCACAATAAATGTCACCTCCAGCTGCTTTCCCTAGCCATCCCTTGATGCTCATTCACTCTCCCACTCCTCAGTCTCTTTCCTCACATCTCACTCCAAAGTCTTAAAAGATGGAGAGGATCAATGTGGGGGAAAAGAGAAATGGAGAAATTAGGCAGATCTGTGCAGATGGAATATGACAGAACTTGAAGTAATTATCTCTTCTCCTGTCTTACACCAAAAAATGAGCATTATATTAGGCCAAATATAGACCATGGACCCCTAGTTTTTAAGAAGCTAATTGTCTAATAGATTCTATATTCAATTTTTCTCTTGTCTCATTAAAACTAAATAATGGATAGAGATTTCCCCCCTTCTATCTTTTCCCATTTAATTGCATTTGCTGCATCCACTCTCCCGCGTCCTTCTCCTGATATTGACAATACAGCTAATAGCCCTCATTTTTAGCAGTGGCAATTTGGACATTCCTGAGCATCCTCATATAGCGATAGTTACCTAGGAGGAAATTAAGGGATGCTCTTAGCATACTGAGCAATAGCATCTACAGTTCTGTATGAGAAGTTCAAAGGAGTGATTAAAGTAGAAAACTGCAACCCAGACCTCAAGTAGGGAGATTTTCTCATGCCAGTTCATAATTCTGCCCATGAAAATGTTGCCCAGCAGACATTTATTTAGTTTGGGAAATATCATTTGGCAGCGCTTAATCAGTTTTAAACTAGAGCAAGGACTAATCACCACAAGTATAGCTAAAACAATATCAGCACAGTAAAATAATACAAGTGTAAAAGCAGACAGCAAAACTGCACATTAAAAGACTAGCAGTAGTACCAATATAAATAACAAAAGCCATCTGGAATATAAAAGCAAGTTTTCAAGGTCCATTTAAAAGCCATCAGTGTAGGAACTATGCAATGCATGCAAATCTAGGGTTTCATGTGCATGGGGCCACCACTGAAAAGGCCTTGTCTCTTGGGCCGGCCAATCAAATTTTTCCTTGTGGCAAGTCTACGAGCAGGGTCACAGAGGCTGAGCTTGGGTCCCAGGCAGGCTCACATTGGTGCAAGTTGTACAGATTTTCACTGTTTGAAATATGGCAACCCTAGGATAGTGCTTTTAAAAACAACAACAACAATCATCAACTGGTTTTTTTTACAACTGCAAGTAATAATAAAAATAAGAGAAGAAATCGGCCTTTTCTGTTGTAACACCAGCATCACAGAATACATTTCCAAAAGAGAATTGGGAAGCGCTGTCTGTTGGATCTTTCAAATGTCTCCTAAAAACTCATTTTGTTTAACCTGGCCTATGATGTCTCCAGATGTGAAGGATTACATAACTTTAGAAGACATCTGAAGACAGCCGTGTATCGGGAGGTTTTTAATGCTTGATGCTTTTATTATGCTTTTAGATATGCTGTAAGCTTCCCAGAGTGGCTGGGGAAACCCAGCTAGATGGGTGGGGTATAAAGAATAAAATTATTATTATTATTATTATTATTATTATTATGTTTGAGAATGTTATCCTGTTCAGTTGCTGACTTCCTGTTTTAAACGGCGGAATTTCAGCAATGTATTTCATAGAATCATAGGGCAGTAGAGCTGGAAGGGTCACAAGGGTCATCTAGTCCAACCCCCTGCAATGCCTTTCTGCCCAACATGGAGCTCAAGCCCATGGCCCCGAGATTGAGAGTCCCATGCATTGAGATCATTTGCACTCACTGTCTTTAAATTTTTGAAAACTGCTTTGGGATTTTTGCCAAAATGTTAAATTGGTTTATACATTTTCTAAATAACTGATACTCAGATTAAACTACAAACAACAGTTCAGGATAGTGTGCACATGCTAATGAGGTACACTACACAAAGCTACCCGTGTAGGAATTAAGTGGGTTCCTCAGGCAGGTGAGCCAAGCCACACTTCTTTCCTTCACTCCAGATCACTTCAGACAAAATTCTAATAATTGTGGCAAATTAAACTTAGCTCTTGCCTCTGGACTATTGACTAAACTAGAGGACTTCTGACTTTGCAATCAATGCAGATGATCTATAACCAACCGGTAAGCCTGAGTTCTCCAAGAGAATATTGTGGAAACTCAGCTGCTGAAAACTACACATCCTTTTTACTTTGTCCCAGTTGCAAGTACTATTTCCTTCTGGTTTTGTCTTACAAAATTTCACAAATACTTAAATATGGAACACATTTTCATGCTTGGTGGGAATGCAATTTTGAAAATATATTTTGCACCACAGTCTTCAATATTATCTCCAAAATTGTTCAACAACCTCTCTCGCCGAACCCAGCCTTAGCCCTGCTTTCACTAAACTCACATTCCAACCCTGCTATCCAGCATAAAGATTTAATTCTTATTGGTAGCCACACATCTAATGGTAGTGTATCACTGGAAAGCCAAGGTGGAGCTACCTCTCGTGACTTGGTTCAACAGTATTTGGGATATACGTAGTTAGTTCAGAGTGACTAACTGAGCTTGGAAGAGTTGCAAATGGAATTATAAAGGAAAATACTTTTGATGAAACCTGGTCTCCCTTTTTTTCATACGTAAGGGAAAAAGAAAATAAAACTCTCCTACCAGCCTCACAAACCTTTCTGTGGAGAACCTATAAAGGCTGCCAGTGTTTTAAGACCATGTAAAATGATGCCATAAGCAAAATGTTATGATCTTTACTTTGCAGTGACTGTATTGTATACTAAAATATTTTTTAAAATACAGAAATGTACAGAAATATTTATATTGTTCATGAACTATCACAGTGAACCTTTTTGCTTTGATAGGCCCTGTCACACATTTACTAGTTTTGAAACCCTGAACCAATGTTTTTAAAGAAGGGCTTTCACATAACGTGATAGTCGAAATACATATATCTCAAAAATGTACTTGTGAACTGGAAGTGATAACGCCGATGATAACTAACCCTGAGCTCACCCATTTCCTAATAATTAGCAGCTCTTATCTGACAGACACCATTTCCTACACATACTTTTTGCTCCATGATAAGAAGTAAAATGTTTGCTTAAGGCAGAGCTATTTCTGTTCATTGTAACATGCACATCGCCACTAGAAGTACACAGAAGGAGAACAAAATGGTAGCAAGTTGGAAATCTGAAAAAGCAAAAACACTAGATTTTGTTCACACTTAGAGGTGGTGTGTCTGGCACCTTCATTGTACAGATCCTGGCCAACGCTGAAGACACAACTCTTCTCCCTGGCTTTTGACACTTGAGGTCTATGTTTTAGGAGACCACCTTTTTTTTGTGACTGTAAGTTGTTTTAAACTGTTGTGTTTTAATGTTGTAACCCACCCTGAGACCACAGAGTGAAGCGTGGGTAGTTATTATTATGATTAATAATGATAATAATTTGTTCTGCTCCATCTGGAACCTGATTATGTATTTTATAATTGTGATGTATTTTATACTTTATTCTGGGACCTTCTGGTGAAGATTGAGTAAGAGATTGTATAAAGAAATAAGCAAACAGTAACCAAATCTCAAAATAACAAAAATGGCAGAAGCATGTATGCCTTGATCTATAGGTTGAATTTGGATGTTGGGCACAAGGTGAATCAATGATACCAGCCTCTTTTTCTTAGAAGATCACCTTATATATACACACCACGGAGGGGTGGCAGGACCATGCCTTTAGGACCCTCCCCTGACATCATATTCCCTGCCTGCCACCTCAGCCCTTCTGTGGTCCACACAATCAGCTCAACATCTGAAATGGACATCTGACAGCTGTGTTGTGGAGGGTTGGGTGATTTTTTAAAAAACAAATCAATCCTCTTGTCAGACTGAGAATATCCCCTCACTCACCAGTTTAGGATATTCCACCATTCTTCAGCAGAGTTTCTTTTCTTTCAGCAAAGTAAGTGGCTCATGTAAATGTCAAACAAAGCTTTAATAATACAGAAAACTGTAACACAATAACATACTATCTGACAGAAACTAAGACAACATCATGAGGCAAGAATGACAGTTGGCCTCTCTAACTGAACTTTAACTGAACACCCAGAGGGAGGGGCAGATTCCGGAGCACAACACAAAAGCCCCACCCACCAGATGACAGGCATTCTACTATTCATATTAGCCCCCAGTGTTTTTCTAACAAGCTGTAAGTGTGCTATGCAGTTGCCCCTTTTCAGACATCACACTAAACCCACAGATGTTCTCTGGGCTGGCACTCAGCTAGCCTCAGAGTCCACTTGCAGTTACACCTGCCTCTCTGCCCTTCAAAGGATGACCCTGGAACCTAGACTCATACCATCAGAAGTATCGGCAGATCAGTCAAAGGGCTGCTCCTGTGGCTGAGCAAGATTTGGTATAATGCACTTGGATTGCCAAACTAATAATAACCATGTTTTAAAAACCCTGCCCTGATTTTGGAAGCCTTTAAAGTGTGCTTTAGTAATTCTCCAAGAGAAATTAGCAGATCATTTATTCAGCTTGGTTGCCACGTGAAAAGCCCTTTGAAATCTGGACCGATACAAAGGCCTAGAGTTTCCGAGAATGGCAGCACACAGCATCTTTCTGAAGGACTTTTCCCATATTCCTTCTGGAACTTTCCCTGCCCAAGCAGCCTTGCCATGAGCAATCGTGCAAGCCCATTCATTTCAGTGAAGCTTTGTATGAATTGTGCTCACAGTGTGTGTGTATTAACGTCAAAACACTTTGTGGCTGTCAGGGAAAGATTAGACTTCTTGACCACATGCCTACATTATGATTAATTCATCGTTTTAATTATAGACCCTTTTTGTAGATAAAAGCGCCACTGAGTGACAGAATTACAGTGACAATGACAGGGGCAAATCTCTTTTCTAATTTAAATGGATGACGCAAGCACCCCATTGAGTGCCTACATATGGTCCCCTCTTGTTCTACGTGTGCCAAAATCACATTCTCAGCAAGGACTATAAAACATGTGGGGGCAAACAAGAGAAAGCTCCAGCTATTCAATTAAGCATGAGCAGATATTCACAGAGGGGTTTAAAAAATGGATCAAATTGGCAGCCAGTTTCAAGAAAATGAAGAAAGTAAGCTTCCCCACTGGCCAGGTTCATACAACCAGCCCTGATGGCAATTTCCAATAAAGCCTGACTATATATGGCAAGTGAATCGTGAGCCAAAGCAGCTTTCTTGATTCATAAACTCCCACTGCCACTCACAGAAACTACTCTGTGTTCTTCCATGAACTCTCACCTCTGTCATTATAAGCATGTGAGAGCACTGAAATGTCCGAGAGAGAGCCAGGAAAAGTAATGGGATTCATGCAGATGAGCATTAATGTTTACAGAAACTACTTGGATATAGCAAGGACCAGCGTCCTTCGTGAGACTAGGACAAGGGAAACTGAGTATTTACCGGTAAGTAGGGTCCTGCTCTCGGTCACTTGGGCTAGATAGGCAGCTCATCTTCCACCTTGTGCCCCCTCCAATTAAGGCTGTTGCCCTAAGAGTCACCCTGTGGAGTCCAGGAAGAAATTATTGCATGTTTTGCAAAATTGGGTAGGTGGGGGTTATCTGGTTTCAATTGACTCACTCATCTGCCACACCTTGGCAGGTAGGCCAGTGATCAAGCAGGAGTCATTTAGACAGTATAAGAGTCTGGGAGGTAACAGCTCCCAGGGAGCTAAATGGCAGACTAGAAGTTAAGACAGCTCCCAAGGCAGTCACCCGCCTTAGGTACTGGTGGGGTGGTTGCTGGGGCAACAGTGCCTGGGCAGCTGCTCTTTTGGCTGGCATCCAGCTCATCCTGGAATTGAGCAGGCTTGCCATGAAAGAGACAGCTTACTGTTGAGGTGGGCCCTGAGGTCCATCGGCAGGACAGCCTCTCCAGGCCTTGGGACACAGAGACTGTTGGGGTTCTCCTTGATCACTGGTCTATGTTAACTGTGAATTGATCTTAAATGGCATTGGGTCCCATTTAAATCCACTCATGCATCCCCCTCTTTATTGCCATTCACAATTAAATGACCACACGGACAGAACAGGCAGAGGAAACTGTGGTGTTCCAGCTCAGACTATTTGTTCATCCAGCCCAGTGTTGTCTACTCTGATGAACAATGGTTCTCCTGCTATCCAGTCCTTTTAATGGGAGATTCCAGAGACTGAATCTGGGACTTCCTGCCTGCAAAGCACGAGAATCCTGCCACTCTTTCCCAGACAACTGGCATACTTTTGGAGAGTGCTGAGATTGGGTGGGAAAAATCCATGTTCATGTCTCTGACAATGTGCTTGTCTAATTCTCACACACAGTGTTACCAGAGCAGCATGGGATCACTCCAGGGGGAAAGTATCTCCCATCTTGGAACTTGGGGATGAGCCTCTTGGGGATGGGCAGGGTAAACGTTAAAAGAACAGGAGATGGCAGCTGTAGTAGCATCTCACTTATCACCCAACCTCCTGGCCTAACTTGATGACAAACATTCATTATCAAAAACTGATTGACACAGCATCAGCCAGCCAGATAGGTTATACATTGGCCGGAGTGGGGATGGAGGGGACAACCACCCTTTCAGAGCCAATCACTGCAGCATAGCAAATAGCCATCGTGTACAGTGCCAGCTATATCCCCAAGAAGTGAAACACTATTTAATTTTAGTACACAGATAAAGGCTTTCATGCCTGACTGAACTTTCATGCTATCTGCATAAAGGAGAGCCTGGGGAGTATGAAACGACTAATGGCTAACTTTATCCTCAGAAGCCTCTTGGGGAATTTGCTGGGAAGATAGTGATGTGTTGGTCAAGTTAATGTACTCCAGGAACTGGGGTGGGAAGGGAGAGGCCCTCTTTCTTTCTAATGAGATGGGGAGAAAAAACAGCCTCGAAACTGTGTTTGCTCGGTTATCAGCAGATGAAGGAGAAAATAACACTGCCAGAGAGGTGTGTTTGATTTAATGCTTTCATTGCTTGCGAAAAGAGAAAATCACACTGAAATCAACCACCAAAGCAAGGTGAATAACAAGCGATTGTTAGTGTGCATAAATACCTTTAAAATCTCAGCTTCAGAGGAGTAGAAAAAAGAATAAATATGTGAGAAGTATTCATCCCACCCACCCTGTACTCTGGGGTAAATCTCTGGGGAATTTGAGCTTTATGAACTAGCATAAAATAGAAGGCAATCAGAGCATTTAAAAAAGATCATATTCGCTCATTGTTGGAGATTAGAATTGCACAGTTAAACCATTATTTGTATAGGCAAGGTATAAATACAAATTACCTTCACACCACTTTCATTAGCTCGCATGTCCATTATTATGTTTACCTGTTATTTACTGTATTATTTTTTTAAAAAGAGCACTAAAAGCATATTTTAATTACAGAACAATCCTAAAAATGTCTGCTCAGAAGTACCTTTCATTGAGTTGCAGAGGACTTAAGCTCACGTGAGCGTATATAGGATTGCAGTCTTTAAAACATACTATACTTACTTTGAAACACACGCATTTACTTTTTCTTCTTCCCTATCTCCTGTTCCATTTCACATTTCAGTTCATTTAATGTACATAAGCAATTTGACATTTTGGATCCAGCAAGAATTCTGAGGGTGGCTTACAGGAAAAGATTAGAAATCCATGAACGGTAGAACCAATAAAATAAAAAAGTAACAACCAGAACAGCAAAGAAAGTATCAGCATAAAACAAACAATCTAAAAGACCTGGGAAAATAAGTAGATCTCTGCTTGCTGAAGAAAAGATATTGGCCATGGTGTTGGGCAAGCTTCACTGGAGAGTAAAAATTTCCAAGGACTACTGAAGAAGCCCTTTTTCTGGACACCACAAGGTGCACCTTTGATAGCAGTGAGACCGAGGGATGGGTCTCTGACAATGACCTCAGTACCCAGGCAGGTGGTCTGGTCTCTATGGCAGGGATGGGAACCTCAGCAGGGTGTCTGGTGCCTGGCCCTCAGGACGGTCCCTTGGCATACTGCTGTAAAAAGATGCCAGCAAAAGACTCTGAAATTGAACACAGTGCAGTTATCCTCTGAATCTGCCACCTTAGAATGCAAGTGAGGAATCACATTTGAATGTCTCCATTCCATGTAAAATAAATAAAAAATAAAAATTCCGTACGCTTGCAGCATTAGCACATCAGAGTCTTTTATCACCTCCTCCCTGACAGGCTAGATGACCTGCAGGAGAGTTTGATGGAATGGTATATTTAAACACACAATCATCCTCCATCTGCATTCTGAGCTGGGGCAATCCTGTAATATATATTACAGTGGTAGCTTGGTTTACGAACTTAATCCGTTCCGGAAGTCCGTTCTTAAACCAAAGCGTTCTTAACCCAAGACGTACTTTCCCGTACTAGTGGGGGACTCAATTTACAAATGGAACACACTCAACAGGAAGCAAAACATGTTCTTATTCCAAGGCAAAGTTCACAAACCAAAACACCTACTTCCGGGATTGCAGCGTTCTTAATCCAAGTTGTTCATAAACTAAACTGTTCTTAAACCAAGGTACCACTGTATATATATATAGTTGAAAGTTGGTCAGACTGAGCCTGATAAATCCATGCCTACAGACAGCAACATCAGGCCTCAGTAGTATGATGCTACTGTTATTCTTTTTTAAACAGTTGCATTCTTGGGACAGAACCTACACAACCCACAGTCTCAGGAGCAGCTGTAGATTAACTACTTGCCCACATGTTCTCAGTCTCAATCTGTGTGCGTGTGCGCACGCACGCACATTGACCTACTGTCCTTTATAGGCACCCAGTACTGGATTTCAGAGACCTTAAAAAGGAGGAACGGAAAAAGAAGGCATTACATGGTAAGTATTAAAGGCTCACTTAATGGTTAATGGTCAACCATTAATAGAAATTCCTTTTTATTTTTATCTGGGCCTCTTTTCTGTTAGAGTTTCAAATTGCCTGTTGTAGAGGCTTTGGGAGCCAAGCCAAAGCAAACAAACAAATTAGACCTCCCCTCCCATCCACACTGCGAATCAGAGAATCGGGTCAGGGTGAAGGTAAATACATGATATTTGTAAATATGAGCTGGCTAGCATTACAGGGTGGTATTTTGCCCAGGGCATTCTGACCTGCAATCACAGACTGAACCCAGTTTGTCTTAAGCAAAGTCCAACCGTCTGGCATTTTCTCCCTGCTAAATAAACACTCTTAGTGTTCCTATTTCACACTTCAAATAAAACACACACACACACACACACACACACACACACACACGGCTATCATGAAATGTGAGATAAATGGTTCTCTCATTAGCGCAACCCCAGTGCAAAGGACAACTGTGTTGCAATTAAGAGATGAAAAGAGCTTGGCAGTTTTCCTTCCAGGGATACGGTGCCACAGTGTGTTGGGCAAAGTACACAACAGGAAAGCAGAGTTCAAAGAGTTTGTTTCCCTCATTATGTTCCTTTACTTAACTCTTGATATCAGCCTCAATGAAAATATACATCTTGTGCCAGGGGAGCAATGAATGGACTCACTGCTGGCAAATTCAGAAGAAAGACAACACAGAAGAAGAGAAGTTATCTTGCTGTGTGAGGAAAGGTCACGCAAGCCATGCTTTCAAGGACCGGCCTGCGTTGTCAGCCTCCCCCAGAGATGAGGAGAAGAGGACACTTTCTGTCAAGGGGCGAAATAGGGCTGGTTCCTGATCTCAAACGAAGTGATCAACTGTGCTGTGGTATTTCAACCCACCCACTACCCTCATCTGGTTCCATCCTGCTTCCATTAAATAAAAATAAAAATCAGAGTTAGACTAAAAGTGTGGTGGGTGTCAGATAGGACTCAATTACCGTGAACGGGGTGAAATGGAAGTGGACCTAACTCAGTGGAAGAGCAAATGCTTTGCAAGCAGGAAATGCCTGCATCAGTCCCCAGAACCTCCACTTAAAAGGATCTTGGGTGATGGAAAAGGCCTTGGACAATCAGAGCAGATAGCACTGGACTAGATCTGTCTCACTGGGTATGAGGTCTGTCTCACTTCTCTGAGTATGTTTCTTCCTGCTAAGCATACCTGAAGAACTGAACGAGACCAAGACAGGAAGCATTTAAACCTGCCATTGGTATGCACCCTTTAAGATACATGAGTTTGGGGCTTGGCTCTGAAGGCCAACAAATCTGACATATTTCATATAGTTTGACAGAGGTCTTTCATTAAGGGCTTAGCCACACCTCCTCTTGTTCCGCTGCTTTCCCTTGGGGAAAACCAGGGGCTCAGTTGGAGTGCTCAGTTGGAGCAAATGGCCATTTGGGTTTTCCGTGGATTTACATTTGCTCCAATTTAGAGCTAAAAAGTGGCTTTAACCTGGGAATAATAGCAAGAGCAAGGAAGAAACCACTGAGACCTCTGCTTTCTAAGCATGGGACAAGCAGAAGTGTGGATGAGCCCCAATAGTCAGCTTTGAGGGCAAGTTTGACCTGGACTATGTTGTGAAGAGAGGCAGCTATTCACCTGCTATTTTCAATGGGGGGAAATTCCCACTGTGCTTATCGAAACAAGAATAGATGCTGGTGAATGTGTTGAATTTTGTTTTTCTTCATTTTCCATTTTAAGTTCAGTTCTTCATATTTCTGCATCGGTTTCCAATTTTTTAAAAAGAGAAGACATCGTGAAAATTCATCAGCCGTTTAGTGCAAATCTCTTCTAAGCAATTTTCCCTACTAAAACACATTTTTAAATGTTATTTACATGAAGACTATGCAAGTCTGTGCATTTTTGTAGACATTACTAGGCTGGAGAACTGCACTGCAAAAGTCAATGAAGGGTAAATTTTGAGGAACGACTGTGTTTTGGTTTGCGTCTTGTTTTGCAAAGCATGAATTAAGTAAGTTTGCCTTTGACCATGAACTGAATTGAATTTCTCCACCATCGCTAGCTGGAGGGCAGCATCTCTGGTCCTCAGTGGAGCATATGAAAGTACTAGGAATCCTCAAAAATTTTGCCTAGCTCTTATTTTTAAGTGACCAACCCAATTCACACTTTGCAGAATGCTACACAGTAATTCTTTATTTTTATTTTTTGCACTTCTTGAAATTTTGTAGTACAGCTAAAAAAAAATGTACCAAATGTCCTCTAAAGATGAATTATTTGAGTAACAATGTATGCAAAGTGTGCATTTTGTGAATAATACATTCAGGAGACTATAGTAGGTCAAATCATTGGTTCACTTTGCCCAGTACTGCCTATGACAGGCTGTGATTCTCCAAGGTCATAGGCAGAGGCTTTTCCCAGTCCTGCTACCTGATACCCTTTTAACCGAAGAGGCCAGAGATTGATCATGGGCCCTGCTGCATGCTCTGTCACTGAGCTGTGACACTCCACACTGAGGCACCACTTGACCCATAGTGCCGTCTCTCAGCTGATCCCTATCTGAGAGTTTCTGCTTATGGTTTTAGTTTCATATTATGGACTCTCAGTAAGTTTCATCACTCCACAACCCCCGTTGTGCTGGTCCATTCAAATTACTCTGAGATGTAACATTCAGCATGTCTTCCAAGTTCCAGGACACTTAAATAGTCTGAATCATTGCTATTAACCTTACTGTCCCACCATTTAGTTTACAGCATGTGATAATAAGATGATCTGGCAAAAGGATGCGTTAGCTGGAAAGGTCAAACATGACAGAATCTTTAAGGCATGCATGTGCTTAAGCATCTATAAATAAAGAAATAAAGGAAACTCATTTAATGTTTGACGACTATGAAAAAGAAAAAAGAAAGACCATTTTGCAAGGGGTTATGACAAGGATATATGAATGTATCTCAGTATTGTCGGTGTCTTGAGGATATTGCTATATAGGTCTTCTTTGCACTGGTGCAGGCATGCCCTGCTCCTGCTGGGTTTTGAGCTCCCAGGGAAGTGGGATAGGATATGCCTATGCCCTTGATGGTCCAACAACAACAACAACAACAACAACAATAATAATAATAATAATAATAATAATAATAATAATAATATTTATAACCCCCCACAATCTGGCTTGGTTTCCCCAGCCACTCTGGGCGGCTCCCAACAGAATATTAAACAGAATAAAACTTCAAACATTAAAAACTTCCCCAAACAGGGCTGCCTTCAGATAGTTGTTTATTTCAGATAGTTGTTTATTTCTTTGATATCTGGTGGGAGGGCGTTCCACAGGGCGGGCACCACCACTGAGAAGGCCCTCTGCCTGGTTCCCTGTAACCTCAATTCTCACAGTGAGGGAACCGCCAGAAGGCCCTCGGCGCTGGACCTCAGTGTCCGGGCTGAACGATGGGGGTGGAGACACTCCTTCAAGTATACTGGGCCGAGGCCGTTTAGGGCTTTAAAGGTCAGCACCAACACTTTGAATTGTGCTCGGAAATGTACTGGGAGCCAATGTAGGTCTTTCAGGACCGGTAGTATGTGGTCTCGGGGGCCACTCCCAGTCACCAGTCTAGCTGCCGCATTCTGGATTAGGTGTAGTTTCCGGGTCACCTTCAAAGGTAGTCCCACGTAGAGCTCGTTGCAGTAGTCCAAGCGGGAGATAACTAGAACATGAACCACTCTGGCGAGACAGTCCACGGGCAGGTAGGGTCTCAGCCTGCGTACCAGATAGAGCTGATAGACAGCTGCCCTGGACAAAGAATTGACCTGCACCTCCATGGACAGTTGTGAGTCCAAAATGACTCCCAGGCTGCGCACCTGCTCCTTCAGGGGCACAGTTACCCCATTCAGGACCAGGGAGTCCTCAATACCCACCCGTCCTCTGTCCCCCCAAAACAGTACTTCTGTCTTGGCAGGATTCGACCTCAATCTGTTAGCCACCATCCACCCTCCAACTGCCTCCAGGCACTCACATAGGACCTTCACCACCTTCACTGGTTCTGATTTAAAAAAGAGGTAGAGCTGGGTATCATCCGCATACAGTGGTACCTCAGGTTAAGAACTTAATTCGTTCTGGAGGTCCGTTCTTAACCTGAAACTGTTCTTAACCTGAGGTACCACTTTAGCTAATGGGGCCTCCCACTGCCGCCGCGCCGCTGCTGCCCGATATCTGTTCTCATCCTGAAGCAAAGTTCTTAACCCGAGGCACTATTTCTGGGTTAGCGGAGTCTGTAACCTGAAGCATCTGTAACCTGAATTTCTGTGACCCGAGGTACCACTGTACTTGATGAACACTGCCTTGTTATGCAGCCACTGGCCACCAGGAGTGGCTCACCCAAAGGATTGGGGCTGCAGTAATAACCTCCTAGCACTGATGTTTCTGCTACATACTAAGCGTGGGAGGACACGGCAGCAGGAAGATTGGGACTGCCCACACAAACTGGCAGAAGTGGTGGGTTGGCTTTCTGCAGGTACACCCACACAGCCCCAATCTCACCACTATCTGACCCCCCCTCCTGGAAAGTGGCAGTCGCTGAAGCTCACACACACACACACACACACACACACAAGGCAAGCCACTCCTTAAGAGTGTAAAGTGTGGGGGAGACAGAAACTGCTGAGGAATGAGTCTTCTGAATCAGAGAGTCTGGCCTGGCCTGGTAGGAGATTTCTGGTACAGGTCATCCTTCAAGCTTAAAAGTTGGGTCAAACATGACTGGTACCTTTAAAGCTGTAGTGGCTTCCTGTTAGTGGTGCTAATGAACTAGTATTTAGAATCTGACCAATAAACTCCTGTTCTTTCCATGGGGTTTAGAAAGCTGATAAACTGCAGGATCTTTACTCACAACCCACCAATAATCACTATGGCACTCTGAATTCTGCTCAGGCATTATTCCATTAAGGACATAATAAGAACATAATAAGATTCCTGTTGAATCAAGACCAGAGGTCCATCTAGTCCAGTGTCCTGTTCCCAACAGTAGCTGTGAAGCAAACAGGCTGTTATTGATAAAAACTATACATCTTGCATGTTGGTTTGTTTGGGGCCTATGAGGTTAACTTATTAAACCTGACCTGCCTGGGAATCAAAGTGGGTGGTGCAGATGGCGCACAGGCAATATCTGCTGTTGAAAAAAGACCCTACAGCATGTTTGATTTCAGGGATTGGAAGTCATGTAGCCAGAGAGTGTACGAGGGAACGAGATTAAAGGATGGGCAGGTCAAGGTGTGAGCTCAAGACATGAAAGAAACACAGGCTAGGTTGGAGTGTGTCAGATATGGCAAGTTTGATGTAAATCATTAGCTATAGGGGCTCTATAGGGGACCCCTTTGTGTGTCAAGTGGCTAGTATATTGAAATAATACCAGCAATAATAATATTGATAATAACAAACATGTAGCAATTTCCATGCAGATATGTGAGAACGTGTAAGAAACTATCTCCAAACCTGATGGAAATTATCCGGTCTATGAAATCTAGATGGTTGTTTAATACACTGCCTTTGCCCCCCTTGATGCTTTCCATTCACAGAAGGGCTGGCAATCTAGCAATCCCACTCCCAGAAAGGCAGGGAGTGATTTTCACCAGTTTCCTCTTCTGTCTCCTGCTTGACCTACTGTCACTCAAGCCTTTCAGAACAGATTTAGCTGGGCACAGGAATAAAGAAAAGGGGAGGATCTCTTTTGATCCAACCCCGTAATTATCAATCATCAGCAATACTCTCATAATCATAAGGAATTATTTTGTGTATGTTTAATGATATGGGCTGATTTTTATAGAAGTGTTTGAAATAATACCCACTGCTTGCATATAAAATGTCACCCTTTGCTCTTTTAAGCGGCGCTGTGGGTTAAACCACAGAGCCTAGGGCTTGCTAATCAGAAGGTCAGCAGTTCAAATCCCCGCGACGGGGTGAGCTCCCGTTGCTCGGTCCCTGCTCCTGCCAACCTAGCAGTTCGAAAGCACGTCAAAGTGCGAGTAGATAAATAAGTACCGCTCTGGTGGGAAGGTAAACAGCGTTTCCGTGCGCTGCTCTGGTTTGCTAGAAGCGGCTTAGTCATGCTGGCGACATGACCCGGAAGCTGTAAGCCGGCTCTCTCGGCCAGTAAAGCGAGATGAGCGCCGCAACCACAGAGTCGTCTGCGACTGGACCTAATGGTCAGGGGTCCCTTTACCTTTACCCACATAGAAATCTGGGTTTTACTAGATTTTTGATATATTGGAGGGCAGATCTTGACCTTTCATTTATACTCTTATTTGCTTCTGAAGCATTTCTTCATAAAATAGCTCACTAGCTACCACACTATTTCAACCCAGGGCATACCTAAAGCTACCCAAACATCCTGTTTTTCCTGCAACTGTTGCTGCTTTAAGAGGACATGTGATATCTCCCCACAGGTTTCCTGATCCTCATTCCGCCCTGGTTAGTTTACACTGATGTTATGAACAGCTATAGCTAAACAGTAATTTGAGTTTACATTATCAGACCCAGCAAACCGAATATTTTTCTTTCTTCCCAATAATATAAACAGCAGAGTGGAAAAAATCCAAATTGTTAACTCGGCTATTTGTAATGAATTTCGAAAACAGGCAGTTCAAGAATTTCATTGCTAGGGGTCAAAATCCTTCCTTTGGCCTCCTAATTGAATGTATTAAGAAACACCATGTGCACGCGCGCACACAAGCACACTTATTCTTCTTCTTTTGATTTCCTTTAACTGAAATAGATGTGCTACTTCCACTCTCTGATTCCCCCATTCATTTCTGGAATCCAATTATGCCTTCTTTCAGGCTTCTGTTTGCTAGCCTATGTAGGTCAAGCTCCTTTTACTCTGTCTTGTTGAACAGGGTCACCATTTCTCTTATCACTCTAGGGGATCTTTCTCTCCACATATTGCAGTTTGGTCGCGCCATTCTAGGACACAGGTGACTAAGGGTGAGTCACATGAACAAAAATTGGAGCTTGCGGAGAAATATGGTTCAACGCATATTAGAGCTGCCACGAAGAAAATAATAATAATTCTCTGATTGCTCTTTCACAGGGCCAGATCCATTTTTATCGCCTAATGCGGTGAGTAACATTTTCCATCCACATTGTGGGCAGCAAAATCAATCAAGCCACACAATTGAGCAATCAGATTTGAGCAGCAAGCTGTTATGGGCATTACATGTGCCTCCAAGGCAAGGGCCAGGCTTTACTTCAGTCATGTGAATCAAGTGCAAATATGGGTGCTCCAGATGAGTCTTTGGTAGTGCCTTATACAGTGCTATTAACTGCCTCTCTTTATGGGGCATGCCTCCTCTTAACAGATATTAGATTCTCAATTTGCCTCAAAAAATTCTGAAGTCTTATCACAGTGAAGGTTCTCAGCTGTCTTGTAGATAAAGCTGGGAAACATCAAAGACACACACAAGCAGGAAAACCTAAAAATGGCACTAGGCATTTTAATTTTCTTGAACTTATAAAACAGAAAAATACCAATCTGTTCATACCACTCAGGGTGAACGCCTAGATGGGTTGGGGAGTGTGGGGCAAAAGATATTAAGTTACTCAAAGGCCAGAGTGAAAGTCCATTGGCACAAAGTGGAGTCCTCTTTGTGTGAAAGACAGAAGGAGCATGAGTAGGCTGTTCTAAGTGTAAAACAAGCTAAAGGTTGTTGGTTGTTTAATCTGGTTCAAATGTATTGTGCTTGGTTCTACCTAGGTATTTGGTCACGCTGGAAATTTTAGTGCTTGTCATTGTCATTTTGCATGCTTGCCTTATGGCAGAATTGTTAAGTTTGCTGTTTATCGGACTTGCTGAAATGATTATTACGTGTACGTGTGTGTGTGTTTGTGTGTGTGTGTGTGTTCCTTGTTTATTTTTATTACTTTGCTCCCTACTCTGGGATTGGAGAAAAAAATCAAGGAAGAGTGGACTGTAAATACTGTAAATAAAACAAACTCAATGCCCCCTCCCACTGTGCTTGACCAATTTTGAAAACAGGTACTTTCAATAAATTGTTGTTGTTATTATTATTATTATTATTATTATTAGAAAGTTATACAAAATTCTGCAAAATACAGTGTTATCAAACTGGTACTTATATACTGCATGATGTGCAGTGACTGGCTACTAAGTTAGCTGGAATCCTAATCTCCTGATGTAGCAGGACATGGTGGAGGGGAAGGCCACCATTTTGTGCTCTTCATTGACTCCATTGGCATTGTTTCAATTTGCACCACTTCTCCTGCTGTCTTAACACACTGTCTTCAGGGGCAGGACCACCCTCTGAATGATTTCAGCTAAACTCTGTTGCTCCCCCAACTCTAGGCCTCTGTCTTCAGTGGTGTACTACTGCCTAACATTGTTGCACTGCTAATGCTTCAGTGGAATAAATCCTATGTGCCAGCATAATATTTTGTTTTTGTGGCATAAGGGATTTAATAGCGACCCTATCATAAATTGAGGATAGGGTTATCCTGTTAAGATACTGAAAGAGGTGGAAGATACTTCACAATGTAATAAAATAAGCTACCGGCCAGTGTTTAAAGGAAAGACTACCTTGGCTATGTTTTCATTCTCATATAAGGTAACATGCCTGAATCAAAGCAGTTTCAAGAAATAAAATGTGCACCCTCAATTCTTATCCCTCCGTGATCTAAATTCTCTCCCAGTAGTTAAACCAAAACAAGCTTGCAGCTTTATTCATTGTAGATTTTCAAGAGAAAATATTTTGTGAACACTCAAGTACTATAGAGCTCTAAGGGAGTACTGCTATCTGCTCTTGCAAGTTTAAAAGGCATGCTATACTTCTTCCCTTGAATAACAATTGGTTTTGTGTTTTTAAAAAGTCTTTACTGCCTGGCAGGACAGGCATTATCCAGTTTAATTCTGGCTAGAACCAGCCAGAACTGTTGAAAGAACAGGAATGAAGGGCAGCTCTACTGGAATCAAGTTTCCTTCATTTTGACATGTAAACACACCTTCACCTGAAGAATGATGGAACAGTGAGTGCAAACAGAAAGGCTAGCTAGTTAAGCAAGCCAAATAAGAGTTTTGCTTTCCTTCCTTTCCATATATACACACACAACAAAGCTATTAGCAATACCAAATGGATAGAAACAGGACCATGGTGCAGCAGTTTCTTCCTCACACCAAGCTATAGGCGTTGGCTGGAAAAAAGCATTCTGCAAATGCTCAAGAAAGCTTTGCACCAGGGCAGAGGGAGCAGAAATTCAGGTTTCAGGACCTTTCATAAACATCTGAAATATAGTTCCACGTCCCATGCTACCTAATGAAGCACTAGTTTCTTCTTCTGTTGTTCAAGACAACAAACTAGCAACGGGAGGGCCCCCCAGGGCCAAATCTGACCTCCTGAGGAATGTCAGCTGATTCCTTAGTTGCCAAGCCAGTGTCAAGGGGTGTATGTGGAAGAACTGGGGGCAGGGCTAATGGGAGGGACTGGCATGCTTCTTGGGAGGACTGGGACTCACCACATGATACCCAGTCCTTAAACTGGCCCTTCCTCAAACTTGTTGCTGGCCAAGGTGACACAACAGGAGCAGAGAGCCATTTTCAGACTAAGAAAACCACCATTCAGGAGTCTCCTGCCAGCGGTTGGTCAGGCCAGAGGCAAAAGTGAACAAATAAATGAACCTTTGTCCAGTAGGCTATTTTCTACACAGACACATACATCCCTCCATCTAGGCAACCAAGACCCATTATTAGAGTTGAAAGGTACAGTCAGGCAAAAACACTCAAGGATAGCACAAAGTGAGGCTGCTGAGGGGTGTGGCCTTGAGAGAATCCCAAGGGCCATGGAGGCCACATTTTGCTCCTCAGCCTGGGGTGTTCCATCCCTGATGCACTAGCAGTGGCAAGCTATGTTCAGCATGTTATTCCTCCCTGACTTGGAACGATCAATTCACCTATCCATTTTAATTGATATTCATATATGCCTGAGGAGAAAATGCAACCAGGAGCTGGGAAATCGACCTTTGTCCAGGAAGAGCTCTGTACACCAGCACATAAATATGCTGTTCCTCATCACACATTCCACAACCGGGGCTCAGCTCAGCTTAAGCTCTTATACTTAAGACCTGTTGAGGCGCTTGTTGAAAGGCACAAGGAGCCGCCAGTTGAAGCCGCTCATCTCTCCTGGTGTTGCTGGGAAAAGAGGATAGCACAGAATAGGACTGCATCCCGTGTTCACGAGGAGAGCTTACTAAACTGTGAAGATTTCCAACCAACTTGGAGCCAGGTGCTAGGAAAAGGAAAGGACTCCACTGGACACTCACATAATCGACTGCATTGTTCCTTTATTGCATTCATCTAGCCTGGAGGACTCAATAAATGTTTTCCTCTGCTCCCCATGCAGGCATTTATAACAGGGCATATACAACAGCCTTTCAGTCTGAATTGGTGCAACTTCTTCAGCTGGCTGTTTTTAGTTTCTGTCTCTGTTTTTCCAACCTTCAGATTGTTACTTCCCTTTTAAAGGGCTTTATAATAAATCAGTAGAAAAGAAAATCCCTGTGGGAGTAAGAGACTGTATTTTCCTACCAACCCCCCACCCCGGTTTAAAACTCCCCACCTGCCACTTGACCAGCGAAAAGCTTGGATTCATCTCTGTCCTTCATTGCAGATTATGCGAAACTATTTAAATCTTGAGTGACAGTATTTACTAAAGCAGCTGTTGGGCTCTGCCACCAGTGTTGGGAGAAGAGGGGAGAAGATGCTTAGAGACAAGTTAATGGAAATATATATATATATATATATATATATATATATATATATATATTCTTTGGTAAAACCAGCTGCTACATTTCGTCCAGGTAGGAACAAACAAAATAACAGTGCAGAAATAACATTGCCACAAATAAAGGGGTTGTTTTTAGAAACCGTCCGTCCCCCCACCGCCTTTTTGTTTGCTACTGTTTCTAGACTACAACGGCCTAGTTGCTTTCATTATCATCACAGATGCAAACCGATGTAGGAGAAAGCCTCCCTCCCTCACTGTCTCTCTCTCTCTCATTAATTTGTCCATGTCATTCATTTTAATACATTTCAGAGCAGGAGATTAAACTAGAGCAGCACTCTTGTTTTCAGTTAATCAAATATTTAACCATTTTGCTTTTTTGGACTGAAGTTGTACGGCTGACAATTACTGGCACCCAGAGTGGGCCTGAAAAATTCATGTTTTTGTTTTGAGTTGTAAAGAACCCGATAGTGTATTCGCATATGCCCTAGAGGTGATTGTTCCTCAGAGTGCCTCAACTGGACTACCTATGCTGCTACATTACATGTGAGGAGACCAGAAGCTTGTTTGTAAGGAACTACAATAGGACTGCCAACCTAGCAGTTCGAAAGCACCTTCGGGTGCAAGTAGATAAATAGCGGGAAGGTAAACGGCGTTCTGTGTGCTGCGCTGGCTCGCCAGATGCAGCTTGTCACGCTGGCCACATGACCCGGAAGTGTCTGCGGACAGCCTATAGAGTGAGATGAGCGCACAACCCTAGAGTCTGGCAAGACTGGCCCATACGGGCAGGGGTACCTTTACCTTACAATAGGATAGATACACCTGAGCAAAAATATTCTCTTTCTTTTTAAACAGTGGTACTTAATTTGTTTCGGAGGTCCGTTCTTAACCTGAAACTGTTCTTAACCTGAAGCACCACTTTAGCTAATGGGGCCTCCTGCTGCCACCATGCAATTTCTGTTCTCATCCTGAAGCAAAGTTCTTAACCCAAGGTACTATTTCTGGGTTAGTGAAGTCTGTAACCTGAAGCGTATTGTAACCTGAGGTACCACTGTAGTACCATTCTGCTTTTACCTACGGTATGTCAGCCTGTCAGTTTTATGCTTAATAAACCTCTTCTAAAACTCAGAGGGTTATTCCAACCCCTTTCATGCCACGTGTGTGTATATGAGCAGGGTCTGAGGGAGATAAACAAGCTACTTTGGTTATCAGGAAGGAACAGGAATGCTGGATGTTATCTCCCTTATAGGTATTTGCATTGCATCTTCTGAAAGCACCTGAGGGGGTGTGGGGGCAGTGACCAGAGAGCCTCAGGCATGACTGGCCTACCCAGACTGGCAGTTGTGGATGGAAGGGAACAAAAGGTCTTTACCTTCTCCCATTACAGTACAGGGTGAACCTGGCAAAACAGAAAGCTTTCACTTGCTGAATGTCTACTCCTGCTGCAGTTTTTATGGCCACCAAAAGAATACCAGACAATAAAAGCAGCTACTCTTTTTTTTTTTTTTTTTTTTTTTTAGTGTCCAAAGTCAACGTTATCCATTCAGGTCACTGATGTAATCCTCCCCCAAACTCATGGTGCATCCTGAGCACATGCACAAATCTGGAACGGAACACAGAAAATCACTGTAAATAGCACTCTCATTTATCCAGTCTTGTTTTTCCACATAATTCTTGTATTCCTCGGGCCATCTGGATAATCTAAATTAATGATGCCGTATTGCATGCACTCACTGCTGCTGCAATCATTTCCTCTGCTGACAGTAGTGTAAAAGGAGAGATCTGGCATTTCACATGATTTCAAAGAAACGCTGTACATTTTGAGGGGGGTTAAGTGTGGCCGTTTCAGAATTCTCCACCAAAGTCATAGTCTCCAGAACAAAGGACTTGCTGCAAGCAACAAAGGCACCAGCAAATATGAACCTTAATGCAACATGAATTAATCATCCCTCTAAATCTTTTATTTAATAAGGTAAAAATTATGTGGTTAATTTTTAACTACCAAGAGGATTTCAGTCATTCAAGCAGCTATATTTACCATTTACCTGATTAAATTATGAATATGCAGCTCAAGCTTGTTGGATTCTGGAATGCTAAGTGGGCCAGGGGCTGGCTCCACAAAAACTGGAGAGCAGGACTGAAATCTGTGGCTTCCTATCTGGGCTGGGTTTCTGTTTCTCTATACTAGTTGCTGAGTTGCTTCCAGTTAAATATTAAATTAATCACATACACACACACAGGCCCAATTCTCCTCTTTCCCTTTGCAAACTCTGGTATTGAATATTCTGCAGACATACACTGAATGTTTAAATACTTTCCAAATACAATCTGAATATACAATAGCTTCATTCCATATACACTTGATGTGCAATTTCTGATGTGGTAGCAAAGTGCTGGTGTTGGCAAGCAGAACAGGAGGTGTCGGTCTGAATCTACCATTTTGCTTTCAAGAAATATTGTGAGCATTTCCCTAATTCTAAATGTCCACCTTTCCTGTTTGCCACCACAATGTGTTCTACCCTGAGGAACTCTTCGGGGGTAGGAGGGAAGCACAGCCTTGCTTCTTCTGAAGATAAAGATCCTTCTCCCATTGCTCCTTTTCTCCAGCAGAACTACTAGTAGCAGTGCTTTAAAAAAATAAATGTTTAGGGGTACTCTCATTTTCCTACTCATATTGACACTCCCCCTCAATGAGGCCAAACTTAGATTCATAAAATGTTTAGGGGTATATGTACCCCTGCGTCCTCCCAGAAAAAAGCACTGACTAGTAGTATTATCTACCAACATAGCTCAACATTTTGATCATATTGACTGGCATTATCAGGGTTCCTGGAGTCTTTAGGCACTACTGGTGCTAGTAGATTTTACAAGATCACATTCCAAGAGACTGGCTAGGTTGTTAATCCATGAGGCATGCTATGTGACGGAAATAGGGCAGATTAATCTCACCTCCCAGTTGTCTATCAGAATGTTTTCTAGTCAATGTTGTCAAGAACAAACAAACAAAAAAAGCAGACACCTATTAGACTTTTCCTGTTGCCCAGCAAGGAATAAGTTTTGCTACACTTCTCTACTGTTAGCACCTCGTACAATTCTGAAATAGGTATGAAATGTGCAGCTTGGAGTATTAACAGAAGAAGTGACAGATAGCTTCTACCTGCTGTGTCTTGGGAAGAGCAATAACAACACATATTTGAGTTTCCTGTTTTCTTACCATTAAAATATCAAAGTCCTTCTGTAACTTTGATCCTACTGACACGCAGCCTTAGTGATGAAAGGGAGAGCACAGAGTGGGATGTGTTGCGATAGTTTTGCTTCTTTCTTAATTCCTTCATCTCTATCTCTCTGCCCCCCCTTCCTTTTCTGAACTGCTTGTTGCTTCAATGCATGTCAAGTTCAGGGAGAGTTCAGGCTCATCACTTGCATAGAAAATGATTGAAAACCTTCGGATTCTGTTTCATGGGGATGGTGCCCGGGCACTGTCGGGTAAGAATTGATATTTAATACTTGTGCCAGTCAGCGTGGAGCTTATACAAAGTACAGCTGAGCATTGCATATTTCAAAAGCTCAATCTTATTTTGGCAACCTAGAAAACCAAAAGGAGGGAGACAGAACATTTTTAAAAGGTATTGGAGGTTATAACGTTCAAAAGATGCTCTACCTTTGCCATGATATTGCTCACAAAATTCAGATCACCCTTTCAGGTCAGGGTGTTTTGTTTCCCCAAACAATGGAGTTGATACTTGTATAGTTATATCAATGTCATCACAGACAATAGACCAGAATATGCAGAGCAAAACCAAATAATAAATGCTAATCAAGGAACAGGTTTTCAAAGTGTTATTGGAAACTGATTTTTATTATTATTAAAAAGGGGGTGTTTAAAAGTGTATATTTAAAAAATAATAAACAAAATTATAGTTCCCATATAGCAAGAAGTTTTTCAAAGGAAGCAGTCCCAGCCAGGCGGAAAAACAGATTCAAGCTACAAATTGCATCCCTGGAAGTATCAACAAACTATTCCATATGCAAGAAATGTAAGCATAACCTTTCTGCCTAATCAGTGGCAGGAAAGGTCCCGAGCTCTTATCATGTTTGGCATGTCCAGGAAACAGAGAGAGAGAGCATCTTGATAGGCAATTCTTCCCTACTTTCAATATAGCAGGACTGAGGCTGGATGCCAAAGCCTACATACTCATTTTGGAGTAGGGTAAAAATGGCTGGAAGAAGGGATGCCACATGAAACCATTCAATATCTAACCAGTACCTCTGGTATATATAACCAAGGTTACGGTTGAAGTCCTCAAATTACTGCAAGACCAACACAATGCCTTACATGCAGTGCAATGGGTGGAAGCCTATGTGAAAGGGCTGGGATAGCAGTGGGGCAGTAGACTCCCTCCAGGAAGTGGTTTTGGCCACAAGCATTGTGGTAGACTGTCAAGAGAGCAGTGCCCCCCGTGTTTTATCTAGATGAGGTGGGTTAAGGCAGACAGAAATTGTGGGTAAAGCAAATGGAAGCTACTTGGTTGACGCTAGATGACTAAGGACCAAACTAGATGGTACATCTAGCAGGGAGCAATTTATCTGAAATAATGGCAGTGCATGGAGCCCAGTTCTTACTGGGATAGAAGTATGTGGGGAGGCGGGTAATTACCTCCCCCACAGGGATCAGAATAGAGATCTTCCCTCTACCCAATAGCTGGGAGCTTTAGGAAAAAATTATTATATAACTGCAGTAGGATAGTGAAAAGATATAACTCCCCTCGCTGCACACTGCCTTCCTGTACAAATTGGGCTTGCCCACTCCCAGCCTTAATTTTTTTTTTAAGGCAAAACAGGACCAGCCCAAAACATATTGCTTCCTGAGAAGAACAAGATTATTTCCCCTCCCCATTCCATGCACAAAAGCCAACTGGTCTGGCAGCTGAAACTTATTTCAACACTGCTGATGGGATAACATCCTCTGCTGCACTTGAGGCCGCAGACCAGATCAGAGAGCCCAGGACAGTCCATGTGGTAACAGAGCAAAATGGCTGGAGTATTTGAGAGGAACAGCTGGAAGCTACTGCCTCCAAGCCTGAGGCGATTGCCTCCTTCTGCCTAATGGCAGGATCGGCCCAGAGGGAAACAAGATACATAGTTGCCTGCTACATATTAAGCAAACATCTCGGTCACATCCACACCATCCATTTAATGCACATTGCTTCCCCTGAAGTATCCTGGGAACAGTCATTTACCCCTCACAGAGCTACAACTCCCAGCACCCATAATGAACTAAAGTTCCCTAGTTTGGCCATAACTCCAAATAAAGTCCAGAAGGCTACAGGAGCACACCAATTACAGCATATGGCTAAACCTGCCACACTATCTTTGAGATGTCAGATGAATTGATTTCTAATGCTAGCTTTCAGCTGTGAGGCAAAAACAAGAGAATGCCTCAACGCATGCCTCTTCTTCAACAGGAGACACTCCTTTGACACTTGAGACATCCACTCCCAGAGTTAGAAGGCAGGTCATCTGTGTCAGAGACTGCACTTTCCAGTCAGATATGTCAAAGTGCAAGTAGATAAATAGGTACCGTTCCTGCGGGAAGGTAAATGGCGTTTCCGTGTGCTGCTCTGGTTCGCCAGAAGCGGCTGAGTCATGCTGGCCACGTGACCTGGATGCTGTCTGCGGGCAAACGCCGGCTCCCTTGGCCTATAGAGCGAGATGAGCGCGTAACCCCAGAGTTGGTCACAACTGGACCTAATGGTCAGGGGTCCCTTTACTTACTAGTACGACAAGAGGAAAACTGCAGCCAGTAGAGCCTAGGAAGCCACCCACATAAATCTTGCAACCCAGTGGTGGGCCTTCATTGTACAACAGGAAAACACTAACCTAAGACAATAAGGCCACATAAATTACTGTGACTGAAAATTGTATTATGACTAAACAGGATTATCCAGGACTAGTCAGACATGAGGAAGAAGGGAGAATGGCAGCCTTTCAATGACTACTTTGGACAGCTGAAAACTGGAAGTACTTCTTGCTATATTTTCACAGAGTATTAACAAACAAGGACAGCCAAATATGTTTTGCTACCTGAGGCAAAGGCTAGATAATGGCATCCGTCTTCCATCTGCAGAAGAGGTGCCACAGGATTCTTACTTCACTTCAGCACTGGCAATAGGATCGTGTCCTCCACCGCTCCTAAGGACAAGAGACTAACTGATGGGATTTAAGCAAGCCACATAGCACACCCAGCTCTTCCACCATCTTGATGCCACTGCCCACCCTCTTGGTTTTGCCACCTGAGGCAACTAACCATCTCACTGTCTAATGGTAAGGCTGTCTCTGTTAAACAAAAGCAAGAAAACAACGTAATGTAAATTGATGGCTATAGAATAGTAAGGATATTTATGTATGTTATATCTTGTATTATCCCTGTTAACTTGACAACATGTCCAACAGATTTTCTTCAAATTCATCTGTGCCTTACTGAATAGGGGCCTAAATACGACGTTTTCCCTTTTTGTGAGGCACCTTCTGAAAATGAAGGGGGATTTAGAAATATAAAGAGCCATCGTAAGAGATCTTTATGATACTTGGATGACTCACTCATTTTTGAGGAACACATCACAGTCCACTTTGTGTTGTGCAAACTCCACAGAGATGGTCTGATGGTATCTCTGTGTGACTTAAGTTCCTCCTAGTTTCCAGCATGTTTTGATTACATTAAGTGACAGTCCAGTGCTTTAGAATCTTAAAAGCACTTGCAATGTGTGTTGCTTGGTTCTCCTGCCCAAAGAACTTTACTTCAGTTTATCTGAAAGGTGGTGCTAGACACCCGGGGCAACGTGGGGGGTGGGGTACATAGCCAGCCTTATTATGAAGCCTTGCAGATGATCCTCCCACACCCCAGAATCTGCAGTATTTAGTCTCCATCCTTCTGCATCCTTACAAAAAAATAAAATCCCTGGTCCTAAAAAGTAGAACAGAATTTTGACTTTTCACTTCATGTCAATGTTTAAGGCTGCTGGAGCTCCAATGAATGCAAAAAGGAGCAAAAAGAAGGAATAGATCACTGCATTTCTGTACACAAAACATACACGTCAGCTATGGCAACTTTTCCTTGTCCAGGCCCCTTAATCTCCTATGTTGCTGTAATATATACAGGCACCAAGGACACAGATCTGCAGACCCTGGGAGCTGCTATGGTGTAACAGAGAAACCAGGGTCCTCATGTAAGTATCCCCTATTGTACCACCAGCAACATTTTCCCACAGACAAGCTGTGCAACAAGGAAGCTGTTTTGTGGTCTTGCACAAGCTGGGCAATAAGCTACGTGCTGCCTAGGTTCAAATCCTTGGGGCCAGGGCATTAAACCTTCATCAGGTTTTCTCAAACCAAGAGATACTGCTTTGTTGATAGTCACGAGCAGATGTCTAAGCAGCTCCTGTTATCTTTATTAGGCCTGGCTGGTCCAGACACCTCAAGCCCTCAAGCTGCAAATCACACAGCACTATTTCCTTCTAGATTACGTTCCCCATTCAGTCCACTGGGGTTGCCCTTTATGCAGAAATTCCACCAATTTTCTGCTACTAATCTAATGTCTGTGGCAGATAAATAGACTATGGAACATCTGTGGCTACATCTGCACGATACATTTAAAGCACTATGGTATCATTTTAACCATCAATCATGGTTAGAGTTACCATATTTAAAAACGCTGAGCTTTTAGGGGGAACAAACACAAATGTTTCTGCTGCTTTTCCCATCGCATTGCCATACATCTGAGTTTTCCCTGACCTTTTGCCATTTTGGCAAAATTCCCCTGACGCCATTTTTACACCTGAAACCAGGACGTCAGGAATTTTCCTGACATATGGCAAGCCTAATCATGGTTTCCTTCCCCCCCCCCTCCGAATCCTGGGAACTGTAGTTTGTTAAGGGTGCAGAGATTTGCTAGGCAATCCCTAGTTTCCTCACAGAGCTCCAATTTCAAGAGTATCTTACTGGTCAATCCCTCTTTCCCAGGGAGCTCTGGAAATTGTACTTATGTGATGGGTCTGGCAGGGGGTGTCCTAACAACTCTCAGCAGCCTTAACTAACTACGGTTCCCAGAATTATTTGTGGGAAGCCATGACTACTAACAAGGAATCCTAGTGCTTTATATTGCAGATGTGGCCTTTGAACCTGCATGGGTTCTTCTGAACCACCCTGCTATGTTTTTAAGCAAATGAATGAAAATGGGTATGGAAGTATGAAGGCCATGCGGGAAGATCACACTTGCCCCAAAGCAGACTTCCTTTTCCTATACATAAAAACACTTATAAGAGTGTTACTGAAATGTTGCACAGCCTCAAAAGTGATGCAGATGCAACTATATTCCAGCCAGGAGAAAGAGAGAAAAATCTAACAGCTTCACTCCCTCTGCCCATTTGGACACCGTGTGCCCGAACTTCCTATGTATATATGTGCACCTTATATAGCTATATAAACATATACTTATTTATTCATTTTCATAAATTCGCTTCACTGTTTGACTACATCCTCTTACTGCATATGGCAATTAAGAGTCAATGACCTTTTGCACTACTTCTACCCTGGTTCTCAAAGGAGCTATTATGTGGCTGGTTGGGACAGCACAAGTCTAGTCCTGTTTGAGTCAGCGTGTCTGCTGCAGGAAAAACACTACAAAACTCTCTCAGTGTAGCCAAGCTCATTTTGTTTTTGTTAGGAAAGGTCAAGGCAGAGATGGAGAGAGGAGAAAGTCAGCCAGTGTTTGGAATCCGCCCCACTTCAGCAATACTTCCCCTTTCTCCAGGGTAAACAAACCACCTTTCATTATCTGGCACACCAAGTTTATTGAACAGGGGGCCTAAGTGTTAAAACGCAGGTTTCACATATAAGGAAATTGCACAAGCACCTTAACTGCAGTTACCAAAGGTTCTTAAACGCCTTGAGCTATATCAGCAGCACTAAAATTCATCTTTAAAAAATATTAAACTTCAATGCAGACCTTGTGCTTGTTTTTTGAAATGCTGTTTGCTTTCCCTCCAGTGACTATGAGAAAGAAATCTCTCATTGGTAGCTTGCAAAAGATTCTATTTGTAAACTTTTCAGAAAAGCTAGGAATTTTTATTCTATTTTTACTAAAATGAGACTATCGAATTTGGAAACTTTTTTTAAAAAAGTGAGGGGCTGTTTAAATAGAGGCTACCCGAGGGGCTGCCAGGGGCGCATTGGAATATGGCCGACAATACCATCTCTCCGTCGCACACGGGGTAATTAAGAGGCTGATATGGGAGTATGCAGCCTCCCTTGTTAACCCAGGGAATAGGGAAACACTGCCTCGCCTGCTGTTGCCATAAATCACCCCCGAGTTCGAAAGAAGGGGGTGAAGGCACTAGGCGCACAGCACCCGTGGGAGACGGCTCTCCTAGACGCTGTCTCTGATCGCGCGAACTGGTTGCAGGAGCTCAAAACAAACAATTAGAGAGAGGCAAATGCACATATTTCAAGTGAAGAACGGGAGTTAAGACTGCTAATTGAATTGACCTCTGTGAAGTAGAGCGACGGGTTGGATTCAACAGGACAATAAATCAAGAAGAAGATACATCAAAGGTTCGGTATGTCGGAACGGGACTGGAAGGGGGGCTTTTCTTTTCTTTTCTCTATGTGATTACCTAACAACCCCCCCCCTCAAGTAAGAGCTGTTGCACAATTGACTATAAGTGGGATGATTAAAAAACTGTGTGGAAATGAATTATTAACCAAAGGTTTGGCTTATGGAGACTTGGAAAAGAATAAGGGCTTTTGGAATGACACAGCTATTGATGATCGAGGAGGAGGAAGCTATGGCGGTTATCATATTGGACTCCTGGCAGAACCTCCTCGGAAGACCGAGAAAGGGAGTGACAGGCCTGTGAAGATTAACGAACGGATGGTAAAATTGTTTTCTCTATGGAAGTGATGAAAGGCGGCAGCCGTCTGAATATGACTCTTGGATGAATGGAAAAACTCACACAGGACTACAAAAACATTTGTCTTCAACTCGCTTGCAGAGACTATCAGAGGTCACAAAGAAAAAGGAAAAATATATGAAAATAACAAGAAGAGATGTGGAAAACAACAAGAAAGGATTGGATAGAATTGTGAACATCATTTGGACAGAATTGTGGATATTAAAGCAGCAGCAACAAGATGATTGGATCCCTTTCGGAACTTGAAATATGGGTACCCCCAACAAAAATTTAAAATTTGGCTCTGTAATTTGGAATTAATGTGATTTGATTTGATTTGATTTGATTGGTCTGTTAATAAAAATTATTTAAAAAAATAAATAAATAGAGGCTACCCACAGAACAGAAGCCACAATCCTGCCCTTCAGGTGCAGAGAACAGGGACTAGAAAATCTTCAAGCACTAAGTGGAATGGGGGTTTTGCATTGCTATAGAAACAGAAGCCTAGGATGTGTGCTTTCCTGCTACCTGGGAGGGATGTGGGAGAACATTGATTTTGTTTGCCTATTAATGAGAAATCCCTTGATTTTGTACTTCTCATTTGAATCAAAACATGGTTATTCTTTGAAATTCGCACTACTCCAAATTTTGTGACGTGGGTCTCCAAACAAACAATGTGTACAAAAATGCATCTACTTAGGTGAAAGTGTGCATTAAAAATGAATATTTTGGTGTAATTAACATTGTATTGAGGAGTATTGCTAGCAAAAATGTGCATGTTAGTCAAAATTCTATACAAAACTATAGTTATTAGGAGGCATTCATGCTAAGATGCTGATGATTACTCATGAGGATTCATTTATTTAAAAGATTGTAATTGCTGCAGAAATGTGAAGAAGTCAATAGTGGGAAAACAAGAAATTGAAATTGACAGATTTATTCACCTCCACTACCAATGGATAGCTCAGTTGGTTAGAGCATGGTGCTGACAACCCCAAGGTCGCAGGTTTGATCCCCATACGGGACAGCTGCATATTCCTGCATTGCAGGGGGTTGAACTAGATGATCCCCTTCCAACTCTATAACTCTACAGTACCCAGCCACTATCTTTGTTCATCGATGGACAGTGGTAGTCAAACAGCAGCTCTCTTTTCCTACCCATAACAGATCAAACTACCCACGTCTTTGCCCATGGAGGTTACTCCTGGTCCAGGCATAAGTAGCCTACATGAAGGGACCTTGATAATGGGATTCCCTGTTGGGTTAAAAGGTTGCACCAAGACCCAGATTCACTCAATGATGAAGCTCACAGAGTCACCTTGACCAGTCACCGTCTCTCAGCCTAACTTACTCCACAGGGTTGTTGTGAGGATAATGTGGAGAGGAGTGGGGAAACCATGCCTTGAGCTCTTTGGAAAAAAGACAATATATAAATGTAGCAAATGAATAAACGGAAGCAGAAGCAGGACAGGTTAGGGAGAGGTCTGGAGGACCTCATTTGGCCCCTTAGCCTCGGGTTCCAGGCTAAGGGGCCAAATGTGGTATAGTGTGAGAGCCAGTGTGGTGTAGGGGTTTAGAGCGGTAGTCTCATAATCTGGTGAACCGGGTTCGCTTCCCCGCTCCTCCACATGCAGCTGCTGGGTGACCTTGGGCTAGTCACAGTTCTCTGAAGTCTCTCAGCCCCACTCACCTCACAGAGTGTTTGTTGTGGGAGAGGAAAGGAAAGGAGAATGTTAGCTGCTTTGAGACTCCTTCGGGTAGTGATAAAGCGGGATATCAAATCCAAACTCTTTACCTCTGCCCTGTGAACTGATTGGTATTTAGAACCAGCATTCTGTGTCTAAGCAGATGCCCATGGGAAACCCACAATCAGGGCATGAGCATAGTAATAAGGTGTGACTTTCACTTTATGAGCACAGCACAGGGCATTTCACCCAATACTGTAGAGTTTGAGCCCTGCACATTTATGTCCTTGATGTTAGCTCAGTTCAAGGCCAGTCAGTACTATCCCACTGGCCCACTTGGAAAAAGACTTGAGGGCCGCAACCTGGTTGGCAGCTCCTAAAATTCAGAAGCATGCACAAGAAAGACGGATGCAGATAAGAAGTGTCTGGTTTGGCTTGTCAGCTCCCCGCTCAATGATAATCTTCATATTAAAAGCCATCAAACCACATAAGTGCACCCATGAACAAGATCTTGGTGGCTTTCTGCTAGAACTGCTGCCTCAGCCCTTTCCTGTACCACATTCCCCTCCTGCGTTAGCATAAACTACTGATTCCATATGACTGATACTTAATTACTCATAGCAATGAAGACATGATAACCAGCAGCAGCTGTGTCATTGGCCAGCTTTTGATATGAAGCCAGAGGATACAGAGTATGGGAAGAGAATCATATTTCCCCAAAGCTCTGAGCAGGGAACCTTCTGGAATATATTCATGTTCAAAGTGCTGAGAAACATACGGCTTATTCCATTTCCCTTTTTGTTTTAGTTCTGTTGTCAACTGATGCTGTAACATTCCCAGTCTCAACTGTTCTCAGCCATAGACTCAATTGACAGGCTGACATAAGCACACTTCAAGCACTGGATATTTGTTGTGAAAATGCAGTGGCGCGATACTGGGGTTCCCTTAACCCTGCTGAAACCTCCTTGCTTTGTGTAGATGAGATGATTGGCTATATAAGGACCCACACCCATTGGCCATGCTGGGTGGGAGCTGGTGCCCCCCATTTGGAGGGCACCATGTTGGCTACCTCTGCACAACACCATGGTTTGAGCTGGACAGCAGACATTAGCATCCTAGGAGGGAGGCAGCTGTTGTGATCGCTTGACTTTGAGCTACATACAGGCCCTGCACCTGGGCATTCCTGTCCATGCCCCCCAAGGGCTTGCTGCCTCTACCACTTGTGGCATCTCTGCCACAGAATGGCAACCAATGGCCACACTGTGAGAAAAATCATCTGGAGGGGAAACATCCTCTGTTTTCAAGATAAAACCACAAAGGGACCAGAGTCCGTGTTTAGGTTTTTGATAGTCCACACACAATGGCACATGCACTGGTCAACTTTCTCATATAACAGTGTGCAAATCACTCTTACAGCCTGCAAAAAAGGTTTTTTGCCTGCAAAATAAAGTAGCCTGGTGGGTGCTGTCAGAAGAAGAACAGAGAGCAGCATTTCTGTACTAGGAGTGGAAGAGGCTACTTTTGTCCTCTGGTGCTGGAAGCTGAGGAGCGACGGAGTACTCTTCTACCAGTCTGCTCACTAACCTGCACACAACTCTGCAAGGCTGATGAACAATGAATAAATGAAATAGCCACAAATGTCCTGCTCTGTAACAAGAAAACCTGAAAGCTTCACTAATGGCTTTGTCCTCCAATCTACCATGCAAGCCATTAGTCCAAGGATTGCTGTTCATTGTCACAACTTGTGGTTTGGTGCTTGCATCAGCAAGATGGTGATGTTTGTCTGGCACGACAGCGTAAGTTGTCACCACCATGCTAGCAACACTGTCAGATGATGCATAACAGTAACATTCACAAGTATTATGTTGCACTGAAATGAATGGAGAAGGGGGAAGTTAAGAGTAGGAACAGGACAGGATGGGAGTCTGTCCATCCATTAAAGCCTTTTAGCAACCACAAGAGCTGGGCATGTTGATGCATAGCTATACTAAAATGGAAACAATTTATGGGTTTGCAAGCAGCATAGTAAACTGCTCCCATTTGCTTCATTCAGAAGAGCCATATAACAATGCCAATACAACCTGTTGTGTGCGTTATTCCCTGTACTTTCTTTTTTTAAAGTCTATAGAATCTTGGGATATGCAAGAGATCACTTTCATATCACAGAATTATTATCACTCTCACCATTTCGACACACATATCAGTTCTATTTCCATAGCTCCACAGGCAATAATTACCATTCTCTGCTTTTGAGGATTACTAAAGGACAACTGTTTAACACTGTTTCTGTCCATATAGTCATAGTGAACAAATTTTCCCTTCGACTTTTAGTTAGCAGTCACTGAAGTTGCCAAAGGGATTTTGCCCATTGTCACTTTCAACTCGTGAAAGTGTCTTAAGCCTGTTACACTTTACCCTCTTAGTCTTATTTTATTCTGTCTCTAACTCTTCTACCTCCCCTCGCACAAGAACCAACTGCACTAACTGTCTCTCTATTTCCATCTGTCTGCCAATTGCTTTCCCAACTGCCTTTTCCCAACCAACCAACTGTCTAAACCTCGGGCTAAGCCCTTTTATAAACAGGTAGGCTCCGCATCTGGCTTTTCTATTGGTCTATCTATTAACTCTTTCTCTCCCCCAGTATAGACATTTTCAAAAGAACGGGCAAACGCCACAAAGCCAGTCTATGGTTTTTACACAAAATCATAGCCTGATTACCCAGAGTGCTCTTGCAGTCACTTAAGATAAAGAAGTAGATGCAGCTTTGCATGTAGGAAGTACGAGACCAAACTTGTCATTTACTGCCATTTATCCACTTTGCCGATGGACAGATTTGCACAACCTACCCTGATGACTGCAATTTTGCCTATCGTAACATAATGGTTCTCTCTATGATGTTGTCTGTTCATCATATGCAGGAAGTAGCCATAAACAAGAGGGATGTTTGCATATTGCAGGCTTACTGCTAGGTGAAGGGGATCTCAGAGTTGTAGCCTTCCTCCAAACATTATAAGCATAAAACGTATTTCTTGGGAATAAAAGAATCCCCTTGCTTCCTCTTCGGGTTTGGACCTCGTATGTGCCATGCAGCAAATGTAATTTGCAATTTGATTTTATAGCCTCAGAAGATATTGGTTTCTGTTAGAAAACAATGCTTGAAAGATAAAATAAATTCATTTTAAAGACCTCACCGTTTGCCAATTTTTTTCCTATAGAGATTTAGAAGCATGCATGTCTGTTCTCCCCCACCCCGTCCCCCACTTCACTGCAAAAAGCCTAACATAGCAAAGCTCTTAACTGCATCACAGCCATGAAATAACAAGTTGATTCGATGAAAGTGGCACGGCCGCCTAGAGACCTGGGAAGAAAAATTGACATTTAAGCTCACAAATTCTGACTTGTATTCCATAAAGTTTCCAAGCTCACATCAGAGCTGTTTGAAATAAATAATAAAACGGAAAAAAAGGGAGGAAACACATGCCTTTTAAACTGGTAGATATGATCTGAAAGTCACAAGGCTGTGGAGCACATACAGTAATAAATTCCATAGGTCACCATCTCTAAGGCACATCAGAGCTATATGCTGTATGTCCGCTACCTCTAGGCTTATGTAATCAAACCCCAGGGACCTCACCCTAGAGCAAAACTGCTCCAAACCTGTAAAAAGAAAACCCAATTTCTCCAGCTAAGAATAATTCATATCTATATAGGCATTTATTCTGTACCAAATTGATCAACCAAATTGATCCACACTGAAAACCACTCCTGGTAGAGTTCTCTCTTTTTTGTTTTTGTTTTTAAAATCACATTTGAGCATCAGTTCTGTTTTTCTTGAATGACTTGAAAAACTTTCTGAGCCACTTGTTCCATTTTCTTACTGGTGACAAGTTACTGTAGTTTAGCCAGTTTGGAAACGTTACATAATTATCTGTCCACTGGGATAGAAAGCATAATTCCAGTCCACAGAGGGCATTGAACAAGTGTCGGATCATCTCAGTTTCAATTTCATCACTGTCTATAGATCCTAGCAACATTTCACATCAAATTCTGTTTATTTTGATTTTCTTAATGATACCTTCAACTTCAGCTCCAGGCATTTTTCGTGTAATTTCAAGGCAACACATCTTTATTCCAGAAACTCTGTGTGCACTCTGAGTACCACAAAAGAGCCACAAAATTAAATCTGGTTTAATTATTTTACCGTATTTATTTAATTTCTACATTGCCCGTCATCCAAGGATCACAGGGGTGGTTGACAGTATCTGGTCCAAAAAAGGGAATGTGTCAGACCATCTACTTAACAAAAGAAACTGGGGGCTGAATGTGCTTACTTATGTAATGAAAGCATAATGAAAGGGTCTAACTGTATGTGCGATTAAGAGCCCTAAAAAACCGTTTATGTTTCACTGCATAAATGAATGACAGGGGGAAATACTACTGTTTGTTGGATGAGACAAAGGGGGAGAGGACTTGGGACCACACATGAGGATGGCAAAGTAGGGATTCACACATCCCTAGTCTACAGAAATTCTTACCTCCAGTTGGCATGTAGCCCTATCCACACAGCCAGAAGAGGAGAGGGAAGGGGAATAGGGCTGTGTTGCAGCCACACCACCCTCCTTTCTGACCTCCACACATAGGACTGCACACTTAGTAATATGCCATGTTTGGCTTTTACGTTAAAGGGTCGTTACTCTTTTAAAGCCTAAAGATGCAATAGGTAAAATAAATGCATGGATTTGCACAGTCCTGTTTGTCTCCACCACTTTCTTCTTTCTTCCGCCCTTCCCCAAGACCTATCACTAAAAGAAAAGCTTGCTGATTAATGTTCTGCCCCAACTTCACAGAGATACAATGATTACATTTCCTGGAGAAAGTTCCAGCCCTTTAAGCAGCCTAGAGCCACAACTTGTTTCATCAGGATTACGTGCGAGGGCTCCGGCTTTGTTATGATCTGCTCAAGCACATAGCGATTCCTATCAGGCTGCTTGCGAGAAACAGTCAAAGATCAGGTTTCTGACTTTGCAGTAAGAAACAGATGTGATTTTCCATGATGCATCGCTGGGTTAAATGAATCAATCAAAGGCGTGCAAAATACACGGTTTGGTTTGAAAATAACTGCGGGCCGTAAATGAAGCAACACTTCAAGTCCATGATGAGTATCCTTTTCAGGCATGTTCACCCAAATCTTTGTGCCAACTGGTTGTTAAATGACCTCCGTGTGAAAGAAGCTAAGAGCATCTGTCAAAAAAGGCTACTTATACTACAGTTCAAAAGACGGTTCCTGCACCTTTAACAGGTGTGCAGAAGAGGGATTTGTGGCAAGCGCAGGTTGGCATGCAACTATTAAAGACACAAAGGTTCTCTCCTTTGCATCTGCTCACCTAAGCAAAATGTGTGGTAGGGTGTTATTGATTTTGAAGGTTATGCTGACTCTGCTGTTTCACATCCACATGGCAAAGGTGACGTTGTCTGCTATGCCAACTTCCATTGCATTTCTCTCCATCTGCCCATTTAATATCATCTAAGGTAGTTTCTAGATGACCTCTTTATTGAGCAGTCATTCTGATTTGTTTGCAAGGAGGTGGTGCAACAACAAAGCATGCAGTTGAATCCCACCTGTAAAAATCAAGACAGCCTGGAATCCTGAATTTAACAGCAAAGTTCCTTGCATATTTACTTGGAAATTGATGTGTTCAGTGGGGTTTGCTACTGTGAAAATGAACATAGGATCAGGTACATTATCGCCACCCAACATAGCTTCAGGCTGATGCTGGACTAGATGGGCCCCTGGGCTGATCTTGCAGGGATCTTACGTTTTGATGTTCTTAAATATCATGGCCAGTCAATTGGGTGCTGCCAGAGGAAGGTCTTTTCAGCAGACACATGTGGGGGCCTTCATGTTGAAATTGGCCTTCAGGTTTTGTCCATATCTGAAACAGACGGTTTCAGTGGTGGCTTAGTTCCCACAGCTGTTATTGTACAGGACTTGGCTTGATGATCATTTCAGGGGGCGGAATTACTTCAAATGTTCAGGCTTGTAACTGTTTTTGCCCAAATAACAGGGCTGAGAGATAATTCATTTTGGAATGCGATATAATTGTTTTGCTCGCATTTGCACTTCAGAAGATCAAGGCCTGGAGTCACCAGATGTTTTTCTGAACAGGATTTTTTGGCTGTTATCCTCAGAGTGTTATGCAGAGAGTGGTAGATGGGGAGAGCAGGTAAAGCAAGAGGCTCCAGTCATGCTTCACTCAAGCTTCAAGCCATGGTGGGTAGCTAAGAAACGGCAGGGAAAGCGATCAAGAGGCAGCAAACAAGGAATGGCATCAAGCTGGATATTGGGTCTCTGAAAGGCATAGGATTCCCTTTCTTGCCATTTTCTAGTAAAAACAACAACACCGTACTAAATCTGAACAAGACCTTTCTTTACCTTCCATAGCTGCTTATTAATTTTTGATAGCTTGATTATACAAGTAAATTACCATATTTTTTGCTCTATAAGACTCACTTTTTCCCTCCTAAAAAGTAAGGGGAAATGTGTGTGCGTCTTATAGAGCGAATGCAGGCTGCACAGCTATCCCAGAAGCCACAACAGCAAGAGGGATTGCTGCTTTCACTGCGCAGCGATCCCTCTTGCTGTTCTGGCTTCTGAGATTCAGAATATTTTTTTTCTTGTTTTCCTCCTCCTAGGTGCGTCTTGTGGTCTGGTGCGTCTTATAGAGCGAAAAATACGGTAAATGTTTTGATTACAGAATTAGAATGCATATATCTTTATTTTCCATCAGAACTAGCTCTTGTCAAGATTGCCAGATATTTGACTGAAAAGATAAGCTGTGCTTCTTCACAGAAACAATACCCAGATACATAGAATATTGATGTGTGTTGTAATCGACTTATTGTAGATTTAAATTTTGTTGAATGTTTTATAGAATTGTTTTTAATGATAACTGTATTATTCTATTTATTTTACAGTCAAGCAATGTATACATTTTATGAAATAAATATAAATTAGTAAACAAAATAAGTGATTTATTTATTGCATTGCATTTCAACGGAAGCACAGTTGGTTTGATCCTTTGTTTGCAGGTGCCATCTATGTCTTCCAAGTCCCTTTTCTAGATTTAATGGGCTGCAGTTTCTCTGTCTGTGGACTTCCCATCTGTTCCAGCCTTAGGTCCCCAGATGTTGCTGGACTACAACTCCCTTCATCCCTGCCCAGTGGCATGTTGCCTGGGGATGATGGGGGTTGTAGTTCAACAACCAGGGAGCCCACATTTGGGGATGGTTGACATGTACATGTGGGCTGCTTGCAGCACTGGGATAAAGGTTCTTCCGTCTCTACCAGTCAAACAGTATCTAGCTCACATAACAGCAAACTCTGCCCTCCAACTCAGGCATTATTTTTCCAACTATTTGACAGCTGGAGGAAGGGCCCCACTCATTTGGTATCTGGCACAGAACCACCTTTCCTTTGTTCTCTTAATGGCCCATCACCCAGGGAGTTATCTCATCAGGAAGCTAGCCTGGCTTGATTAGCTTTTAACTCTTTCTAGGATTATAGGGGCCTCTCATCCTCAAACTCATAACAATATTCTCTTCCCCCAGAATCAGCACAGAAGCATAGCTGACTAGTGGAGGAGGGTTGGGTGGAAGGAGTGATCTATACTTCCTCAACTAGTCTGGTTAAAACAACAACAACAACAGAGTTTCATTCGCCTAAAAGATTATAGTGGTACCTCTGGTTATGAATTTATTTCATTCTAGAGGCCCGTTCTTAACCTGAAACCATTCTTAATCTGAGGTACCACTTTAGCTAATGGGGCCTCCCACTGCTGCCGCATGATTTTTGTTCTCATCCTGAGGTAAAGTTCTTAACCCAAGGTACTACTACTGTAACCTGAAGTGTTTGTAATCTGAGGTACCACTGCAGTAGTCTGTGATTCTAAACTGGCTGTTAAGGAGGGACCTTCTATCCTCTGCAACCAGCATGGAAACGCAAGCTGCTAGTTATCTAAAATATTTCAGGCTAGTAAACTTTCTGGGTTTATTTTTAAGGCTGCAGTAAATGGATGCACATGAAAATCACAGACAAAGTGAATGGGTCCCGTGAAGAACATAAGAAATAGTGGCTGTTATTATGGAAAGAGCAGTACAATATGTAGCAAGACATAAAAACTCAAGTGAAGTGAATTACAACAATGCTACATAAAAACACATGCAAGATAGACTAGTATAGTAGAAAAAAAAACAGCATTCCCCTTGGAAGGTGAATATTGTGGATGCAAAATTCCAGTGCTTCCTTCTCTCTCTCTCTCTCTCTCTCTCTCTCACACACACACACACACACACACACGCCAGTCCACAGAATCAGTGCTGCTGAATCTGAGTACATGAATGGCAGGCAGAAAAGAGCCTTGAGCAACAAGCGCTAGAGCGGGAGGTCAGGGGCCCACAACTGATCCCTGTGTGAGAAGAGGGGTGCTAACAAGTCCACAAGTCTGTCCCTATTTCCATTTGTGAAATGTTAAGAGGCCACGAGACAGCTGGCATTTGCCTCAAAGCCCTTGACAGCTCTGTAAATCAGTCATTCTTTCTGGTACCAGCCTTTATTCTGTGCAACAACACCCACCAACCCCCCCCCCCCAAAAAGAGAGAAGACAACAGAAAGGTTTGTAAAATTGAAAATAATGAAGATGTTTTAAGGAACTGGCATCTGTTCATAGATATTCCGCCGAGTAAAAGAGATGCTAAATGCATCGGATGAATTATTCATTGTGAATTATTCATTTAGCTCTTGCTTGTGGCACAAAGCGCCAAACCACTCCAGCCTAACTAGAAGTTTTCCATTGAGGGCCCATTATAAGTGTTGTCTCTCATTTCTACTATCCCATCCAAAGTCCCATTTTCAAAAAGAAAAGGAGGAAATTTTGGCACCACTGCTTACTACCGATTAAATCTAGTAATTTTTAAAAAAATTTTTAAAGATGCAGATTGATGTAAATCCTGTTTACATGTGACTGCTTATTTTAAAATAATAAAAATTCAGCCTTCCTTCCCACACTCAGCAGCACACAGTCCCTCCCAGGTGTAGCAGGTTCATGCAAGTCCTTAGCAATGAGATTTAACAGTACAATCCAGTACATGCCTATTCAGAAGTAAGTCTCATTGAGCGCAATGTGCTTACTCCCAGGTAAGTGGTCCCAGGACAGAAAGCTTCATTGTTCAAGAGTTTTTGGTCTGTTAGTGGCCTTGCTTTGAGTTCAGGGGGAGGGGGAGGGGCCTTTGAAGAAGCCTAATAAATACTATCACAGTGAAGTATCTGCCACACAGCTTGAAATCTGTTTACTAAATTGATCTGCCAAACTTGTTTCACTAGTTTTCCCTGACAGAATTGAATCTTAGGCAGGTGAAGCTCCTCTCAGGATATAACCCAAATCGCAATACTTCCAACCAAAAGGCACACTTTGAGGCAAGGATAAAAAATATGCTGCCCTCCATGTGTTGTTGGACTACATTGCCCATCATCCTTGGCCACTAGCCAAGCTGGCTGGGGTTGATGGAAGTTGTAATCTGACATCTGGATGGGACTATGACTGTTACAAATGACATATTCATACATGACCATTTTTAACAGTGCTTTTGTGGAGTGTGCAAAATGCAGATCTGCTACTTGTGGTGAAGTGTTGCAGCTTCCATGAACCTGATTAGCTATAGATCACTCTGTTCCTGTGGATGGAACTATGCTGGTGTTAGACATAAGCATTAAACTCCTCCTACGCTGAAATAACCTGGAGGTATTTGAAGAGTGCATTTTCCTCCTTGGCTTTGATCTGCGGGGAGGGATAATCTTTGAAAAATATAATTTATGAATGAATGAGAAGGGAAAGAGTATGAAAGTGAATAATAAAGCCTCTATGTTTCAATAATAATAATTTGTCATAATGGAGCTTTAAAAAAAGAGATGGCTAAAATGCTCTAAAAGTGTTCCTGTACAAGTATTAATTTTTGTTCTTTTCTTTCTTTTTGGCTAAACATAGAAGCATTTCTTCAAACAGCTAGACATCTGGCCTTTACTATGTTCTCTCAGATCCCTTGAAATCTTATCTGGATTCATATAAGCAAAGAGCAATCTTTGAAGTCAATATGGCACATAAAAAGCTTCTAACATCAATAAAGCCATTCAGAAAGCAGTAAATGAATGAAGGAAAAAATTCACCCTGTCCCAACCCATTCACATACACACAAACATGCTTTTCCCACCAACGCTGCTAATTTTAAGAGTAGCTGTACCTCAGGTTACTTTATAAATGGGCTTGCAAAGTAAACTTAATAGAATTCGCCACCAAAAATGGATGTTGGGTCACATTTCAGGTTGTTATTTAGAGCGACAAAATTATGGCAAAAGTTTTGAGAATGGGCAGAGGGGCAGCACTCTGCTCCTGGAAAACTCAGGGCTGGCTCCAGGTCTGAGGGATCCACAGCAAAGAGGTGGACCCTTTCCTACATCAGTTGAGCACTGCAGGCTTATGTGGTGATGGCAGCAGAGCTGTGATCAGCAGCGGATAACTGGGATCCAGTGTTTTAATTTCTCCCAATCCCTCCCTAGGAGTGTCACCACAGAGCATTGTGGGGAAATTCAAATGGCAACTCCAAGCCACTCTACACAGGAGACCCAGGGCAGCTTTAACTTCAGAAATGGGCCTTAATGGACCCAGACAGCTGTCTGAGAATGCAGTATGTCAATACTAAGCCTGGAAAAATTCAACATAACACAACAATGGTTCATAGGTGGAGGGCATTACTCACATAGCCAAAACAATTTATACAGCCTGTTCAACATCCTGCCCCTATCAGTCTCTAATACAAAGATCTAAATTACTAGTGTATATATGACACCATTTTGGTTAAAAACACATAGAGCCCATAGACATGATGTTTTAAAGGACAGGAGGGAAAGTGTCTGACATAATAGCAAGACAAAATTATTCCTCCTCCTTCTTTTGCCTTAACAGTAGAGACTGTAATATTTGGGAATAAGAAGGGTAGAACCTGCCCAGTAAACATCCATTAATTTTACCCCATCTTTCAAGCTTTTCAAAAGCTCTTTCAAAAGTTCGAAACTCACACTTTTTTTTTCAACCGCCTTCCCTTAAAAACAGCATGTGATTGAGCTGCACTAAAGAGATGTATCTTCAAGCATTCATCTCCTCCTCTGTGGTGAGGGAATCCCACAACTGAGGGGCTGCCACAGAGAAGGCCAGTCAGAGCCCATCCCCCATCCCCCAGGGACCATCTCTAAACTCCCATCACAATGCTCCTTGTAAGCAAATGCCTCTAAATTACTACACTCACTACAGTTTTCAATGTGCTTTATGCTTCACATCATGCATTGCCTTGATATTTTTGATGAGTTGGCATTATATATTTTTTATAAATAAGTACCATATATATGGGACGCGGGTGGCGCTGTGGGTTAAACCACAGAGCCTAGGACTTGCCGATCAGAAGGTCAGCAGTTTGAATCCCCGCAACGGGGTGAGCTCCCATTGCTTGGTCCCTGCTCCTGCCAACCTAGCAGTTCGAAAGCACGTCAACGTGCAAGTAGATAAATAGGTACCACTCCAGCGGAAAGGTAAACAGTGTTTCTGTGTGCTGCTCTGGTTCACCAGAAGCGGCTTAGTCATGCTGGCCGCATGACCCGGAAGCTGTCTGCGGACAAACGCTGGCTCCCTCAGCCAGTAAAGTGAGATGAGCAATGCAACCCCAGAGTAGGTCACGACTGGACCTAACGGTCAGGGGTCCCTTTACCGTATATATATTATTATCATTTATTATTATAAAAATGGAAACAGGAGAAAAGTATGCCCTGGATCACATCCCAGTAGCTTTCTTGATGCCCTGCAGCTGTTCCCTGCAGCTGCTGTCAGCTGGAGCGCTTTATTTGCTGATTCCCAGAATCTTAGAAGTGCCTATATTTGTTCTGTTGTACCATCGCAAGTATGGTTATCCCTGTGCTCTAGTGAAGATTTGTAGGTGCTAATATAATTCTGCCAAAGCTCAAATTTCAGAATTGTTTTTGCTAGGGATAGCTTACACCCAAAAGGCAGAAGCAGCGATGGACTGCCAGTGGCTGCATGACCCCATAGACACCAATAATTCCATCATAAAGTAATTCTCTTTTCTGCTGCTACCCACCCTCCCCACTTTTTATGCCCTTGCTTTATCGAAGATTAGCAGGATTTATTTTTATCATTCTAGTTTCAACGCGATAGAAGGGCTCTTGTGAAAATCTAGCATGGACTGACATTGGAGAGCAGAAACTGAAGCCACCAATTTCTTTTTTAAAAAAGATCTGGCCTGAGCAGGAAAAGGGTGAAAAACAGAGCTGTTCAAATGTCGTAATATCATGTGATCTCTTATCTTTTTAGGGTTTGGTGCGGATGTTTTCCCTAACCAGCTTTGTCACATTGCTTCTAGGAAGGTCTCTGTGCTACTTACAGCTGTGTGGCATGCAAAAAATCAGCCGAAACTATCCTGTCTGTGCATTAACGTCTGCAGGGGAAGTCCCAGTAGCTTAATTCTTTGGTTCTTAAATAAGGTGGTACTTCCTGTCAGTTACACACCCCTTTGACAACTCTACTCCTGAGGTACTCCAAGTAACAGACCTAGGGGATCACCACACCCCTCTTAACTGGATTGGGAGTTTTCTCTTTTTGTAGAAGAATCTCTCCCCTGCTGACTGGAATGAGACCTAAGTAGACTGTATCTTTCCAGCTTCTACTTCTCCTGGCTCAACCTCAGCCTCCCAGTTAATTCCTTACTCTTACAGGATGCCACACACTGTCCTAAGCGTAGAGACTCCTTTCTCTAGCTTGTGAGTGGATGTTTCCACCCAGAACCAACTCTCCCTCCCTATCTCCCAACCTATTGTCCCAACCTCTATCCCAACTCTCAAAATCCTCTCCTTTTCAACTCCCCCTCCTGGAACCCCAGTTAATCAGAAGTTGCCATTCGTTAACCGTTTGCTGGCAAGGAAAAAGAAAAAGAAAACACTTGGGGACCCAACCTGCCCAGCAAAAACATAATTTTCTGTCACACTTACCTATATGGGGCAGGCTAGTGGCAAGGTTGAGGCCACATGGTTGACTTGCCAGGAGTTCCATGGCCAATCTGGTGCTCCATCATTCTCATAAATGCTTCTGGGTTAGGCTTGCTTACCGCTGGTCTTGAGAAATTATGGAGATCTGCTGATGCCGGCCACCTGCTTTCTTGCCTTCACAGGACGCCTTGGCCTTGACCACTTTTGAAACCTCCCAATCACACCCATAAGCATTAGCCAGTCAACATCTATGAACCACACCAATGGCCACATTCACTCATTCTCCCCTTTTTAATCATTCACATTTGTGCCCCGGCTTCAACCCACAAATAACCACTGGCTTCTGAAGGTGAATTTCAACCAGCTTCCATCCACAAACATCAGCCTGCTTGAGCCTTACAAACACCCACTGACTTCTGAATGTGAAGTCCACCAGCTTCCACCCACCAACATTTGTCAGCTTCCACTAGGCCCATCACTAGATATAAGCCAATTTCTGACAATGGATATCAACCACAATCAAGCCACAATCCCTCTCAGAAAGTGAATTTGCATTACTGTCACTCCATAGCCACCAACAGTGAGTAGATCACCTCTGTCCATTTGCCAATGTGCCACTTCCAAGTGGAGGACTGGGAAATGCTGGATCTTGCAGCTGTTGGGAAAGAGAAAAAGGCCCACCTTTATATCCACTCAGCTGCCATGTACTTTTGTGATGTCACAAGTAATCCTTAACCAACAGCAACAGCTGGGGATGTACCATCATCATCTTGAGACCAGGCCTCACACTTGTGGGTGCACCTCAGCAGTGATTTACTTGTGGGCTTGCTTGTTTTTTAAAAAAAATACTTATATACAAATATCTTTGGGCCAAGTTGTTTAGGGCTTTGTGAATTAAGATAAGAACCTTGAACCTGGCCAAGCAGAAAATCAGCAAGCAGTATCAAATGACTGTATTGGGGGACTGTGCTTGTAGAAATATGTGTGCGAGGCAAAACTATACGAAAGGTGTATATTAGAAGAAATGTACACTAAAATGCTGGCACATTTTTGTGAGGACTTTAACAAAAATAATACTGTGATGAACTAAACTTAAGACTAGAAAAATGAAAAACTGAAAGAAACCAAAATTGACAAATGTCACTGGAGAGCAACAGCAGGAGAGAGCTATAGCGGATGTTCTGTCCTACTAGCAGATGTGCCATGGGTATCTAGTTACCCTCTGTGGGAATGGAATAGTGAACTAAATTCACTTTGGTCTGATCCAGAAAGGCTCTTCTTACCTTTTTATCTGCAGAGACCAACTTCTGCTCTCTCTGGGTGTATTTCTGAAATTAGCATGATGTCCATTCAACTGCCATTTTAACTGACTGGTCAGCTCAAGCGAGATATGTTTGCTCACTGAAAATTATCATCTACAATCTCTCTCGATTTATGAAAATGCATGGGAAATGTGCAGGTATGCATAATATATAGTCCAGTACTGGGTGAAGGGAAGAAAGAAAAAATAAATGAGGTTTCATCAGCCTCCAGCCTATAGTTTTCACAGTGTATTATGTCACAACGGTGCTGACATCAAGGTGGGAATTGCATGCAGTGCTTGCAAAATATCACTAAAAATGATCAGAGAAGGATGCTCTCATCCTAGTAACCTACATGCAATCATTACACCGCACATGCATGAATCTTGAGACCAAATTCATTATTCTTATTGCACCCTCTGCTGACTGGTTCCTTGAACAGCTTTAAGCAACTGATTTTTAACCAAGATATAGTGTGGAGCTGAGAGTTAACATCAAGAGAAATCCAACTGATGATCATGTTCGTTGTGTTAGGTGAGGATAGAGTGAGAAGCAATGTGTTTAAATTATAAGATTGGTAGGTTTGGGTTAAATGTTAAATGCAAGGTCCCTATGATTGTCGTGGAAGTTTCTTTCCTTGAAGGTTTTCATAGCAAGGATGAGGAACCATTGCTTGGAGTAGTATCTTAGGCACCAGGCTTCAAGGGGTTCATTCGCAGATGGGTCTGTAGCCTCCTGCTCCGATACACACACCACCACCCCATTTCATAGATCTATGGGTCTATGGGTCTTTATACATTCTGGATAAATTGAAATGGTGGGCAGCCACTCTGTTTGTAATCCTGACTTGGCACACCAATGTTAAATCTAAGGAGATATACAACATGCACATGCTGGACGTTGCCGACTGAGAATGGTCTACCCTTTTCATAACTTTTGGCATTTTCCATATACTGACACAGCTCACTTTCGCAGTTTGGCTATTCAGCCCCACCAGTTCCTGAAATCCTACACAGGCAGCCAGCATCACCAGGGGACTCTTCTCCCAGTGCATAAAATGCTGCCATTTCCCCTCAGCTGAAAGGAGCAGCCCTTCACAAAACAACCTGGATGACCTTACAACTGCTGTAAATTTATTATCAGAATACATGACTCTTGCCTGAATTATACTGCAAAGTCTGTCTGCACAGCAGGGCAGGAAAGCACCAAATGAGCATCATTTTGTGTTGTTGTTTTTATTATTGCTGCTGGAACAAAGTAACCGGGTTGACAGGAGATGTGTTTGTTGGCAAGAAGGCCATGACATTTTGAAAACCGCAGGGACCATCCTGCCTCACCAAACACCAAGCGTATGCAAAGAAAACGCATGCAGCCGTGGTAGAAAGGCACATCTATTGTCTTGCTGGCAGGCAGCACCAGAATGGAGAGCATCCCAGAAATGACATACAAAACTATTTGAGAAAGTGCTTGCCAACGCTGAAAGAAAAGGAAGCAGCACAATGGTAACTGAGGAAGAAGCAGCTGGGCTTTGCAGCACCAGCCTGCATATTTCAGTTTGTATTATCCGCACTGTTTCATACAGTAAAAGAGGTGTTCCAAGGGGAATCTTTTATTTATTCACCACACAATCTAACGTTCTGCTTCCTTCATCAGTTGATCTGTACCAAGGTTGATGAATCCGTGGCCCTGCAGGTGTTACTGGGCTCCAACTCCCAGCAGCCCCAGCCAGCATGACCAATGGTCAGGGAAGATGGGAGTTGGAGTCTAACAACATCTGAAGAGCCAAGGGTTTTCCGTTCCTGAGCTATATGAAATATCTGTGTGTGTCTTATTTATATTAATTGACAGCAATTAATTCATTTTTAAGTGCGTTTGCATCCTGGAATTTCTAGTCATTCAGCTGTCATCTCTGCCCATGCTGTTAAGGTACGTCCATCTTACCACTTACTCTACATCCAGTTTTCTAATCAGGCTGAAGCTGGTTTGAAAATGCAGGAAAGGTCAGGTTGGGGTGGGAGAGGGCACCAAGCGGTGGCAGACCTGCGCCATGCTAGATTAGAGGGCAGTGGCTGAGGAGGACCACCAGTGAGAGGGAAGGAAGGAGGGAGGGAGGGGGAGGAGGTCACTCCTTCCTCCTCCTCTCTATTGTCACTTTTGCCGGGCTGGGCTCCTCATCAGCCGCACCAAAAGCTGTGCAACCGCCATTTTGGACTGGCTGAGCTTGAATATGAGAAAAAAAGGCATCCTGACTGAAGTCCAAATGGGACAGGGGACACTTTTGTCCAAGAACAGGCAATCCCATTTTTCTAGGGACGGTGGCAACCCTGTTCACGCTGTTGTGGTTTCTGAGCCTTAGGCTATTCATGACGCACTGCCCTCCTAATATTCAAATTCTTTAGTAAAGTAAGATAATATATAAATAACACTGTATGTGGATTCCTTCCTCCCAACAAAAACAGCCAAGGAAGAAAGTAAACAAATGGTGTGCCCTGCCCCTTGGAAACAATGGACACCATGCAAGCAGTGATCAAAGGCAATGCAGGCTCAGTTCCGAGCTCAAGGTCACATCAGCTTCAGTTTTTTCCAGGTTCTGTTTGTAAATGCTTAATTGAAATTGCCCCTTGGCTTAGTCTGAATGACCCATAAAGCTTTGTCATGCCAGAGCATCCAGCCATTTGGGAAGACCTAGTGAAAACCTTTTTGGTAGATTCACTTGCTAGACAACAGGCTTAGTTTCTCTGTTTAACTTGGTCTGGCCCAGTAAGTCACTGAATACAGGCATCAAATAGTTGGACTGCCAACACTGCGTGCAAATACGTTAGAATAAAGGCTGGAGTCCTGGACTAACTCAATCCAGATAAGACTGAGGCACTGTTAGTGGGCAGTTCCCTAGACCAGGTAGATGGGACCCCCTGTTGTCTATGCTGTAGTAACCTCTAGAGTGGAATCTACACACAAATTTTAAAAATGCTGTGAAAATGCTTTTTTAAAAAACGTTTTGAGAAATACATTGAATTTTGCATAGCTCACTTTCGCTGTCTAGTGTCACATTTGTATATTACACTTTATAACACATTTTAAGTGTTTTATTTGCAGTTGTGTAGGGACATGGGTGGCGCTGTGGGTTAAACCACAGAGCCTAGGACTCGCTGATCAGAAGGTCGGCAATTCGAATCCCCGTGACGGGGTGAGCTCCCGTTGTTCGGTCCCTGCTCCTGCCAACCAAGCAGTTCAAAAGCACGTCAAAGTGCAAGTAGATAAATAGGTACCGCTCCAGCGGAAAGGTAAACAGCATTTCTGTGCACTGCTCTGGTTCGCCAGAAACGGCTTAGTCATGCTGGCCACGTGACCCGGAAGCTGTACGCCGGCTCCCTCGGCCAATAAAGCGAGATGAGCACCGCAACCCCAGAGTTGGCCACGACTGGACCTAATGGTCAGGGGTCCCTTTACCTTTACCTTGCAGCTGTGTAGCTGAATCCTAGGTTAGAGGAGGAGGAGGAAGAGGAGGATATAATTAAATTTATATACCTCCCTTCATCAAAAAATCTCAGGGCAGTTCACAAGATAAAAAATACAAGATGAAAACACAAATAAGTAGTTAAAGCAAAAATAAGAAAACAATAGCCACCTCCCTGTCCATAAACACATTTAAAAGCCTGTTGGGTATTAATCAGCAAAAGGCTTTGTTGAAGAGGAATGTTTTCACCTGGCAGCTAAAGATATATAACAAAGGTGCCAGGCATAACTCCCTGTGGGGAATGTCCCACAAGTGGGGAGCCATAGCAGAAGAGACACTTTCTCATGTTGCCACCCTCTGGGCCTCTAGCGGAGGAGGCACACAAAAGAAGTGCCTCAGATGATGATTGCAGGGTCTGGGTCAGTTTACATGGAGAGATGCAGTCCTTGAGATGATGACGGTGGTGGTGGTGGTGATTACAGTGGTACCTCAGTTTTTGAGTGTCTCAGAAGCCGAAAGTTTCAGTTTTTGAACACTGAAAACCCAGAAGTACTGTAATTGCTTCCGTTTTTGAATGCACCTTGGAAGTCGAACGGCTTCCACTGCGTTTTTATCCCAATTTTCTCCATTGACTTTGCAGACCGCCCTTTGAACCTGGGTTGTCAAACATTTTGGAAGTCAAACGGCCTTCCGGAATGGATTCCATTCAACAATCAAAGTACCACTGTACTATTATTAGTAGTATTAGTATTATTACCCGTCCACCTGACAGTCAGTCCCGAGGCGCTGAATGCATTATTCGTCAAATTCGGCACTTTGAATTGGGCTCAGAAACTGAATGCATTATACATCAAATTCAGCACTTTGAATTGGGCTCAGAAACTAATTGGTGACCAGTGCATTTGGGCCAGGACTATATGCTCAAACTGTCTTGCTCCAGTAAGCAACCTGGCTACTGAATTCTGCACCAGCTGAAGTGAGCTTCATGGCTGAGTAGGGATTCGAACTCTGATCTCTCAGTAAGGTAAAGGTAAAGGTACTCCTGACCATTAGGTCCAGTCGCGGACGACTCTGGGGTTGCGGCGCTCATCTCACTCTATAGGCCGAGGGAGCTGGCGTTTGTCCGCAGAAAGCCTTTGGGTCATGTGGCCAGCATGACTAAGCCGCTTCTGGTGAACCAGAGGAGTGCACGGAAATGCTGTTTACCTTTCCGCCAGAGCTGTACCTATTTATCTACTTGCACTTTGACGTGCTTTTGAACTGCTAGGTTGGCAGGAGCTGGGACCAAACAACGGGAGCTCACCGTGTTGCGGCAGAACTATACAAAACTATACTGGCTCTCTTCTCTTGGTCATTAGTTATCTGTATTTTATTTAAACTAAGACATATAATATTTCCTCTAGAGATGAATTTTTCTTGGCATCTAACATATTACTTGGGGGCACTTCTCAGCTGCTTGTCATAATACATATTTCAAGGCAGATTTGTGATCTTTTCTTGAGGATTGGTGTTAGTATATAATACTCTGCGCCATGTATCTAAAAAGAAATAGGCAATGTCAGTAGGAGTCAGTAAATGATTTGTTGCCATCATAGTTAAAACTGATTTTAGATGTATAAAATGTCCCTTCTGTGCCGTGCCCTGTGCTGCTTTTCACAAAGGCACAGAGTATTTTGTTCCATGCGTTTTAATGCATCTGCCTTTGCAAAGCTAATGCAGTACTAGATATTGCTTTCTGTGGCAATTCATGTTTTATTGATACAGTGCACATAAAAGTAATCTTAAATATTTCAATGCAGTCAAGAGGTTAGGTAAAGAAAGGAAGTCCCATCCTCCACCCTTGGAATTTTCTCAACTTTCATTCCAGATTACGATTTTCTCCCCAGAAAAGATGAAAATGTCTTTGTTATGAGTCGTAATGCAGGAATCATTTCTTCCTTCTTCATTTCTTGTAATGAATAAGTATTTGGGATCTACATGGTTACTGGAGATTACTGGAAACAGTACAATCCAGTGAATTAAGTGTTGGGTATGGTTATGGAAAACATGAGCTCAAATTACAGTTATAGATTTGTTGCCTTTGGGCAGGAATACAAATTGACTGCAATTCCAAATTCTGTGGCTGGCACAATCAAATTCACAAGGTTTGCTGCAAATGGATGGTAAAAATAACAAATCTAAATCAGGTCCCTAGAGACCTTCTCTGGTGCCTGTGAGGCACTTCTACCTATTCTGTGGTGTGGGTGTGGGTGTGGGTGTGCACGCGCGCATGTATATATAATTTATTTATTGGATTTATACACCGCCCTTCATCAGAAGATCTCAGAGTGGTTCACAAGATAAAAATACATGATAAAAGGTGAGGGGGAGGGGTGTGAGGAACAAACAGGATGCATGCTTCTGAAGGAAATCTCGAGAAGATAGAGGGTTTGGGGTGAACCTGAGAGAGAAAGTTTGGAATTGGGCGTCCTGGGAGAGCAAATGGGTGTGGGAGAGGGAAGAGAGAGAGAGAGATTTTGGGGTGAGTTGATTAGCCGAAATGAGTGGTTTGAGAGGCAATTGTACAGGAATTGATTTGAAAGCTGGATCTGGGTAGGAGATTAATTTGGATTTGACCGTCCTATTAACTGCTCTATCTAGTTCGGTATTGCCAATGCTGATTAGCTCTCCAGAATTTCAGACAGGGGGCATTGGCAATACTGAACTAGATGGAGCAGTGGCTCTGACACAATAGAAGGCAACTTCCTTAGCCGTGGGTGGGGCCTGATTTTAGCATCAATAAGATTTCCCAGATGTGGAGAGCCTTCCTTGTCTTATTCCACACACACCCCACTCCCCCAATGGCCAATTATCTCATCTCTTTTCCTCCCCACTCATCTCCAATATTGTGAACTGGGATGCAGGACAAGTGCTTTGGATGATGAATTGTTGGAAGGACTCAACTACCTTCACCTGTTTACCACTTTTCATGTGAAAACAATCTCTGTCCATTCTGCAATTCAAAGGGACAAATGGTAAGCGATGCAGTGGCCATTGTTACATCTAGTTTATCCCTAAGGAAAGCAGGATATTCCAATAGCTGTTAAGGTGTAAAATAAGGGGGAATGGAGAACAATTCAGAGTCTTTTCACGTATGCTTGTCATACGTCATCTTTTTTGTCAGTTGGCCAATGTTTGAACATAATGGAGAAGAAGTCACACCGATGGAGTTCTGCCTATGATAGTGAAGGGATGGCATGACTAGCTTGCCGCAGGAGAACAGCAAACCCTGAGCAAAGGCCTGGTCCACAGACTCTGCCCCAAGATATACAAACAGAAACTTAGAAACTCATATACAATCCAGCAAGTTCTGCCTTTATGCAGGCC